AGAACAGCCACCGGGGACCTCTCGAGTTGGTGTGACTTCATCTCCTCACGAAGCGAGAAGTGGCCACAAACCGTTTTGCGCGAATGTAGGTGGAGCCCAGCTGAAGGAGCCATGCTTCAGTTCAGCAGCAAGAATACGGCTGTGTGCCGCGGCAGTTTCGGTCTTCAGCCCGGCGTCCTGAGCTGGTGGTGCTGCGTTGAAATGTGTTTCGGATGGTGCTTTTTCAAGAAAAATAAAAGTTATAAAATAAAAACCGGTCAGTCACGGCGAACACAAATGTCACTGCCACGAGCTGTAGCCGAGGTGGGGCGGCCGGTCAGTTGCCCTGCCCAGCCAGTCAATGAGCCAGCGAGTTAAGCTCTCCGTTGATCCGCTGAGCCACCGCTGCTGTGCTCCCTCTCTTACTCCTCCCGAATGTGCGCTTTGGCTGTGCCTGGCTCGCCGAAGTCGTGTGTGCACAAAGTCGGATTTTCTGGTCATTTGTTTCGAAAGAAGAGAGAACACAGGCGAAAGGGAAAGGATGGCAATGGCAATGAACAGCCCTGCACTACGCTCTCCTTTGATTGTCTTGCATGAGCCTGGGTGCTTGCTCGAGGGCATTGTGCTGGCACGCCGCCTCCATCCAGGTATCGCACAGGACAGCTACGCTTCAAGGCAGGGCAAACGAGTGAGCAAGCCTTGGCCCCTCGATCTGGTCAATCAAGTCCAGTCAGCAAACCAGGCAGTGCACATCTCCCAACCCGGGTTTGGCATTCGCCGCTCTCTGCTCGCCTCTCCTACTCCGCCTGTTGACCAGAACAGGGTCCGCACCCTCTCCCTGTCTGCGCATCCCTTCGAGCCCCGACTCAGCCGCCGCTGCTTTTGCGAAATAATAGGGCTGCCTGACGCCCATCGCATTGACGTGAACGACGACAAAGGTGATGATGATGATGAGAGCAACTGACGAGGCGTAAGAAGGGTCCTGCTATGTGCCCTTTCCTGCGTCCCATCTTCCCGACTGACGCCTCTACGGCAAATGCTCTCCGCCTGTCCCTTCCTGCCTTTCCCTCCCTCCTCGTCCCGGTCTCTTTCCTTTCCAACTGAAGTTTCCTGATTCGTGGTCCCTTGATTGCCTTCTCTCTCACTGTGCCGCTGTACGCCGTCGTGCATCGGAGCGTCGACGATCCGCAAACTGGTGCTGCTTTACCCGGCCCTCTCTACGTCTGCCTCCTTCGCCCGGGGGCATAGGGCTCGACGTAGCTTGACTGACGTTGCTGCTGACGCGCGGTCAGTCTACCCCTGCGGCGTTCTTGACGGTCCGTCAGGAAACGGGTGTACCTGAAGCTAGCTCGCTTGGCCGACCACGCCTTGCCACGCCGTCGCTTCGCCTCCACTGCGCCAGATCTTCGGAAGCCTTGCCTCTCTTGATCCATGCCTGCGGCCACGGTCTGCTTCGGTCTCCACAACCTGGCTTCCTCCCTCACCCTGCTCTCACCTCTTTCCTTATATTCTCCATCTTCCCTCCCCGTCCTGGTTTCGATGGTTTCCTTTTGCGTTCTCTCATCGTCCTTCCGTTCCCAACATCGCTCGACTTGGCTTCGCCTTTAATCTTGCACTCGCCACCACCAACAGCCCCCTTCAGGACGCTCAGTCAGCGCCACATCTCGCGCATCTCCCGATCCAGTGTAACGACCTCTTATGAAACCGCCTGCCACGCTCGCTGCCGCCACCACCGCCGTCACCGCCTCTCACTTTTTTGGCGAACATCTTCCGCATCGTGGCTCGACCAATCTTCACCCACTAGCATCGCCGCAAACGCCAAGCTCGACAGCAACGACGTGCATGCGTTGAGCGCAGCCCTACAACCACCCATTCGCCCAAACCCACCTGCGCTGGCGATCGAACAACGCTTCGTACGCCTCTGTCCGACTGAGCCTATTCCGCCACCCACCATCCTACACCTGCTTCATTCCACGCTCGCATCAGCAGTCGTCAGCCGAGCCAAGCCGATTTGCGCCGTCTGCGGTCCTTCCTCCGCCTGCAGCCCACCATCTGCACGCCAAACTTAGGACCCACCGTGCCGCTCGTTTCATCTGGCTCTCGTCGTGCCCAAATCCGACACCCGATCTCCGATCGGAACCACACACAAGGTAAGTAGCGCTACAGTCACACCGAGGCAGCGGCGCGTAGGGTCCAGCTCGAGTTGGTTTTAGGGTGACGGAAAGTGTGACGAAACGAGAAGCGCCTCGGTCCCAGACGAGATGAAGGTCACAGCCCTGTTTGCGCCTTCCGTGCCGTGTTGCAATGAAGCGCCTGCGTCTTTCGGCTTGTGAGGCCGCGACAACGCAGAGCGAGGCCGACGGCTTTCTGCTCTCATCTTCATCGTCTCCACCACCTTCGTCTTTCCCAGCGCCGACAGCACCGAAGCGGCCGTGGGAAATTCTGCTCTCTGTCTCCTCACTACGTCTCACGGCATCCTGCTTGGACACCGACACTTCATCGCGGGCGATGACGAATAACGTATCACCGGCAGATTAAGTCGTCGTCTGGTAGCAAACGGGGTGGTTGGTCTGTTGACCTCTTTGCGACAACCAGATCTGCTCGTCCATTTACCCACCTTGCCTCGAACTTCTCGGCGTCTTCTCACTCTGCATACGCTGTTGCACACGCGCTAACTCGTTCAGCCTTGTCACCCTTCCTCGACTCTTGGTTATATGCAGCTCATCAAGGTTGCAAGCGCACGAATCGCGTCTCTCTTCCGCCACTCGCCTTTCAGCATCATTTGTCCTCGATCGATCTAAGTTGGTCTCACTTGACACATACAAGGTAAGTAGAGTTGGTAACATGGCCGACCGTTTCCGTTTCCGAGCTTCTTCGCCGCCAGCGCAGAGCGCTCACCCTTTCGGCGTCAGAGCCGAGGGCCCAGCCTGCCGTCCCATGATCCTAGATACGATACTCGAAGCTCGGTCGATGCAGCCGCCAAACCCTGGCTCGATCATCTCCGACGTCACGTTCCTCTCGAAACTCGTCAGTCTCACAGGGCCGCTCTGATCGGTGCTGTCGGCAGCTGCTCTGTCTTGCTAGTGCGAGGTGTCTCGGCCGTCAGGGCGAATGCTCTGGCGCTCGTAAGAGGAAGGAAGCTTCGCAGTCGCCGGCTGCTCGCCGATCCGACTTAGCATGGAGCACTCCGCCGGGCTTTGTTGCCCGTGTCTGCTCGAACGAGGCCGATTGTTCCCTGCCTTGCAGGAAGGCCTTCTCGTCACGGTCCGATCCACTTTTGCTGCGAAATGCTTTGCACATCGCATTCTCTTGTCTGTTCGAGTGCTTCGATTTATCGACATGGCCCTCACGCCTTGGCTATGGAGACCTTCTCAGCACGTCGTTGGCACCCTCACACGTCAAAGAGAAGGGAAAGGTTGCTCTGGCTGTCTTGGACGGTCTCGCTTAGGCGCCGAGAAGGGTTTTCTTTCGTCTCGTGTGCTGCAGCTTGGCAAAAAGAAGGAAGAGCGCATTTCCATGTCTTTTCTTTTGATTTTGGCAAGGCTGCTGTGGCTGAGAAGTACTGCGCGCTGCTGGCAAGGAAAATATATTCCACTCGTCGCGCCGTGTCGCCGCAGTTTCCTAGCTCACAGTCGCAGAGATGGTCGATGCTCAGACCCCACGGTCCTTCGCCGTCACGATCCGATCGGGACATTTCCGTTCCCGGCCGTGCCTTGCGTTCTCCTCGATCTTGACTTTGGCTTCAGACGATGGTCGTTGCTGCGTACGCCACGTACCTTGGCCAGAGGCTATGTCTCCCACGTCGAGGTACTTGCTCAGTTTCAGTTGATGACGTGGGCTCGGCGGTGCCACCGATGCCACTCGAGGAACTCGAGCCTCTTGACCCGGTCCCACGATCGGCGTCAACGAATCTGCGTGACCATCATGCGCTCAGTAGCTCGACCAAGGACCGTTCTTGGCTGCGTATGCTTTAACGTCGTCAACGATCGCAGCCGCGAGACCGTCTACAGCAGCCGCGACCTCCGTTCCTGCAGTTCCGGTTGTCGTCGCCGTATCGAGGAACAATCTCTAGGCCAAGCTGCTTGCTGATTGCACAGATGGCCTGGTCATTTCCACGATAAGGTTGGCCACAAGATTTGGGCTGCCAATTTGGTGCGACTCAAAGGAGACGACCGCTCGAGAGCCTAGATCGTCGTGCATCTGCATCTCGACTTTGGCTTCATCGTCACTTCGCGGCTTGTGTCCTTTGCACCTCTGCTGTCGGATGGCTTCAGCCTGATCTCTCGCTCGCGGCGATGATCTAGCTTTGCGTCATCATTGCAACTTAAAGCGTCTCCGCGCCAGCCTTGCATATCCTGACAGGCGGTCCCACTGCCAAAGTGGCGTACATCCATTCAGACTTTCGCATCGCTATGCGCCTCGCTACCTGGACATAGCAATTCAGAATGCGAGTGCATCTGAACCTGACCATCCCAGGCGATCCTGCAGTCAAGAGATGCAGTGCATCCGAGGCCTGCAGCATAGGCATGGCCTGTGGAAAAAGAAGCTCGGGCTGGCGGACGTCCTGCTCGCCAAGACTCAAAGGCTGCACATGTCTTCATTTGGCGTCTCTCTCCTTCAGCCTACTGACGTTTACTCTCTCTCTTTTTCTCTCCCCCCTGATCTCATCTTATTTGCTCAATCCGCTCATGATCTTGCCTGGGCAGGCCGTCACTTCCGATCGAAGCTTCCGCCCGGCCCATCCGCGAAGATCGTGACTTCCGGCCTAAGCACCACCTCTGCCTGCTCTGCTGCTCGTCGTGCGGCATCCATCACGTTCCAGCCATCAGCCACCGGGCCGAATTGTCGGAGCGATCGCTTACCGGTAGCGACCCTCGTCCCCTCACCGACCCGTCAACAGTGCGTCTCGGTCAAGGTTGCTCGAACCACTGTCTGGTCACAGTGTCAACGAGAGCAAGGATTCAAACGCGATAAAAAGCGGCCATCTTGGAGCGCTCCGACCCTTCTCTTTGGTGATCAATATGTACGGATACGCAGGTCAAGCTAGTGCATCCGGCTCGCCATATCGTCCAGGCACCGCAGATAGCTCCTGGGAGCAGAGTCGGCCATCCACCATGGGAGAGGCTCGACCTGACTTGTTTGCTCACGCAGCGCCGAGCTCTACGCCTTCGCAACTTCGTCTCGACTCACTGCCGGCATCTCAATCATCCACAGTCGGTGGCACGCCGGCGGACGTTTTTCTCGGGGCGAACGCCATCACACCGCGCCAGACGACCTTCTCACGAGGCCCGATGGAAGTCGGTCCGCACTTTGCTACGTCAGGCGCCATGGATAGCTTCCAACACGGAGTGCCTGCCATGGTGCCTAGCGATACGCCTCGCGCCGCTCACTTTGGCAGCACCAGCAGCAGTAGCACCTTGGTAGGCACTCAACCCACATTTGCCTCGCCGACTCATCCATCGGTATGGGCTAGCCCGGTGCAACAGCAGTCCGAGTCTATGGCCTACAGTCGATACGCGTATCCGACCCAGACAGGCGCAGGCTCGTGGACGACGCCAGGCGGCATGCCTATGTCCATGTCGCAGAGTGTCATCTACGACTCTTCGTCTTCGACCAACACGAGTCCGAACCGGTCGCAGGCGTACTACGACGTGTCAGGAGACCACTTCGATCATTCCGGCTACTCTTCGCACATGGCTTCGCAAACCTATCCGATGTACGGCCCTTCGACGTCCAAGATGGGTAGCGCTGGCGCCTACGTCGCCGCACCGCAGCCGGAGTACCAACCGGAGGAGATCGACGGCATGCTCAACCAGGTCTCTTCTTTCTACAAGACGGCCAACACCAAGAAGATGGCCGAATTTTATCGCGACAAATGGGCGCGCATGTGGTAAGCATCTCAGCAGAGCGAGAATGACCCCAGCCCTCAGACTTTGACGCCAACGACTGACTTTTTCTGCCTATCTCTTGAATTCTCTGTTTCTTCGTGTCACGCTAGGCTGACCTGCAACTATACCCTCAAGTCATCGATCCAGATCTCGATTCCGCGCACGATCTTGCACGAGTCCTATCGACGAGCGTGCGACTCGTTTGGTCTCGAGCCTCTGCAAGCAGCCTCCTTCGGTAAGGTGCTTCGCAGCCAGTTCCCCGACGTCGCTCAACGCCGTCTCGGAGGTCGTGGCAAGACTCGCTTTCACTATTGCGGCTTCGGTACGTCCAACGAGCGCGAGGCAATCAAGGTCAAGTCGTTGCTCGAAGACGAGAAGGCGGGCAAGCTGCAGCTCAGCGCTGGTCTGAGCGCCGAATATGCTTCGGAGGCGAGGGCGAAAGCTCGATCCGAAGGTCACGAGGGCGAGTCGTCGTCCTCTTCGTATCGTGCTCATCCTTCTTCCGACGCATCGCCGATGGACGGTCAAAAGACTCGTGCTGCGCAGTACGACAATTCGCCACACGCTTCTTCTGAGAGCAGCGGCCTGGGCGGCAATTCTGCCATCGCTACCGACGACAGGCTCATTGCGCCTAGCTTTGTGAATCCCAACAGCACCATGCACACTCCGCCAGGTACCAGCTCGGGTGCCAATTACGACAGCCAGGACTCGGTACGATACTCGCAGGTCCCTTCGCAAGGTCACGTCCCGGCTGCGCAATCGGCGGGAGGCGCTGCATCGGGCATCTCAAGACGTCACACGGTTTCGCATTCCTACTCAGGTCTCAGCGACATGTCGTTCCTGCCTGGATGGCATTCTTCCGGCGAAGCCGGTGAGCCCAGTCTCATGCATCCGTCGAGCGACATCTCTGCCTTCGGTACCGGCGTCATCACCAGCGAGCCAGCGCAATCGGGCTCTCTGGTCAACAGTCCCGCCTCCTCCTTGCACGGGTATCAATACCTTCCGGATCCTCGCCACGTGCCTACGTCCATGCCTTTCCGACGCTCCTGTCAGGACCTCTCCGACTGGCCGACCTTGCCCGATCAGCAGAGCACCAGCACAGGTGCCTCCAACTCGACGGCGTACGCCACCGGTGGTCCCATCAGTAATACTGCGTCGCACGAGTCGTCGCGAAAAGCTTGGCGTGAGTACGAATCCCTCTGTCAGGCGTTGTTTCAATCCGTGTGCACAGGACCTGACCCTGTCTCTTTCCAACAGCGAACCACTTTGTTTTGGAATAGTCTAGACGCGGACAGCCGCGAGGCGATGCGCAACGACGCCACGGTGCAAGGCATGATCCTCAAGGCGGACGAGATCATCTTTCGGCAGCTGCTTGTTCAGCTGGACGGGATGATCGGCGACGATGTATCGGACCAGATGGTGCTCGGATTGAAGACGCTGGCGGGCATGATGGCGGACCGCATGGAGGGTCTTGTGACCGAGGCATTGCCAGAGCATAGCAAGACGGCCAAGGTGCAGGCATCGCAGAATATGGCGCAGAGTCTGGAGCAGGTCGCCGAGGTCTTTGAAGCGGTCAAGGCATTTAGAGAGGCATCGTCTCTCGACAGCGACAGCGATGTTCTCAGCCGCTCGCTCAGCCCCCGCTCTCGACAGTCTTCTGCGCATGCCGGCTCACAGCACCTTGAGTCGTCCTCTGCCGACTCCTTTCCTTCTTCCGCAGCCGGTGCCGCCAGCACTTCCTCCCTCTCCCTCGGTCTGCGCGGTCCGGCTAAGGTCACCAGTCTGCCCTACGACAGCCGCTCACGGTCCAAGACGCCCACTCCTCTCGGTTCCCTTCCTCTGGCCAACCTTCGACTTCGTCGCCGAGACAACTTCATCCGCAGCGTCAACCAAGACTCGCAGCCCACTTGGGGTCGAAGTCTGATGCACAGTCACCGCGATCCATCGTCGTCGTTCGAAAGCGACTTCTCTTCCAGCACCATCGAGGCGATGCCCAACATTCTGTACGCGCCTCTGGCGAAGAAGGCGTCAAGGTCGAGAGTAGCTTCGGACGGAAGCGGAAGCATCAGTCTCACGTTTGGCAGTCTGGCGCTAGCGATGCCGCCCAACTCGATGACTCAGGCGAGCAGCACCATCGTGCCGTCGACTCTGGCGGCGGACTGGACCCCACGCCCGGCCAAGATTGAGATGCAAGACTGATACTCGCCGTTCGCCACTGTTGCTTCTTCTCCTCTGCGGCCCACGCATCCTTCGCTCAATCCATCACCCCTTTTCTCCTTCAGCATCCCCCCGTCAAGGTTCCCTTTCTCTCGTTTTCTCTCGGTTTTCTCACTCGTCACTGCTCACGGGACAAATTGTTCTCCCACACACGATCTTTCCAACACCCACACGCACATCTGCACCCCAAACACATACACGAATCTCGGTTCCTCGGTTCTCCAGCATTGCCCACTCCACTATCCGGCTGCTTGATGCAGTCGGACCAACATACACGATATCCCCTTTTCCTCTGGTTCCCTCATGCTTCTTTCCCCCAATCAATGTAACTTGGTATCAATCTCAATTTTGCATGGTTCTTCGAAGAGATGCTGCTTTGTGGAATGTGTGTGATTGGTTGGGCAAGAATCTGGTGCGAGGCAAGGAGATCGATTGAAGGGGCCTAGAGTGGCTTGTCAGCGAGTGGGACGCAAGTGATCGACGGTCCCCCTGATCGGCGAGTTGACAACCACACAGAGACGAGAAGCCATCAGGTGCTGCACGATCAACTCTGACCTCGCAGAGCCGGGTGCTGCCACGCCGTCCATGTCTCATCTCTGAATGAGCGCAGTCACCAGCCACAGCCGTCTCTCTCGCACACCGATCTCAAATGTGACGTTGACAGTCTTGGCATTCCGTCTGTGTGACTTTTGCTCGGAGCCATCAACGCTTGACCCAAGTGAACGCCTTCCTAGCCTTCAACATGCCCGTCTTCTTCCTCTCGACCATCCTGGGATCCCTCTTGAGCACGCCGTCCTTGGCCAACACCTTCATGACGTACCTCTTTGCCTCGATGCCCTTCTCCTGGCCCAGCCCATGACCTGTTTCGGCCACAATAGCGTTCGCCAACGCATGAGCGATCGCACCTGCCTGTCCGCTCTTCCCCCCACCCCTCGTCAGCGCAAACACATTGTACGCCCCCAAGGTGCTCGTCAACTTCATCGGCCACGTCACGGCTTCCCTCTCCGCCGTCCGCGTAAAGTACTCTGCGAGTGGCTTGTTGTTGATCAGCACCTGACCAACGTCTTTGGCTGGTACGATCCATACTTGCGCACTCGACTCCTTCCTCCTCCCCATCGAATACGCTCGTCCCTTACCATCGATTTTCTTCTCGCTTGCCGCCCAAAGTGCGCCATCGACGTCTTTGGACGCAAGCATGTTGTTGTTCTTGGCATTCTCGTTCATGTACTTTTCCAACGTCTCGTGGTATTTCCCCACCAACTCGCTTCCTTCCAGCAGACGAACCAACCCGGCGTACCTCGAAAGCAACCCCAAGCGCGAGACGATCTGTCGATACTGCGCTGCTTTGAGACCCGAACCGATGACTTCGGAAAGCTCGTCGGAACCAAGCCAGAGGTTGCCCCGGTTCGTCGCGGCGAGCGACGGCGGGGACGAGTTGGGTGGCAGCAAATGCGTCTGTTCGAGCAAACGCTTCGTTTGACGCGTGAGCTCCTCGAGAGAGAGCAGTGTGTCGATGTAGGCGGGACGACCGGTGTAGTAGGCGGGCGAGGCGGGTTTTAGGCGTGCTGCAAGGGGCGCGACGGGTGGCAGACGAGGCGTGCGCGCTTCCGTGTAGGAGGAGGAGGAGGAGGTGGAAGCATATCGGACGGAGGTCGGTGCGGTGAGATGAAGTTCGCCCAGGGTGCGGATGAGCGACCGTGCTGAGCTGCGTGCTGCAGCGGGTGTGAGCGCCATACTTGTCGGTGATATGGATGATGGTTGACGATGATGATGGGTGAGGAGTCGGAGGAGCGCAGCGCTTTCTTCTGATTCTTCCCCCTTTTTTCCGTTGCACGTGACCCTTCCCTCCGGCAAAAAAATGCTGGAGCGCATCCAGCAGCGGTCTAACAAAGTGCTATTTTTTGGCCGCGTCCTGAGCAAGTGGAGATTCGGCAAGCACTTCTTCCTGAGATCTCAGACCAACACCATCTCTTCCCATCCCCTGATCGCCTCACACAATGTCGGCCACGTCCGCAGCACAACTCACGATGGCAGGTCCATCAATAACCAACCATGTCGTCACGCTCGCGCATCCGACGCATCCGCACTTCCTCACACAGATCGTGCACCTCCGCTCGCCCACGTCGCAGGATAGCCTGTTCGTGCACTGCACGGCTATCTCTTCCACCTTGGCACGGTCTCTTAGCTCGTCCAACTCATTCTCCACCACTGCAGGGGAGAGTGAGGAGGATGCCGAGCTGCAAGCGGCCCTTATCGCAGCTGGTCGGGCTCCCGAACCTACAGCCGCGTCGGGAGCACCGTTCGGCGCACTAGCAGCAGACTTCGCCCTGGCCATGGCCCACCCCTCCGGCTCCTCACAAGGCACCCCCATCCTCACCACCACCACAGCCACCACCACATCCAGCCTCGCTGCTAGCATGAGCAAGCGTCTCGCCTCCAAGCTCCGCATCCCTCACCTCCTGCTCTCGCTCGACCTACCACCATCCCTCATCGCCTCCCCCGGTCGCATCCAAAGCCCCGAAGACTCACGAGCCGTGCTCATCCTCGAGAAAGCCATACGCGATGCCTGCACACACACTCTTTCGCGCTAGATACCTTGAAGCAAGAAATGTATTTGTAGCCCTTCAAAGACCGGCGAAGCCACCACTGCCGTCCCGCCGTTGGTTCTTGTCGCGCGATTGGAGCTGCCCTGCATACTGCTGCTGCATGAACGCCTGCTGATGATCCTGAATCCGAACGGGCGTTAGTGAGGGTGGGAGAAGGTTGGCCATCCCTGCGTCGTAAATGTCGAATGGCAACGTCGCACTTGCCTGCCCACCACCGCCGCCGCTGGTGCTGTTCTGCGCACTCATCGGCGCCCCGTTCATGTACAGCGGCGAAGTCTGGTATCCTCTCCCCGGCCCGGCAGGCGTGGAGGAGTAGGCTGCAGGAGGAGGATTGATCCCTCCTCCACCGGTCTGATTTGCATCAACAACGACGCTGAAGCTCCCCTGCCCACCACTACCGCTGCTCGAAGGCTTGTTCAGCGCCTCCCAGCCACCGGCGCCATTCCACCCAGTCCCCATCTCCGCCTGCTGCTGCAGCAGATCCAGCTGCTGGTAGTTGGCACTCTGCCTCTTCTTGCTCACCCCACTTGTTGGCGCCAACCCATTCTGCCGTCTCTCCCACTCGCGAAGTGGATCATCCCGGTTTACTAACCCGGCCATGTTCTGCCCACCAACCATGCTCGCGTCCAACCCCAACTTGGCTAGCTGGGGAGGGATCATGCTCAACCGATTATCACCACCCCGTCGACCACCCGCATCGTCCGCATAGTACTGCCTCGCATACTGCTGTTGCTGCAGCGCCAGCTGCGCAGCTTGCGCCTTGGCCACGGCTTTGGCTTCGGCGGCGGCAGCGGCTTCTTCGCGCGCATAGGGGTTGTTGAGCGCCGGCTGGGCGCGGGATGCTGCCGAATGGTACGCCTGCTGCTGCGCCAGGTGCTGGTTGTACGCCGCTGCGTCTTGGAATCCCTTGTTCGGTCTCGATGACGACTGTTGCTGCACCAACCCGCCGTAGGGATGCTTCGACTCGGACGTCTTGGTTCTCGCCGAGCTGGAAGCGGTGCTGCTCGCCACCGTCGGCAACAGCGGTGGTCGGAAAGGCTTGGTGAACTTATCGCCAGAAATGAACGGATGCAACTTCGCCTGCTGCGGCGTCCATCGCTCGTGCGGATTCATGTTGAGCAAACCAGTGACAAAGTCGATAAAGCTGCTTCGGTTGGCCATCTCCTTCTGCACATCGGCCGACTTGCCGCTCTTTCGGGACATCGGGTAGGTCTTGACAATGTCCGGCAGCGTGGTGGCCTTGAAGTATTTCTTGGAAGGTTGCTCTTGGACATTGTGCTCCTTGGAATACTGCTCGATGGATTTGAGACGGTAGCTCTTGCGCCCGTATTCGTCGGTAAAGACGCTGAAGAATTCCTGGGTCTGCTTGCCGTTGTCGAGCATCCACTGCGGGGGGAGACCGAGCATCTCGACGATGCGGCAGATCTGGTTGTACTCCGAGGTGCCAGGGAACAGCGGCAGTCCGAGGAAAAGTTCGACAGCGATGCAGCCGAGCGACCACATGTCGATGGCCGAGTTGTACGGCAGACCTAGCAGCACCTCGGGCGAACGGTAGAAACGCGATTGAATGTACGTGTAGACCGTCTGCTTTTCGTGACACGCCGAGCCAAAGTCGACCAGCTTGATAGAGGGGGTCTGCAGCGTCTTGAGCAGGATGTTCTCGGGCTTCAGATCGCAATGAATCAGACGGGCCTCGTTGAGCACCGTCAAAGCGTCCAGCAGCTGTGCCGTGAAAACGCGCACCAGGCTGGTGCTGAGACCCTGGAACGAGTTCTGCTTGATCAGCTCGTACAGGTTCGACGAGAGCAGCTCGAGCACCAGACAGAGATGCTTTGCGTGGATGAAGGTGTCCTTGAGCCGCAAGATGTGGTGCTCGTCGTTCGGGTCCCAGTTGCCATTGAGCATCTCGAGCACCGTCACCTCCATCATACTCTGGTTGAAGTAGGCTGGCTTGTTCTTGATAACCTTGACAGCGACGATCTCGTGCGTCGTCATGTCTTGACACTTGACCACCTGACCGAACGTGCCCTGACCTAGGATGTCGAGGATGAGGTACTTGTGACCTTCCTCCGTTCCCAACCAGTCGTTGACATACAGGATATAATCGCTCTCCTCATTGTCCCTGCCCTCGTTCTGCACCGGCTTGCTTGGCTTGGTGAGCACACGTCTTGGATTAAAGCTCAGCTCGTAGAAGAAGGCCGGATTGACGAGATGGTAGGTGTGATGCAGGTACGCCGTCAAGGCCTTGAGCGGACTCACGAAGCCGCCTGCTGGATCGGCACGCCGCGAAGTGGCGAGCGCTGCTTCTGTGGCCGCTTTGCCGTCCGAGATGGCGGCTGCACCGGTCGCCGCTGCGGTGGTCTTATCGATGACGGGTCGCAGGTCGTCAAAATCGCGCACGCGTCGGAAGCCTTCATTGCGGCGAGAGGAGCGACCGGAGGAGCCGCCATCGCGTCGGCTAGAGCTGGTTCTCGAGTTGTCCGAAGCTGTAGTCATGGATCCGGAAGAGCCGAGACCTAGACCGTGCTGTCCGAAGGAGGTGCCGTCGCTGTAGATGGCAGGGTTGCGAGTGGTGCTGTCGCCTCTGGAAGATGAGTCCATGATCATGCTGCCGCGACCCGATCCGATGTTGGCAGAAGGCCACAGACCTCCTGCTCCCTGTGATGACGAGGCGTAGCCGCCTTCAGCACCATACCTCCCAGATTGCCGCCCGCTCGACGACAGATACTGATTGGAAGCACTTTGTTGCCCGTGACTCGACTGATAGGCGTACGGCAGTCCGTCGGAGAGGTCGCCGAGGCCTGCGTTTGAGCTGCTGTATTGCTGAGACAGCTGATGTGGAGACCTCTGCGCTTCGCGGGGCGAGCTGACGTCCATGAAGTTGGTGGTGTCGTGGCTGGCAGATCGGGACCCGGAAGCTCCAGCAGCTGCGTTGCTGCTGCCGAAGCGGCTCGAGTGGGACGTGTTGGGGCTGTAGGGATTTCCGGAGGTAGGGTCTCGTATTGACGAGCCAGAGGTGTCCATGGCGTTGGAGGATCGGCGACTGCCGTGGTTGCTGTAGGAGCTGTTGAGCATCTGGGGAGCCGGAAGCAGGCTGGCAGGATGTGAGGAGCCGGCTGAAAGATTGGGAAGACCGCTGTACGAGTCTTGAGGCGACGTCGCCGGCAAACCGCTCCCGCCACCACCACTACCACCGCTGATGAAACTGCTGTGTCGCATACCCGAGGGCGATAAGGATGAGAGATAGGTGCCCCCACTGCCGTTGCTGCCATGACCTGAGGACGAATGCGAGCCTACCGGCTGAGCAGCACCCGTCTGAGGAGATAGGTACATTGCCGAGCCAGAAGCAGCAGCAGCAGCAGCAGCAGCAGCATTCGCAGCTGATCGGGACTGACTCGGGTGCGAGCCGTGACCCATCGAGTGCGATCGACCCAGGCCCTCGTTGCGATAGGCTGACGAAGCGTGCGACTGTTCGTGTTGTTGCTGTTGCGCAGAAGCATGATGTTGCTGTTGTCGTTGGTTGTCGAACGAATAGCGCTCACCTCCGCTCGAAGCATCTGCAAGCCCGAACGCAGCTGCTTGCGAGTGGTGCAGACGCGGTGAGGTGTAGTTGGCTGTGTTGGGATTGGCGCCGGAGCTGGACGCCTGCATGTATTTGGTCGAGGAAGAGGCGTGGCCGTGGGAAGAGTGTGGTGACCGCATTGATGATGGGCTGGGTGGATACGGGTTGCTGGGTGCCAAGGCCGGATGTTGTCCTCCCAGCGCATCGAGACCCGCCATGTTGATGCCTACGTGAGGATCGTGGTGGAGGGGAAGCGAGTTGGTCTCGTCGCCAAAGAAGGCGTTGGATTGTCTCGACATCTTCCAACGTTTGGCAGATGAGCAGGCAGCTCAAAATGACGTGACGCGGGTGACGCTGTAGATCCCGGAAGCCAAGAGGATGATAGCGGAGGAGGGCGTCTTTGAGCACAAAGATGGATGGCCGGTCCACAATGAAAGAGAGTGAGCCTGTGGGCGAGTCAGACACCGTAAGGCTGGGTGTAGCTAAGTGTCATCCGAGGAATAGCGATGATAGAAGTGACTGAAGATGGAAGATGGGCCAGGTGATGAAGAGTCTGGAAAGACAGTCCGATGCTCCAGGCGTCTCGTTGCGTGACGGGTCGAGGTGCAGAAAAGGTCGTGCCGAGACGAATCTCGAGCGCCTTGCTGTCGAAGACGAGGGAGTACTCGAGACAAAGTCGGCCAATGGAGCGCGCGATGCTCGTCACGACCCACCTTGCTGAGCAGCTGAGCTCGTGCTCCTTTGCTGCTGGCACAGACTGTGTCGGCGGTAAGACGCAAAGGTGGTCAGACGGCCGGGGATCGCGTCCACCAGGAATTTGTGATGCAACGAGCTGGCGAGAAGACGGAGCTGAACTGATGCCGCGAACGGGAGCCTGGACGAGTTGAGAAGAAGGAGGAGGAGGAAGATGAAGACCATTCGGAGAGCAAGTCGGTCGGGCGGCATCTGCAGACCCACACAAAATCGCGCCCGGGCCGCTGCTGCTGTTGGTGTGCCCTATCTGGCTGGCTGGTTGGCTGTCTGACTGACTGGCTGAGCGGTAATTTCAGTCGACCACATGTGAGCGAGCGAGCGTGTGTGGGTGTGTGTTTCGACTCGGCGAGGTTGGAGCTGAGCCTCGCTTGGCCTCACAGAGAAACACACACCTCTCAAAAATCCGAATTTCGAAAAAAGAGCCGTGCACGCACGGTGCGTTTCTCTGGCGGTGCAGTTGCAGGTGGCAGCCTGTCATCGCGCGTCGAGGGCCACAAGGCTAGGCGAGGCGAGTCGCGGCGCGCTGTGTCTTGTGCCGAGGCTTGCACTCTGCAGCCAATTGCTGCCAAGCATGGCCATCTGCCACCTCAGAACTAGGACCGACTTCGGTGATGAAATCATTGATGCGACACTGGACTGACACGAGCACGGGCATGAAAGTAGACGGTCTAAGACATGGTATATTGCGAGCAATGCAAGGGGCAATAAGAAAGCCGAACACGAATGGATATGAATACGAAGCGAAGAAATGGTTGTAGGTGATAGTAGTCAGACCCGCCTAAGCCTCGAGTTCTGACACTTCGCCCAGGTCCAGCTGGAGCGGCTCGAGAACCTCGTCGGCATTCATACGATCGAGCGCCGCTGCTGTCTGCTTGCCCAAATCGTCGTCTACAAAATCAATCAGCTTGGGATTGAGCTTGGTCCTGGGTGCAGCAGAAGGTTGTTGTGCTGGTCTGAGAGCAGAGCTCGTGTTAGCTGCCTTCAGCGGTCGAGTCGCAGCGCCGCTGACGGATGATGCTGAACGGGCGACATTCGCCGACGACCGAGGGAGATTTGCACTTCTTGCTGTGGTAGTTGGAGTCGAGGAGACAGGTCGACTGCCTGGCGCTGATGCGATGGACCGCTGAAGGCCAGTGGATCGTACAACCGGCTTGGGCGTGGCTTTGCCCGGCACTGCGCGCGAAGTTGCGGTGGTCGAGCTGGTGGCAGACGGTCGGATGCTCGAGCTGACGGGACCCCTCTGAGCGATACTAGTGCGGACGCCGGCCCCCGTTGCCAGAGGTCGAGCCATCGTGAGCGGACGTTGTGCAACTTTGCTGCCTGCGTTGACAGCAACGGTTGTGGATCGAGCAGAAGGTGCCTTCTGCTGGACGGCGATCTCTTCTGTCACCGGCACGTCTGGCCACGGGTCGTCGTCGTCACTATCCGTCGTCGGCGTCGGCGGCACCAGATCATTGTCCATGAGCTCTTCCATCGGCGTGACTTCGACATCGCTCAGGTCATCAGGACCAGCCGCCCGAAGTCCGATCGCTGAGAAGCGGGAAAGCTGAGCGCCGAGCTCCTTTGCCCTGGGCAGATCGTCGAGCTCATCAGGGAACTCGAAGACCGGATGCTTGGCGTGGTGGCTGGGCGGCATGTACTCGATCTCGGGATACATTTCCTCTTCGGTCATCTGCACCGCTGGCTGTTGGGTCACCTGTTCCGTGGCGTTGTCTCCCTTCTGCAGCGACAGACCCATCTCTGCATCCATCATTTCGCCCATGCGTGCTTTGATCGCGCCGGCTCTTCCGACGTTGGCGGCCGGAGTGACAAAGCTGTTCTGTCGGCTCATTGCCCTTGCCTTGCCAAGCTGCGACGGAGCGGGTGTTTTCATCAACATTGTGCTTGAAGCATCGTTCCCGCTGCTCGAGTTCTGACCCGGCTTGGAGAAGGGCAGATCCGTCGTCTGTCGCTGCTTGCCATTGAGAGATCGCAGCGCGTTCGAGGTGCTTGCTTTGCGTGGACTCAGCTCGGATGACCCCTTCTTGGTGGGCGATGAGTCGAGAGTGCTCCCTGATGCCCCTTTGCCCTTGCCAGCCGATGCATCCTGTTTGCCAGGCGCCAAGCGAGACGGGCCGGGCGTCTTGGAAGCGTTGCGGTTTCCAAGCGCCTTGACGGGAGACTGCGACGCTTTGAGATCGCCAAAGAGCTGTTTGGGCCCTGCCGAGTTGAGATCTTGTCCAGTCAGCTTCGAGGACTGGCCCAGCGCCTTCTTGCCTGTGGTCATGTTCTTGCGCGTGGGCGAGGCATGCAAGCGCGAAGGACCGGGTGTTCGAGTCTGACCGGCGAAGGCCTGGTTTTCGGAGAGGACAAAACCTCTTGAGTGCATCATGATTGGTATGTAAGGTCGATGCTGAGCTGAATAGGGACTGTGATGATATAGAATCGAAGTCGCCGCTGTCTGGGGCTGGCTGGGTGACTAGTGTCTATGTAGATATGCGCCCTGATCTATGCTGACGACCTGGCACGGACGCTGTCGTTGAAGGCAGATACACCGTCGTGCAGGTCGAAGACGGTGTTGGCTGAGGACGATGTGCTAGCTGCTGGGTCGAAAGATGATCGTAAGAGCGCGAGATGAGATGGATGAGGTGGAAGGTCAAGTCACAAAGATTGACTTGGAGTCTGACTCAAACCTGCATACAGGAGACAGGACAGCGCCATTTCTCTAAAATCACATTTTTCGGGTATCACCTATCCCCACCGCACGACTTCCGCGTCACAGGGCAAAGGCATCACGTGATTTCAGAGAGAGCTTTCGTGGCCGTTCGGAAGTGCTCATTCATACAATGAAGGAGTGGACGCAGCTTCAGCATACTATTTCGGTGTCATCCGAGGTGTTTACCAGGTCGAAACTCGATCGACTCTGACTGTCATGCCTGCGGCAGCCCTATGCTGGCGCGGTGGTCTGAACGCGCATGAACACAGGGCGAGGAGTTGAGTCGCTTTGAAGCCGAAGTCGCGGTCCAAATTACCGATTTTGCTCCACATGCAAGAGCAGCAAGCGGCTGCACGGTCATCCGGCTCAACCCCGGCTTGGCTTATCGTGGGCGAGGCGCTGTCTACTGTAGCCTCGCTAGCTGACCGTATCCAACAAGGGTCTGACTCGGTGACTCGTCTTTCGGAGCAGCTATCACCATCACCATCATCAGCAACATCGGCATTACCGACATACGACCTCGGCTCATCCTTCGTGCCTCGTTCTCTCAGCCTGAAACCAGTCAGGGCACACCGCACTGCTTCCGGTCTCTTCTCGGTGGATCTTGAGCCCTTGGTCACCGTCGCGGTGTCTGCGCCAGCGTCGGCCCAACCGTGATCTGGTTGAATGGAGCCGCAACCTCGTCGAGTTCCTCCGTCAGCCCATTCGCGATATTCATCCTCGTCGTCCTCGCTCGGAGCACCCGAATCTTCCCCCGCCATCGACACACAGCAGCAGTACCAGCATGAGCCGTCGCCTTCGCTTCGAAGACGCTCCTCCGAGCGCCCAGAGTCGTCCACTCCGATGACCCAGCTGACCAAGCTCGACGGAGTCATCTATCACTTTTACACCACCACCGCTAACCTCATCATCCAGTCTCGTCTGGCGCATCTTCGCTCCTCCCTCCTTGCTGCCTCTTCCCCCGAAGGCGCTGCTCCTGCGCAGCAGAGCCACACTCCACACACAAAGCTCTCGAAATGGTTTGACCTTCACATCCCTGATACAGATCTGTTCAAGGATGAGCTGCGGCTCTGGCGCTCCGTCACTTCCCTGTTGGGTCTCGAAACTGGCAACGTCGACCCACCCCTTTCACCATCAGCTGTGCCTGATCTCATCATCGATGTAGTGCTCGATCTGTCTAACGTCTCGGACCGACACGAGATCCTTCTGATGACTAGAGCCTTCTCCGCTTCATCTTCTCGAGCTTCCGACGCCAACACCAGTCGAGTCTGCATCGACGGGCGGATACCCGGCGAAGCTCCATCTTCAGCGACATCTTCTGTACGGCCTCACAGGATCGTGCTCGAACGCTGGCAACTGCGTTTCGATCCCAGCCAGCCCTCGGCGCCGCCAGATCTGTCCACGTTCTACAAACGCTCAGTCGTCCATTTCCGTGCTCTCTTCGATCTCCTCAGCTCTTTGCCGTCGAATCGCCTCGCCGCCAAGATCGAATCGCTCAAAGCTGCACCACAGAGTCGCAGCGACTCGATACAGCCATCTCATCCCTCTCTTTCCGCTCGGGAGGACATCGGCACTTACGATGCAGAGATGAATCTGGGCTGTAGGCTTAGCATGACTTTGGACCCGAGAGAGGCCCAAGCAGATCCGAACGAGATCGACGTCCAGATCCCGCTTCCAGTCGAACAACTATCGACACCGTCTCACAACGCGGGGACAACCGAATCCGGCGTCGATGGCAGCAGTGTGCATGGCCATTATGCCACTCGCACCTTGACTCCTATCGCCACGCCTATCGGTCACCTCGAGCTTTCCGTCACGTATCGCAGGCTGACTGGTTACTTGATCGAGGACACGGACAGCCTCCGCGCCGCCAACGACCTCAAGGTGGATCTGGACGAAGATTACTTCAGAGCGCCGCACAGGGAAGTCGCTGCCGTAGCAACCCAGCCCGAACCTCTACCAGATGCAAGTAGCGACGCTACACGAGATCCCGTCTCGGGCCATCCCATGCCATTGGTGACGAGTCCCGGCCAGCAACGCATTGGCGGCATCTCGGCAGCGCGCCCGGCGATCCTAGGATCTCAAAAGAGCTCACCAGATACTGCGACAGGCTCCGAGGCTCTCACATCGCAGTCACCCGGCAATGCGAGTGTGTTCAGCACAAGCGCACCAGGGCGACATTCTGCCGGCCTGTCCAGTCTTAGGAGGACCGGCTCGACAAAGAGCAATGTGTCAATAATTGGTACCACCAACCCGTCCGGAGCGCCTTCCAGGCCCGTGCTGGCTGCTGCCCTTAGTACCGAGCCTGCGTTCGTGGTGCCGGGCGCTGTGCGTCGATCGAGCACCAGTGAAAGACGGCTTCGAACGCTCAGTGGTCTTTCGAGTGGACGACCGAGTCCGCCAGTGTCTCCAGCTGCTGCCTCTTTCGACCTTCCAGAAGCTGGGACAAGTCAGCCTAGAAGCGTTTCGTCAGGCGCGTTCTCGACAAGCGGCACAGGCCGATCCATCTCGACTCGAACAACGAGTGGATTTGCTGGTTCTGCTACGGGCAACATGGGACCGCCTTCCTCAACCCAGCCACGGCCCAGCGTCTCGTTTAGCCCTTCGTCGCCGTCGCCTCTTGCACAGCAGATGTCACTGCAGGGCATGAGAACCGGCGGTGGCTTTGGCTTGGCGCCAATAGGCAATCAGTCGACGTCGTCCTTCCGCAGCGTATCTAGCTCGAGTCTGCGCTCGTCTGTCTCCAATACCGGCGGCCTGGCTGGCCCAAGCCTTCGCAGTGTCTTTCAAAACTACGTGCCGCGCTCGCAAAATGTGTCCATCGCTTCCATCTCGAGGACCCCTCCCACCTCTACGAGCGCCCTTGGCCAGGGTAGCTATTCGCCGTCCATCCTGGGCACCGGGATGAGGAATTCAAGCATCCGAAGAAATTCGAGCACCAGCGATGCCGGGTCTGGCTCTGCGTTTGGCGCCAGCGTCTCGTCTTCTTCAGCTGCTCAGCCGCAGATGATCAAACGGTACAGCACCAACTTTTCGTATCGCCAGAATCGTGACAGAAGCGGCGTATACGGCAGCAGCCTTGGCTCGGAGGGATCTGGCTCCCTAGGTGCTGGGGCCGAGCCATCGAGCTATCCACGCTTCGGAGGGGCTGGTGGAAGCCTCAGTTCGGCATACGGGCGCAGCTGGATCTCGAGGATGGAGCAGCGACAGGGATTGGGATCAGGTGGAGCGTTTGCCAGGACTGCGAGTCTCGAGGATGCAACAGCTGCAGCATCAGCTTCGTCCGCATCAAGATACAGGACGATCTCTGGCGCAAGTGCCAGCCATCTGGTCGGCGGTGGTGGTTTTACACCGAGTCCGAAGAGTCACGAGGACGACATGGACGATCTGGCGCGGCTGTTGGAAAGCAGACCAGCGTTTGGCGCTTCATCGCTGGGCAAGCTGTCTAGCCTCAGAAACGAACGCCGTAACGCCCCAGGCCTCAGCAGCACGCCCGAAGAAGGGGCACATCCGCGTGCCGCTGATGCTTTGGCAGATTCGGTGCAGTCCAATCCAGGCCAGGATCGACGCTCGCCACTGTCTGGGAGTGGTCTGCGCTCAGGCGGTCTACGTACGACGAACCCCTTGTCGCGCAGCCAGCTCGATGATCTGCTCAATCGCATGGCCGAGTCGGTCGGCATCGTTGGCTCCAAGGAGTCGGGTTCGGGTACAAGCGGCGAGAATGTGTCGGACGTGGCGACGCCGGGCGAGGTGAAGACTCCGATCGTGCCAGCTGCTGGATCACGCCCACTCACACCTGCACAGATCGCGGCGACACTAGGCAAAGGGCGAGGGACCGCTGGCAAGGAGGCGGAAGGCGTGGCCGAGACTCACATCAGTCGGGTCTCCAGTCCTGGGGCGTTCGCAAGCGTTCTGCCTGGCGAAACAGGTTTCAGACCACGCAGTGCGATCGGGCAACAGGTTCGGGCGTACGGCACCATCGCAGCAGCACACACTGGCAGCAACTTGTTGCCTGCCGCGCAGGACGAGAGGAATCTGACCGATGCTGGAGTTCAAGCATCGCCTTCGACGGCCGCAGTGCAGCCAGCTCATCCGGACTACGAAGCGGAAGGAGATCTCATGTTCAAGGTGGATGGTCAACAGGACTACAACCCGGAAGACGAGCTGCCTGGTGAGATGGAGATGGTGCCAGAAGGCGGCGGAGGCGCTGCAGTACCGCGGTCATCGGAGACGGCTCTGACGTCCTTCGCTGGGGGCGTGGAGGGCGGGATGGGAGCCACCCTCCCCGTCGGAGCTCATCGAGAAGGGCGAGCTCATGACTGGCACGCCACCGATCGCTGGGAGCGCCAACGTGCTCAGGAGGCAGAACGTCGTCGCGCTGACGCAGAAATGTCGCGCAACTTTGGCCAGGAGGTTGGAGCCAGCACTCGCGGAAGAGGCTCCCACAGCCCGTGGCGCAGCTCGTCGTCAAACATGGCACAAGCAATGGGCGCAGCTGGGTCTGCAGCCAACGCAGCAGCAGCGGGGCCAGTGGGGTTCAGGTCAAGCTCGACACGCCCGCTCGGCGGTGGCGCAAGCAGGTTGAGCGGTGTCGCTACGGGTCTGGCAGGCTCAAGCCCCAGCGGCACCGGTGATGCAAGGAGAGGGTACGGGGTCAGCGCGCCCTCGGCACAGTTTCACTACCAGCCGAGACCCACAAGGCCCGGCGCTCAGTCGTTCCCTGTTTCGAGAGACGAGCTGTTCGACGACGAGGTCGAGGAAGATGACGAGTGAAGTCAGCACACTGCAATCAGCGTCAAGTTTTCAAAGCCAAAAGGAATGACCCATGCTGTGAAGAGGACGAAGTGAGTCGTGAGCGAGGCCTCGTGACGTGGAAAGGAAGCAGCGTTGGTCGGTGTTTCGGAGAATTGGGCGAGGGGCGAATTTAGGGTTCTGCCCGTTCTTCCAGCGCGCCCTGGCCACATCACGCGTGAACAAAGTGTGGGGAGATCTTCCACCTTTCCGTCAACATCATCTACGACCGCAGGATTGCCAACATGGTAAGTGCTGCGCTCAAGCTCGGCGGCTTGTGGAATTGCTGCGTCGGTTAGCAACAGCTCTGATGTGCGTCGCTGACCACGGCATGACGAGCCTGCAGAGCTTGTGCACCAGCCACTTCAACGTTTCTGGACACTCACTGACACATCGAACCGATCCCATCTCACCCCTCCGTCATCCCTGTTTCCACCCGAACCGCATCGATCCGACATCGACGCCGGTGGCAGCCGACGAACAAGGACATCCGAGCGAAGAATGCGCAGTTCGCAGCGTCGGCGCGCGAAAACGCCGGCAAGCCGCGCATTCGCAACCCGAAATCGGCCACCGTCGAGGACGCCGATGAGACCGTGGAAAGCAGACAGACGGCGCGCGCCAGGGGGAGGAACATCGTCAAACCCGCCCGCGCAGACCGCGTCAAGAAGCAGGTCGGCGGCGGATTGAGCGGCAACAAGGTCGCGCTTGCGCTCATTGTGTTCGTCGTTGTTGGCGGCGGTAAGTATTGCCTCGAGGGGAGAAGGGGAGAGAGGGGAAGGGGAAGAGAGGAGACAATGCTGACATGTTTGATGGTTTTGCAGTCTTCTTCGAGCTCATGCGAGCGTTCCTCTAATCGCAACCTCAGCCGGTCTCTCAGCAAAAGAGGACGTTCTCGAACTTCGACGGTATATCGACCTTTGCAGCCAGCTCGTGGTGCTTTCGCATCCCTCTCACATCGCGCACGCTCACACAGACGTCCTACTCACAAAAACGCAGCACACACACACACACTCGCTGCATGGTCGCAATCACTCTCTTGTCGTGCTTACAAGAACTCTCCCACAATGGCCTTGATCCGCTTGGGATCGAGCTCCCTACCTCTGTTCTTGACCACATATTCCGCGTCGACCTCCTCCCCGTCATCCACCACCTCGTCCGCATCGCACACCGTCTTCCCCGCATCTGCCTCGCTGAGCACCTTTCCCACGGCCAACACGTGCCTCGTCTCCCCCGCTCGCACCCACACCGCTCCATTCGCCCCTACCGCAGCCTCGAACGCGCAGTGCGCGGCAACACTCTTCAACACCCCATTCCCTGGCCTGAGCAAACTCCTACACAATCCTACGCTCACCCTGAATAGCATCGCCACGCCGTTCCGTTCCCCCCGCTCATCGGTCGTCTTGAGATCTCCAAAGCCGTCGCTCTTGCCCGTGACGGGGTTGACACAGGTTAGTTCGGGTTCGGTGAACCGATCTGCGGACACGACGCGCGCGTACACGAGGGAGCCGATCTTGAGGTTTGGTCTGTGTCGTTTGGTGGCTCCTTCGAAGGACAGGGCGGGCAAAGTGGCCGTGTGCGCGGAAAAGAGGGTCACGGTATAGCCTTCTGCGGAACGAGCGGTGATCTGACCGATGACAGGGTCGGAGGGTGAGGGTACGTAGCGGTGGGTGTTCGTTTCGACCCATGCCGCGGTGGAGGTCGTTTTGGTGGAGGGAAGAATGCCGATGGAGCCAGGGCGTATGGCGGTTAGGGTGGAGGTGTGCGGCGTTGGGAGGAGGCCGGGGCCGAGTTTGACCGATGAAGATGAGGGGATGGGGAGAACGTCCCCTGGAAGAACGATCATTGGAGACTGAGTACGGCACGTTGGTTGGGAACAAGAGTGAGGGCCTGGTTTGTCTGGCTAGGATCGTGGAGCGTAGTAGCCTCTCGGATGGATGTCGACCCGGATGTGCGTGGCTGCAAGGGTGGTGGTAGGAGTGGACGAAAAGGATGGTGAGCAAGATGTTTGATGTGGAGCGTTTTCCAGAAAAAGCTTTGTCGTCCGGAAAGAAGAAATGCAAAAAAGTGTCGGGTAAAAAAACGGCGTTGAAAATGGGCACGAGTCAGCATCCTTATCTTCTTGTTCGACCCTGGATCTTGTGCAACCAACAACTCTCCCTCTCCACCACCGTCATCCTTCACTTCAGCTCGCTTCAGAGCCGGCAGCATAGCAGCCATGGCCGAGCTCAACGCCCTCCCCAAGGATCCACTCCTCTCGCAGGGTCAAAAAGATGTTCTCTCCGGCACGTTCGGTGGTATCGCCCAAGTGCTCGTTGGTCAACCACTGGACATTCTCAAAGTGCGCTTGCAGACATCACCACCAGGAACTTACACGGGTATGGTCGACTGCGCCTCGCGCATCGTGCGGAACGAAGGACCTTTCGCGTTCTACAAGGGCACCCTGACGCCGTTGCTCGGTGTAGGCGCGTGTGTGTCGATCCAATTCGGCGTTGTTGAGGCGCTCAAACGTTCCTTCTCCTCATCCAACGTCGCGAAGGGCAAAGGAGAGGGTTTGTCGTATGGTCAATTCTACCTTGCAGGAGGTATTGCTGGTGTGGCCAACTCGGTCGTTGCTGGGCCGGTGGAACATATTAGGATCCGATTGCAAACCCAACCCTCCCCGCCACTCTACCGCGGTCCCGTGGATTGCATCAAGCAGGTCCTTGCGCAAAGTGGCCTGTTTAACGGTGTTTACAGGGGTCAAATCCCCACCTTCGCACGCGAATTCCACGGCATGGGCATGTACTTTTTGACCTACGAAGCTCTCGTCTCCCACAAACTGGCGAGTTCCAACATCACAAGAGATCAACTGCCAAGTAGCTATGCCATGTTCGCAGGCGCCATGGCCGGTTATGGCCTCTGGCTCACCGCCTACCCCGCAGACATCATCAAGAGCAAGTTGCAGACAGACAGCTTGAATCCCAAGGAGAGAAGGTACAAGGGCGTACTGGATTGTATCAGGCAGACCTACAGGGCGGATGGCGCAAGAGGATTCTTTAGAGGGTTGCTGCCAACATTGGTCAGGAGTCCGTTCGCGAACGCGGCGACGTTCGTAGCGTTCGAATGGGCCGCTAGGAACCTTAGGCATGTTTAGAGGCGCAGAAGGAGCGATCGGATACAGATATACAGGCGATGGGAGATAGACTTTCGGGCAAGGCTAGAGCAATGCAGGACTGACAAGAGATGATTTGATGGCATGAAGAACGTGATGACATGAAAGGGCGAGATGAGACCATGACTGGAGACTTAGACGACGTGACAATGTGAAGAACGGGAAAGCGATGCAACGGAACATGCGAAGAGAAAGAGATCAACGAGACGAAGTGGAAACGGAGCGGGACTGCGTAAAGAAAGCAGCCAAAGGTGCGGTGACGAATGTGACGGTGACTGAGGGCGTTAGATCTTGTGAGAAGGTGGAGCGTGCCGATAGCAAGCAGAGCTGATGATGCTCACTCCTCGACATCCATTCCGGTGCTCCTGCCCGAATGGACGCTAAGCAGCTTGGGTCTGGCCGGAGAGATGCCCACGGTAGCCATCTCCTCGTCCATCTGCGCCATCTCGCGCGAGATCTGCCTTTCCATCGCCTCCAAGACAGACCTGGGCTTGTGCACATTGTTAGCAACAGCCATGGCGAATCGAGCATGCAGGGTGCAGCTGGTCCCGTCGCGAGCAGTGTGGACGCTGAGATAGCGTTCGAACGGGTTGCGGGTCATTTTGCGGGGAATGGGAGAGGTCGGCATGGGTGGAAGGGGAAGAGCTATTTTGCGCGGCTCGTCGGCGTGCTTTTGAGGATTCAAGTGAGTATCGAGGAGCGTGCTGAAGCCGGGAGACGGGCAGGGAGAGGGGCTGGCAGAGGGACTGCGCGAGTGACTCTGCGAGAGGCAGGGCGAGGGCGCAACGGATGCCGTGTTTTCGCGGCGAGGGCTCTCTTTGATGAGTTGGTCGACGCTGTTGGTCACTGCGGCGGGCACAGCGGGAGGCGAGGAGAGCGGGAGGGGAAGCCGTGCTGCATTGGCAGAGGCGGCTGCAGTGATGCGCTGCTCGGTGGGAGACGTGGGCGAGAGTGTGAGGCCCTGGGTGCTGTCCTTAGGACGAGGAGACAAAGCACCAAGGGTAGGAGTGGAGCGAGGCTCCTGATCATCCTCGAGGGCGGAGCGGGCACTGAGGTGCGAGGCTGCCGACACGAGGTTGTGATGAGCGGTGCTCTTGTTCCTGGTCGGCGTACGCTGGACGTCGGAAGATGCGGCTCGATTCTTGAGAGGCGGAGATGCCAGCATGGGCTCATCGGTCTGGTCGGCCGCAGACCCGTCAAGGGCAATGTTATCACCAACGACATCCGGCACGGAGGCCAGCTTCGTCGTGGGCTCGGCAGTAGCGAGGATCAGGGACGAAGGGTTGGTACCGCTGTCCTTCGAGGAGAGACGGGACAGCGGGCGCGAGCCCATGCCCTCTCGGGACGAAGCCTTGGCGCGAGGAGGAGGCGAGACCTGCGAGATGCCCAGGCCGAGAGGCCAGCCAGTGACGCCGGCGAGCGCAGCAGCTGCGGGCGAGACCGCGCTTGAGATGACATTGACATTGCTCGGCGTCTTTGCCCGTGGGTAGGGATGACCGATCATTCTCACGGTGGAAGAGGCCGACGCGGGAGAGGTGACTCGCTCGACCGTATCTTTCGCCTCTTCCGAAAGAGGCTTGGTGACCGCACTAGAGATAGTTCGGGAGGAGCGAGAGTGTGACTGCGAAGAAGTGTGACGATGGTGGTGCTTGCGAGCTACGAGCGCGATCGGTCTACGAGGCTTGGGCGCCACGAGGACTAGCGAAGGCGCCTGAGGGAGTGTCTGGCTGGTGGTCTCTGATTCAGACATGGTTGCTGGAAGAGCTAATGCTTGGAGCCAAGATAAAGGAAACGCTGATCTTGATGAGTGTTTACGAGATCTTGAAATTGGGAGAGCCGATGTTGATCGATGGCCTTTGAGCTGCCTGTTCTGCGTGGTGTGCAGCCGAGTATTGAACTTGATGAGAACCGTGACAGAACCAATGACTTGAACACACACTTATGAAGCAACAGATGACGGTAACGGTGACGGTGGCGATGACGACGAGAGCGCTGACAACGGAGCAAGATTCTTGAGGAGTATCGATGGGAGGGACAAGCGATGCAAGGGACGGAGATGGCAGGATGAGGAGGAAGTGGGGATAAGTTAGAGAGGATGATTGACAATTGGATGGATCGACCGAGTCTTGACTTGCCGACAGAAGCCCACTTTAGCGGAGCATCAGCTGCGCCTTTGAGAAAGAAGAGGCACAAATGGACGGAAACACAAACAGAAACACGGGAGCGGAGATGTGCTCGGCGTCTTTTCCCAGGCGCAGGCGAGCACGGCAGCGCACAAGAGGGGTACAAGGACGGTAAGCGCAGATTCGATGCATCATCGCCGCCTTTGCAGCCCAGTCGGTCGATCCGGTTGTGTGTGGGGGGCGCATCAGCTGCTAGCTGGCTGCCTGGCTGGGTTTGTGGGCTCGATAAGCGCGTGGCTTCATGCGGCCTTTTTGAGTGCGCAGTTCCAAATTCGATTCGAAAATCGACTCTTTGACCGCTGGCTGGCTGGCCTGCAGGATCACGCGGGCAGCTGTCACCCGCTTGATCAACTGACAGCGAGCAGCAATCAATTCATGGGCTGCCGGTCAGGAACCCAGCCGAGCCGCAGATTTCATCTTGAAATTGCTTTTAGCATAATTTCCCCTTTCTTCTGTAGGTTCCACTCGGCATGGCGGCAAGGGTGCGAGAGTGAGAGCAAGAGCGTGCAATCCTGAAGTCGACCTCCTTTCTCTGAGATCACAATCCTTCCCACGCCTTCATCAACCTGAAGCTTTGGCACCACGCCAAATGTGATAGGCTCACCAGCGAGCGAACAGACATGAGGAAAAGGAGCCTGAACATTGCTTGACTTCGCTTCACAACTTGCTTCTTGCACTTGCGCGATTGGGCGCAAATGATGTCCGACCTCTGCTCCATCAACCACACAACGCAGAAGAAGGCAAGATGTGGGAAGAGGTGAATACGTCGTTCGTCCACGATCGACTGCAAGCATATCGCACCGTTGTGCAAGGAAAGGCATCCTTCTTCGTGTTCCAACGACTTTCCAGTCCTAGCTCTCATCCACCAACGACGGTGCGCCAATAATGACGGACGACATTTACCTTCCAAACAGCGAAGGCAGCTCGGGCTTGTTGCCCAGGATCTCGTCGATCTGCGACATGATCTCGGGCGTCAGCTTCTCGATCAGGTCCAGCGACTTGAGGTTCTCGATGATCTGCTCCGGCTTGGAAGCGCCCAGGATCACGGTCGAGACGTTCTGCATAACGGCAAAGCAAATAAAAGATCAAGGTCAGCACGCTACTCTCCACCTCGAGAATCGATCAGACAAGGGCAACTTACGGGGTTCTTGGCACACCAGGCAAGCGCCAGATTGGTCACCTTGGCACCTAGACCGTCGGCAATCTGGGTCAGCTTCTTGACCTTCTCGATCTTGGCCTTGCCCTCGGGCGTCTGCAGCTCCTTGACCGTGTTGTCAAAGAAGTTCTTGTTCGTGTCGAAGCGCGAGCCGGAGGGGATGCCGTCGTTGTACTTGCCGGTCAGCAGACCCGAAGCAAGCGGCGACCAAATGGTGGTGCCGTAGTTGCGCACCTTGTACAGCGGGTCGTACTCCTTCTCAGGACGTTCACGATGGAACATGTTGTACTGGCACTGGTCGGCGATGGGAGGGATCAGGTTGAGGCGGCTGGCGACGGCGTGGGCTTCCTCGATCTGGGCCGCTGACCACTCGCTCGTGCCCCAGTAGAAACATTTGTCCGACTCGATCAACCTATTGAAACCTCGAACGATTTCTTCCATAGGGACAGTAGGATCAGGACGATGGGCCATGAGCACGTCCCAGTAGGGGAGCCCAGATCGCTCCAGAGAGGCATTGGCAGCCTCGATGATGTGCTTGCGGCTCAAGCCTCGTCCGTTGGGGTCCTTGGAACCGACACCGAAGAAGATCTTGCTGATGAGAACGAGGTCAGAGCGACGGAGGTTGAGGTCGCGGATGGCCTTGCCCATGTCGACCTCGCACTGGCCAGCAGAGTACACCTCGGCAGTGTCGAACGTGTTGATGCCATTCTCGAAGGCAAGCTTGACAATCTCCTTGGTCTCGTCGCTGTTGACGGTACCACCGTAGGTGAGCCAGCCTCCGAGAGAGAACAGAGAGACGCGCACACCCGAGGGGCCAAGTCGGCGGAAGATCATGTTCTTCGGATCATACTCGGGGCAGTCCTTGGGGTTGGCAGCGGTGGGAGCCATTTTCGCGAAAGTATCAAAGTCGGAAAGCTTTGTTGGTGGTGTGCGGGAACGGAAGCCGGGAAGCAAGAAGAACGTCTTTATACGCTGCGGGCTCAGTCAGTGCAGTCTCAGACGAAGAGATTCTCGCTGAGTTGGAGTGATTCAGCCTCGGAGCGAGTGCCTCGGTGGAGCCACAACATGCTGCGAGCGCAGTATGCATTGCCGGAACACGCTGCACGGACCAGTCAAATCATTGCCGGAAGCGAGCGTTCGGAAGGACCTTCGCCGGCAGCTCTTCTCCACGGCGATTTGGCCGGTTTGCATCGAAAACACAAAGCTCGGGTGTCGGCTGAGAAGAAGGCAACTTTTTTGTTGGTTCAGGGTCCTGTTCTTCGAGAAACACCCTATCCTCACCTATTCGCAATGCATCAAGATCAGGCCGTCACTGGACAAGTATGACGCTGCTGACCAGTGCAGGCAGAGCAGTGGCAGGACAAGGGAACCACTCGTACCTCGCCTGTCTGGCGAACGGCAGGAGCAATGCAAATGGCCATCCTTGGTACGCTCGCGACTATTCAGCATCTTCAGCGTCTACATCAGCATCAGCAACGGCAGCAAGAGCAAGACGGTTCTGGACATCCGACGATCCCCTGCTAAAAGCGCTACGTCGACGCCAAGACGCCTATCGCCTCGCCCAACTCGGAGGCAACGCGCGCAAGAAAGCGGAGCGAGACGAAGCGATCCAGCTCGCTCATTCAGAGATACGCTGGATCGTTCAACACCTACGCAAGCTTCAGGCAGCAGGCACATCTTCGCAGCCGAAACAAGCGCTGAACCGCGAATCGCGGCGGCAGCTCATCTCAATGTCAACGCGGATGACGAGGGAGAACGTGCCCGTTTCGTACCTGCTAGGCAGTATACCATTTGGAGCTCTCCCGCAAGAGCTCATTGTCCGACCGCCAACATTGCTGCCACGGCCAGAGACAGAGCATTGGGCGACGGAAGTGGTCAACACTCTGAGCAAGATGGATCCTTCGCAGCTAGAACACGTGCGAGTGGTCGACCTGTGCACCGGCTCAGGGTGCATTGCGCTTCTTGTCGCTGATGCGCTACGAACACGACTCGGCACGGGCGGCAGCTGGAGGGTGGTAGCATGCGACCAATCGCCGCAAGCAGTAGAGCTCGCGCAAGAGAATGCCGTCAAACTCAGCTTCACGATCAACGAACCAGACTCAAACCTGCACATCGTCCAAGCAGATATCTTCGACGATGCGGCTATGGATCAGCTCGCAAGCCTAGCAGGCGGACCTTTCGATCTGATACTCAGCAATCCGCCGTACATCCCGCGGCGAGAATGGCTGAGCCTCCCCGCAGAGGTCAAGCAGCACGAGGATCCAGCTGCGCTCATCGGCGAGCGCGATGCGACCAGCCCACCCGATCCGAGCAGCAACGGCAGGCAGGATCACCTCGACCGGATGGGCCTGACCTTCCATGAACGTCTCGCACACCTTCTTTACCGGTCCTCATTCTCCACTTCCACCCCGGGCCTGCCTCGTTTGGTCGCAGAGTACGGCAAGGCGCAGCATGCCAACGTCGAACGACTGCACATCCACCTTACGCCGCCGAAAGACCGCCTGCCGAAGATCATCAAAGTGAGCGGCCAGCTCGTTGTGATCGGGGTGGGGAATGCGACGACACATCCGAATACTCGTCACTCCATTGGACAGATCGTTCTCGATCCGCTCCTCACGAGCTTGGTCGAGCAGGATCGATCCGTGCGTTCGCGCCTGCGCGAGGTACGGGATGTGCTCGAGCAGGGTCGTTTAGTCCACGCTGATCGAGCGGGGTGGGACGTGCCCGTACCCTCTCACTTGCCCAACCTGGACCTGGACGCTCCACCACCGCCGTTGCCCTCTTCCTTGCTCAAAGTCACAGGCCCGAGCGGGGGCTGGACCGCCACCCTACCCCTCCTCATCCCGTCCTCACCGCGCTTCTTCAGCTCGCGCAATCCGGAAGATTCAACGGTCTACCAGGTGAACGTATTGCTCTTCAAGCCGGCCCATGCAATGAATCGGTCTGGCGTGGCGCTCAAAGCGTTTCTCGCATCGCACGGTGCCGAATACTCCTCCGACCGACCACCATCGGATGACGTGCTGGTGCTTCAAGACGAACTGGATCTGCCCTTTGGCGAGGCGAAACGGCGCGAAGGCGGTAGTGCGAGAGGTCACAATGGTGTACGGGACATCATTGCCCGCTTAGCTATCCCCGTCGAACCGACCAAGAAGGGTCAAGAAGGCCCCAAATTGAGTCGTGTCCGGATCGGTATTGGCCGTCCAACGGGTAAAGGGACGAGGGTCGACAGATGGGTCCTCTCCCCGCTAACGGAAGAGGAGATGCACAGTTGCAAGACCGAGGCGGAAGGAACCGTGTTGAGTCAGGTCCAGAGACACACGCTCGAATGGGTCCGGGAGCGATGTACCACGTTGACGAGGGAGATGGGGGCCGACGTGGAGAAGCACGACCGCGTATCGTCGAGGAAGGACCAGTTTGGCGTGCTGCGCACTGTGTGGGTGTCCTAGAACTCACCATTGACGAGCGCCGATCTTCACCGCCCACACTTGTTCAGACCGACTCGCTCACCCCGCGATAAAGTAGAAACAATTCCATGCAGCTCTCTAATCGATAACAAATGCAATGCTCAACGTTTACTCCCGCTACTCGAACTAAACCCGCTCTCCCTCCTCATAATCTGCTTGCTGAGGAGCATGGAGCCCATCCTCCTCTTCTCGCCGCCTGTCTTCATGCCTGTGCTTATTGATTTGCCCAAGGAAGAAGACTGGGAGGTGCCAGAGGCAGCAGGTTTGGGAGCACGTACGATGCCCGCGTCGTTGCCCCATTCCGGTTCGACGTCGTCCAGCGTCTCGACCGTTTTGGACGCGGTGGGACGGGCGAGCATGCGAGCCATGAGGGAGGTTCCTTCGTCGTCGGGGTCGTCCTCCATCGGCTCGTCGGTGACTTGTGGCGCAGGGGCGGGGCGGGAGTTGCGACCGTACTGCGCGCCTTGTTGGACCCTTTTGGAAGGTACCGGCTGAGAAGGGGCAGATGCCTTGGTGCGATCCCGCATAGCGGCGGTGAGCGCCTCATCACGATCCTCGTCCGAATCCCAGTCGTTGTCGCGTCGTTCCTCCTCATCATCGCTCAGCGCACGTTTGCCTGCCTTCCGCCGCTCCCGCACAATACTAGCGAGCGTGCTGCGGTTCATCGTCTTGGGCTGGCCCACGACAGGTCCAAACGCATCTTCCTCCACCACATCCTCCTCTTCCTCTTCCTCGTCGCTCTCCTCCCCATCATCGGCGGCGACCTCCATCGTGAGAAAATCGTACTTGTCGCTCTCGTGGTCGACCCTGTGGGTTGCGGCGTATCCCTGGACGAATGGGAGCGCCTCCTCGTGCGCAGCCAGCTTGTCCATCCCATCCTCTGTGCCGTCGAGCAGTTTGCGCTTCTTCCAGCTTGCTCCGCCACCCATGGTCGCACGCCGCTTGAGCTCCTCATCATCCGCATCGTCGTCCAGGAACCCTTCGATTCCATTCAACCCCACCCCGCGTCGCCGGTTGCGGTATCCGCCCTGGATGGCTTTCTGATGGATCTCGAGGTCCTCCCTGTCCCTCGCGTCCATGTCCTCGCGGAAGCGAGCTCGGGCGATCTCGTCCTTTGTGGCCTCGTCCAGATCCCGCTCGTTGTCCACTAGCTCCGTGAGATCCGCCGCGTCCGCATCGTCTTCCGACTCCTCCTCGGCACCCGAAGAGTCGGCGTCGTCGCCAAAGACGCCCTTCAGACCACCGGCATCGCCACGTTTGGGGTTCAGCTCTTCGTCCTCCGACTCTTCGGCTTCGCCCTCGATGAAGGCGGATTTGCGCTTCTTGCTGCGCACCTCGGGGTCGGGGAGCGGGCCTTCGCGCAGCACGTCGAATGCGTTGCGCGTCTTTGGCTCGGGTTGACTCGATGGCGGACCGGCGTCGTCGTCCATGTCGCTACCCGCATCGCTCGCCTCCGGCTGATGCACAACCTCTTCGTCGGCAAACCGCGCGCCGCGACGCAGGCGCTTGAGCTGTACCGGTGCATCCTCCTCATCGTCAAAGATCGACACACCCTGATCACCGATGTTGCTGATCTCGCTGCCGCGACGCAGTGCCGGACTCTGCGTCACACCGCCCCTCAGCTGGCTCTGACTCTGACTCTGACTGTCATCGTACTGCGACCACAGCCCCGCCTGCGTGCTCGGCTTGGTCTGCGTAAAGAATCCGTCGCGATTCATGTACATCTTCTCGGGCGACGCATTCGCCTGTGCACTCGCATACGCCTCGCGCTCCGCCTGACTCTCGTCGAAGCTCGGCAGCACCGAGGGTGTCGGCTCGAGCAGACCCATCGCGTCGCTCATTTGCGCCTTGCGGAGCGCCGCAAAGGCGTCCACCTCGGTCGACTTGGGTGGGGGCATCGTCGACGCGTCCCATTTGGCCGAGGCGGAGGGTGGAGGCGTGCCGTCGAAGAAGAACTGCGTGAAACCGGGCGCTTTGCCATGCGCCGTTTTGGGGTTGTCAAAGATGTCCAGGCTCTCGCCGCGAAGCGAATCCTGTTGGGTGTCTTGGAAGAAGGCGCCGAGTGCAGAATTGGCTGATTCGTCGCGAGTGAGGTCGCGTGGACCAGGATGGACGGAGGATGGAAGCTGGCTCGGGTCCTGGGTTTCGTCTTGCGTCTGCGTCTGATCCCAGAAGGACTTGTGAGCGGAGGAGGCGGCCAGTGCGGATTTGGCGGTCGGCGGCGGTGGCATAGTCGGCTCGAAGAAGCGGCCGAGGGACGCAGCCTGCGAAGGAATGTCGTCGGTGCGGAAGGACTCGTCCTCGTCGTGGCCGGCGCTGAGCGGGACAACGAGGGGATCTCTGCGGGGTGCGGGAGCGTGCTGCATGGCAGGAGAAGTGGTGTTGGAGCGAGAGAAGGGCATGCTCTGGTCGATCGATTGGCTCGAAATGTCGCCGAGCGGGACTCTGAAATGTCCTTGGCTCTGGCTCGCCTCGTCTGCGTGCACATTGCCGCGATTACGATCGAAGGGACCCGGCTGCAGAGCGGCTTCATCGTCTGCGTCGTCGTCGTCGTCCGCCAAGGCGCTGCGTCGGCCCCTTCGCGCGTGTGGACGCGCAGCAGGCAACTCATCCTCATCATCGTCCATGACAGCGCGACTGGGCAAAAGACTGCGGCTGAGACTCGGAGAGGCGTTGGACCGCTGCGACTGCTGACTAGCCGGAGGAGGTGCGTTTTCCTTCTCGCTGTCGTGCTCCTCATCGGCTTCCTCGATAGTGTCCCGCGTGCCAGCTTCCTGGACATCCATATTCTCGTCGCCCTCATCTGCGCTGCCCATGTCAATGAAATCGTCGTTCTCGTCGATCTCGCTCGCGCTGCCCATGTCGACATCGCTTCCGACGGCAGACTCGGCGTTGCGTGCCGGTGGCATGATGTAGTCGGGATCATCCTCATCCTCGTCCACTCTGTCGGTCTGATCGATAGCCTGGTCGTTTGCTGTCTCGCCCAATCGCTGGAGCATGGCTTGCACATCGGGAGCAGCGGATCGTCCGTACTTGTCGACCACAGAACCAGCTGCAGCTTTGGCACTTGCATCTTTGGCGTCCTTCTGCGATCGAGCCTTGAGGCTCTGAGACTGCATTTGGCGCATCAGGTTCGCATTGAGCTGAGCTTGTGTCAACTTGAGCGGACCTGAGCGAGGCGCAGCTTGTCGAGATGAAGCCTGTACGGAAGGCTGTGTCGAGACAGGCGGTGGTTGCGTCGCCGGGACGTGACCTGCGGCTTTGTCAGAAGCGACGAACAGACCCTTGCCAGCAGTCCGTAGTTGACTGTCGGTGACAAGAAGCTCATCGTGACCGTCTGCCATTTCAACGTGGTCGGCGCTGTGGTGGTCGGCGTTGGGCGAGCCATTGGCGTTGGTGCCGGTGTAGGACTTGCGACTTGGCGATGTCTTGCCCGGGCGGATCCCGATTTCTCGGTACAACTGGTCGGTAGGCCGCGGTTTGCCGGGCGTGGTGAGGATGTTGTGCTTTGCAGCCAGGACAGAGCCTGGCGTGTACAGTTCGAGGTCGTCTCCGTCCGCAGCATCAGCGTTGACGGGCTTGGTGGCAGCTTCGTTCGAAGCGAAGGCCTGCTGACGAGACTTTTCGAGAAGACGGAGCTTCATCTCGAGGAGGTGCTGCTTCTTGCGCGCAGCGTCCTTGTCGGCTTCTTGCTGATCGCGGCTTTGCTTGACGATCGACGCAAGGTCAGGTAGCTGGGCGTCCTCGTCGTCGTCGGCACCAGCGAGCAGGTGCTGCTGCCGGAGCATTTGCGCGTTTGGACCTTGCTTGGTGGCGAGACCGCCGACTCGGCCTGCGGCGCTATTCTGCAAGATGTTTGCGTTGCTGCTGCTCTGGTCTAGCCCAAGTCTGCGATCCTGCTGCCTCGATACGGGCAGGACAGGACTGCTTGAGTATGCGGGATGCGGGCTCGATCGTTCTGGAATAGGATCCGACTCAATTGGGTCAGAAGCGTGCTGGCTCTTGGACTGACCGGACGGGATTTGGGAAGAGGGCTGAGCGCTACTGTCGGAAGCAGCATCGGCGCTGTTGCTGGTGCTGGCCGCCTGACTGGCGTGGCCTCGGAAAGCCTCGCCGGCTGAAATCTTGATGAGCAGGTCGTTGAGACCGATCGTCTTCTTTTGATGGGCGGGCGCAAGTCGAGTGCGGTTCTCGCGTGCGAGACGGGCAGTTTGTTTGTGCATCGCGTCCACTTCCTTCTTGCTCAGAGGCTTGATCTTTGGCGGACCTTTCTCCTTTGAAGCAGCGGCGCGCTTAGATGCATGTTTGGGATCGTCTTGAGGATCGTCGAGGATATCTCGTTCGACTGGTGCGGCCTTTTTGCTCTTCTTGCTCTTGCTTTTTGCTGCTGCAGACTTGGAATTTAGCGCCATGAATGCTGGCATGGCGTCGTTGTGTTCGTCCTCGTCGCTGCCCTGGATGTCGAGAGAAGGCGAGCGTGATGGAATCCTTCCGGGACTCCCGCCGCCGAAGAAAGCATCCAGGAGTGGATCAGCTTCCGTATTTGCGTCCATCTCGCCTTCCCCTGCACCGTGCGCCTTTCTAGCCCTGGCAGCAAGGGCGGCCACCTTGTCGCGACGGGTCAATGCTGGCTCATCGTCGACCGATGCGTCCTGATTGGCTGGTGTAGCCGAGGCAGAGGAGGCGGAGCTGACCAGCTTAAATGTGCGAGGCTTGCGAGCATTTACCTCGTCGTCGTCTACGTCCGAGCCAGCGCTGGCTTCCTTGTCGGACGACTCGGAGAACTTGGAGCGTGATGGCTTACCACCTTTGCCTCTCATGGCCGAGATTTTTCCACCGCGAGGACGCGAGATGTTTGCACTGTTATCTTGATCGTCGTCCGCCATGTGCTCGTCCCCAGAGTCGTGCATAGGGCGCTGCATGGTTGAATGTGCCTGAGAGCTGGATGGGGGCACCGACGAGAGCGAGCCGGTGAAGGGATCCGAGTCTGCATAGCGTGCTTGTTGAGCACGGATGCGTGCAATGACCTCGTCATCAGTCTGGTCTGCGTTGCCGGCCAGCGGTCTTGATGTGAGCTTGGAGCCAAGATCGCCATCTGAATCCGAGTCCGAGTCAAAGATAGCCCTAGCCGCGCCGAACTGGAACTTTTTGGTGCGATTGACGGCGGGCGACTCTGTTGAGCTCTGCTGCTGGTCATTATCTTGGCTGTGTTGGGAGTTGTGCGAGTCGACACGACGAAAGAGGGAAGAGGCGCCGATCTTGATGGCCGAGTTGCCAGCGGGAGCCGTGGTGGCAGGGGAGACCTCGTTGGTGATGGTGACGTCGTTGGCGTCGTGATCGAGATGCGAGGCTGCTTTGCGCCCATAGGATCGCATAGGCGAGTCGAAGAGGTTGTCTGAGGGCGAGGTAGGCTGCGAAGAAGAAGAGGACGCCTCGTTCTCGGGAGCGAGTGGCTTGCGCGAGTAGGTCACCTTGGCTCTTGCACCGGCCACCGGAGGCGCTGGCTCGATCGAAGGGACCGACGACGAGACGAGCGACGAGAGCGGTGAGGATGTGGCCACCGCGGCTGTGTCGACCTGCATGGCGACTGTGTAGCAGTGACAGCGCGTCACCCGACGAGACTGCGATGGTGCCTGGACGAGGTCGGATCAGGTCATACGAAGAGCGCCAAGAGCGGCACGGGCCGGATGTGCCGAAAGAGAGTGAGAAGCTTCTGCCAAGAAGCTGGTCGGAGTGCTTCCGAATGAGTCGGAGGTGCCGATGGGAGGGAGCGTGATGACAGCGACAGGTGATGGTGTAGGAAGGACTGAAGAAGGCTCAGCCGAACCTATCTTGCTCAGGGTCAAGTACGCGGTGTGCTGTAGCGTATCTTTTGGCTACGCTAAGGTGGAGTTGCGTGTCAGTCAGCGCGGACCCTTCTTCTTGCAGTTTCAACGTTTTTGATCTCTCTCCGCCGCTGTACGCGTCGCGCGTTGGGTTTGATTTTTAGCTTCAGGGTGTTACATCTTTCAACCTCAAATCACTCTGTTATGACGGTCTTGCTGCCAATCAAAGAAATTGCTTGAGGGCCGCTTTTTGTGATTTGCAATAGGTTGACTCTGATTGGCCAGCTGCCTTGCGTTATACTGTAGGCTGGCGTGCTTCTGCCAAAATTAGAGCTCGCTCGGCACGCATCCGAACGAGAAGATCTGCAGTGAGCTCTTATCAACTTTTGGCGCAGCTGCTGTCAGGGTTCGTCTGGGTGCGGACCCTGCTGAGCGAAGGAAAGCCGCCGGTCAGCGAATGAACGAGCTCGCAATCCTGCATTGTCATCATCCGCGTCGCATCCTTCGCCGTTTCTGCAAGAAACCTGAGCGCCTGCGGAGAGTCGGAAGAACAGAGCGCAGTCGCAAAGTGATATAAAGTTTCATCTGCTTCCCCTTCACCTTCTCTCCCTCCCACTCCATCGTCATCTCCCCCTCAACGCATCCAAGATTGTCAAACATGGCCTGCTCCTCCACCAAAGCAGCCGGCGCTGGCTGTGCCAACTGCTCCTGCGCCGCCTCCTCCTCTAACGGCGCCTCCGTCAAGCTTCCCTCCTCCAAGTCCAAATCCGAGTCCACGCCCCTTCTGTGGTCCACCACTTCCGCTGACTACCAGTCCGCCTCGCAAGATGCCTCGGCAACGGCCTCCTCTTCCGCGTCCACCCTCTCCGCCTCGCACGAGTGCCCCTCCTCAACCCCTCACAACCCGGACTTTGTCTGCTGTCGCGACATCATCCCTACCGACGACCGCACGCTGATCGACCCGGACTTTGCACGCGACTGCATCGTGGGTCTCTCGGACGGTCTCACCGTGCCCTTTGCTCTCACTGCCGGGTTGTCCTCCACTGGATCGACGAGGTTGGTCGTCCTCGCGGGGCTGGCCGAGCTCGTATCGGGCGCCATCTCGATGGGCATTGGCGGCTTTTTGTCGGCCCAAGCCGAGTTGAGCCACTTTGCCTTCCAGCAGCGGTCGACGCAGCAGCGTGTGCAGCGTTCGTGTGGCACAGAGGTTCAGCGTCAGGTACACGACATTCTCAAGGGCTACGGTATCGCTGAAAACACTTCGGCGCAGATTGCCAGCGAGCTCACCGCCAAAGAGCAGGCAAGGCGGGAGGCGGAACATCTGGCAGCATCACAGGCCTTGCGCTCCTCCCAGGGTGCTCGACGCAAGATCTTCGGCTGCATCCCCGTACCGTCGTCGAGCGTCGGCGCGAAGCAGAAGAGCACGGACGAAGAAGCCCTGCTCGCAGAGGACGACGCCGAACAGGCTGGTCTCACCCCTTTCCTGCTGAAACTCGGAGAGGGTCTCGAACCAGTCAGCACCTCGCGCCTCTACATCTCGGCGCTTACCATCGGACTCAGTTACTTTATGGGTGGAATCATCCCGCTGCTGCCGTACATGTTTATCGTGGAGGCGAGCCGGGCGCTGATGTGGTCCGTGGTGATCACGGGGGTGATTCTGTTGGTGTTTGGTGTGGTCAAGCAGCGCGTGACGGGTGGAGAGGGAGGGGTCAAGGGGTACGTGTGGGGTGCAGTGTCGACGTTGGCCGTCGGAGGTGTGGCTGCGGGAGCGAGTTGGTTGTTGGTCGGGCTGCTGGAGGGCGGTGGCGAGGGAGGCATCTAGGCGAACGTAGCAATCTCGTCTTCGCAAACATTCGCAGCTTCTCTTTCGGTCTAGGTCTCGATAATCAAACCTTTCATCTCACGCACACATCGTCAGACTGTCGCACCGTATCGTTGAATCAAGACTGGTGTGTATGACTCGGTGCGGCGCTACATGATCTCGCCAGCACCACCGGCGTCCTTATAGCCCTTGGCGATGCCCTCTCTCCCTTCCTCTAGCTCGCTCGGCTCGTCCATGCCCAACCTTTGCTCTAAGCCCTTCCACCCACGCCTCTGCAGATGTGCGATCGATGCTGTCTCGAGCACTGTGGTCAGCTGGCCCGTTGTTGGGTTGCGAACCACCACCTTATCGCCATCTCCTCCAGCCTGGTTTGAAATCTGCAATGTCCCTTCTTCCGCGCTAACGCCTTGAGGTGTGCTGCCTGTTTTCGCGTTGAACTTGCGCCTGTGCACATACGTTCCGCTGATGAGCGAGAAGTGGGGTCTGTCCGCATCCTCTTCGTCCTCCTTGACGTTGCCACTCTCGCCATCGTCGACCTTCAGTTCCTCCAGCTTCGCCTCCAGCCCCATCCTTTCCTCTTCCGGCACCAGCCGTTCGAGATCCAGCACGTACCTCCCAGTCCAATCCACGCCCTCCTCTCCCCTCTCCATCCGCTCCGCCGCCCTCACCGCCAGCTCCATCTCAAAAGGCGTCACGATCGGTCTGAAGAACTCCTTGCTGTCCACCAAGGTGTTCTCTGGGCAAGCAACCAGGACGAATACGTCGATCTCTTGGAAGTTGGCCAATTTCGCCGGGTTGAGCTTGCCCACCGAGATCGTGTACACTTTGCGACCGCTCGTCGGGCCCGTGAGCAGGCGACGCAGGTACTTGAGCAAAGGGAGGTAGGAATGCACCCCGAGAGTGCCGACGAGAAGTCCGACGACAGAGGCGTCCCGCGCTTTGAGCACCGAGGTGTAGCGCTTCATGAGAAGACGGTTGGTCGAACCTGTCTCGATACGCGATGAGGCGGTGAGAGGGTTGTACGATATGAGTGGTGTCGAGGGGCCGAGGGTCAGGAGGAGGTTGGTGAGCGAGAGAGACTCCGGACCGAGGTAGAGGTAGAGGCATTCGGAGAAGGTGGTGGAGGGTGGAAGGGTGACCTTTCGAGAAGGACCGAGAGGTTGCGCTGCGTTGTCAGCAGCAATGTTGTCAATGTCCGCTGATGCTGGTGGTGCGTTGATTGTCGTTGAAGCTGTTGATGTTGCTTTTGCGCATGAGGAGGAGGCTTCTGTGGACGGGCACGATCCTCCGTTGCAGCAGGATGATGAAGTCGCTTCTGCAGAACAGGCACACGACGCTTCGATGCCCCTACAGCATCCTGCTTGTGTCGACTGGTTGGAAACGGCTGCCCTGCCATGGACGAGCTTATCATCGTAGTTGCGGCTGAAATCCACATATGTCCGGACGAGCGGCAGATCGACGCCTTGCTCTTTCAGCGCTTGTTGTGTAGCCTGAAACACGTCCTCCACGACGTGATCCCATGAAACGTCGTACGTAAGAACGATCGCCTTCACCTCTCCTTCAGCAGCGCCATTGCACATCTGCTGCTTCGCCTGTTCCGCCAGGCTCCTCGCAGCAGCAGAGACGTCCGCTAGCGGCTGCTTGGTGAACACGTAGATCACCGGCAGCCTCGCCGTGGCTGACAGACAGGCATGTCCGTAATGCACCACTAGATCCGCATCGACGTGTTTGGCAGCGACCTCGTCGACGCAGCATCCTCCGTAGCTCGTGTCTGCTAGAATGTAGAACTCCGGCAGGCTCTTGTTCGCTGCAGTCGAGGTTGAAGCTGCGTTCGTGTTGGCCGGGTCAGCAGCGTAGAGTGTCCGAACCTCCCGCTTCAGCGCCCAGTATACGGGCACAGAGTCGATCAATGCTTCGTCGGGAAATTGCAGTGCTACTCGCTGGAAGCGGCCGCTGTGGATCTTGGCTGCCGTCGAGACGATGTCGTAAATGTGGTAGATGGAGCGGCCTGACGAAGAAGCGGTGGCCGACTGTGCGAGAGGGTTAAGCTCGAGAGGAGCGGTGAGGACAGCCTCGTCTGTAGTGCTGAAGGCCGCCATCGTTGTAGCACTGCTCGCCGTCGATTCGGTCTCGGTGGAATGATATCGAGAGGAAGAGAGGATGGTGTCGAGGACCCTTTTGCTCCTTGTCCAACCAAAAATTTCTTCTGAGCAGCAAAGCTGTGGAGGGTCCCGCAGAGGATTGATTCAGACTGAGCAAGCGCAAAAAGCATTGCCTGAAGAGTCGCAATCAATTTCGACCTCTCTTAAGCTTACCCGGAAATCGGAAATTTAGGGTCGCCGCGGTGTGGAGGCAAAGTCGCTCGTCAGTGCGCAGCAGCCATCCTTCCATGACACATCCTTCCTCCTCACTCGCTCCATACAGCTATCAGCCGCCGTTACGACCAGCAGATCGCAACTCCCGCCTTGCGACCAGCTGCACATCCGAAGCAGCATATGCAGTCGTAAACGCATCGTCTTTGCAGGCACGCCGCGCTCGTGCATAGCCAGCCATGGCGAGCCAGAGGCACACGCCCGGTCCGGGCCAGGGTCTCACGTCCACAGCAAAGGGAGGCAACAACAATGCCCTCTCAATATCGGAACACTCTAGAGCAGCTGGTATTGGAGCAGAGACCATCGACGACTTTCTCGATCGACAACCACGATCGGTCCTCATCCGGCTGTACGAGAAGCCAGCATCATGTCTCGCCATCTTCCGCCTGCTGCCCATGATGGCACGTCAACTCATCATGCACATGCTCTTCCTCGACGTGCCACTTGCAGCAGATGACTTCCTTGCTTGGATCAAGAAGGAAGCCAAAAAGGACTTTGATGGTGCTGTGGACAAGCTCTCGCGCTTGTCCATCGTGCAGCTCAAGACGACCGGAGGCAAGCAGATCCTCCTGCTCAATGCCGTCTTCACAGAGGGGATGCGTAGGGCGTTGACGGGCGGAGGAAAGCACAGATCGTTCGGAGTACCTTGCGATACGGAAGACAAGAATGCCGTCGACGTGGCCTTCCTGGACCAATACGCACGAACAAAGTGGGAGACCATCTTGCACTACATGGTCGGCAGCGACAACTCTAGCACACCACGAGAACCCGTCCTCTACCTGCTACGGAGAAGCAACCTCATGCAGCCTAGATCGAGCGCGAGCTCAGGCGGAGGACTCAACATCACCAGTCGAGGATTCCAGTTCTTGCTCGAGGACGTCAACACGCAACTATGGGATCTGCTCTTGCAGTACCTCGACATGGCAGAGGAGCGCAACATGGATCTAGTCGAAGTGCTGGCCTTTCTCTTCATGCTCGGAAGCTTGGAGCTGGGACGAGATTACTCGACCGAGGAGCTGCCCGAAACGCAACTGCACATGCTCGAAGACTTTCGCGATTATGGACTCGTCTACCAACGCAAAGCCTCCAGCCGACGCTTTTATCCCACTCGTCTCGCCACCACTCTCACATCATCTGCTGCCATTCCTCTGCTGTCGAGCAACGGAACAGAGCAGGAAGAGCGAGGCTACATCATCCTTGAGACCAACTACCGTCTCTACGCATACACCTCGAATCCACTCCGAGTCGCGGTGCTGTCCTTGTTCGTCACGATCAAGGCGAGATTCCCCAACCTCGTCGTCGGCTCCATCACGCGTGATTCGGTCAAGTCCGCACTAGCCAACGGCATCACGGCGGAACAGATCATAACGTACCTCACGCATCATGCGCACGTCCAGATGCACCGCAACGACCCGCTGCTCCCCGTCACAGTGTCGGATCAGATCAGGTTATGGGAGCGAGAGAAGAACCGCGTTCAGCAGAATCTGGGCTCGCTGTTTACCGACTTTACCAGTCAATTTGACTTTGAGGAGGTGAGGAACTATGCCAAGCAGCTGGGCGTGCTGGTGTGGGAGGACGATAGCAAGCGCAGGTTCTTCGTCGACGAAGCGGGGAACGAGCCGGTGCGCGACTACATTCGTCGTAGGAGGGCGTGACCCGTCATGCAATGCGACGCGATATACTTGTGCTTCAAAGTGCGTTCAACCCTGTGATGAGGCTCTGATCAAAAGTGAGCTGAAGGCGGCTTCTTGTCCTGGCTCGATCGCTCTAGAAAGGGTTCATGGACCATGTCGCGTCTCGATCCGCTCTGATTTGAACGGCGGTGGAGACCAACACTTTCACGCTGTGGAGGAAAGCGACCCTTTTATTCTTCTTGATGCACATCCACCATCTTTGACCCGCATCGCCCACACTCACATCGAAGTCGCTGGCTTCACGTGGACCAGCATGGAGCTTCGTCATCGGTCACATCTGTCAACAGCTGGAGATGACTCGAGATCGCCGCCAGTGTCGACCGCGCCAGCTCCGACAGTACCGCAGCGTTCGCCAGTAAACCACTTTGCACTCTTCTCCTTCCTTCTGGTCTTCCGCATCCTGGTCGCCCTGGGCACAAGAACGTTCTTCCAGCCCGACGAGCACTACCAGACCACCGAGATTGCGCATCGCATCGTCTTTGGCTATGGCTTCAAGAGCTGGGAATGGTCTTCTAGCAATGACGTTTCTTCGCTCTCCAAATCTTACTTCAGAGCTGCGCTGCGCAACCTGCTCCACGGACCGATTCGCTCGATCCTCCATCCGCTACTCTTCGTGCCCGGCTACACGCTGCTCAAGCTGACAGGTCTCGATCAGACCTCTCTGCTCGTCCTCTTCCCTCGGCTTCAACAAGCGGTGATCGCAGCCGTCGGCGACCTTTACACGTTTCGACTAGCCAACCGCGTCGGTGGACCTGTCGTCGCATGGCTTGCCACCCTCGTCAATCTCTCCAACCTGTACACGCTGTTCACGGCAACGAGGACGTTAAGCAACTCGACCGAGGCGGCGATTACAGCGGCGGCGCTCTTCTACTGGCCGTACGTGCCGTTCTTTTCGTCGCGCTTCGACGTCAATACCTTCTCGACGGTCCAGGAGCGAGTGAAGCTGCAGGCGTTGCAAAGCCCAGGATGCATCTGGCAGCAGTCGGCTCCGAAAGAGACGTATACGGACCTCAGCGACCAGACAGAGTACGACAGGGATTTGGACCAGAAGCAGATTTCGAGGCTCGTGTACGACCGGACGCTTCGAAAAAGTGTCGTGCTTGCGGCTCTGGCGTGTTTGTTGCGTCCGACGAGCGGAGTGCTGTGGGTGTTCCTGGCCGTGGAGCTGTTGGTGCGTCAATTGCATTGCCTTCACCCGAAATCTTCACCTGCATCCGGCGGCAAAGGCAAGCTCGGCGGCGAGGCGGAACAACAGGAAGGATCGGTGCTTCCTCTGCTCGAACTCATCGGCGAGGCTGGCAGCTTTGTCAACATCCTTCTGACTACCGCTCTCGCCGCCCTTGGTCTCGCTCTCGCGGTCGACACGGCCTACGACTGTCTCGAGAACCAAGCACCGCGAGGCGGTCGGCTACTACCCGCGCTCAGCCTAGTCTCGTTCCTGCACAAGAACGTCGTCTCCAACATCAGCATCTTCTACGGCGCCAATCCATGGCATTTCTACCTCTCTCAAGGTCTGCCCGTGCTCTGCACCACCTGGCTACCCGCAACGCTCTTCGGCCTGATCACAGCACTGCAAGTCGACACAAACGCCGTGATGCGACGGAGCCTGGGCGACAGTGCCAAGCGGTCGCTCGCAAAGCTCGTCTGCGTCACGATGGCGCTCTACTCGCTGTTGGGCCACAAAGAGTTCCGCTTTCTCCAACCGCTTCTCCCTGCGCTCAGCGTGCTTGCTGCTAGCGGGCTTGCAGAATCCTACGCGCGCGACCCGCAGTCGATCGCGAGGCTACGCCAATCAGCAACCCCACCCAAACAGCTATGGCGATCGCTCAACGTGCTGCCGTTCTGGCTTCGCGCTGTTCTCCTTACCTTTCAACCAATGGCCGCGGTGTACCTGATCACCGTCCATTCCGTCGCCCAAGAACAAGTGCCGTATAAGCTCGGCCAGCTGTACCGCCAACAACAGCTCTCGCCTCCCACGGAACCCGTCGAGTTTGGTCCGGACTTTGGTCGAATTCACAACCTGGGCTTCCTCATGCCGTGCCACTCGACGCCGTGGGCGACGCACCTGCATGACCAACAGCTGGTCGAGCGTAGCTGGTTCATCGAGTGTCCCCCACCCCCTTCCTCGATGACGCCAGCACAGAAGGGGAGGGAATACTGGGATCAGAGCGACTTTTTCTACCATGACCCGATCCGGTATCTCGTCGACCGCTTCCCGTACAATGTCGACACGACCTATCCCTCCGCGCCTGACCCGATTAGGGGGGCTGGGGAGAATCCTTGGGATAAAGGCTGGAGACATTCCTGGCCAAGCCATTTGGTCGTCTTTGAGAGTCTGTTGAAGGAAGGGACGCGGAAAGCGGGGCACACGAGGACGCTGAAGAATCTACTGAGCTTGAAAGGGTACAGAGAGGTGGGGAGGTATTGGAATACGCCCAAGCACGAGGATCCCAGGAGGGACGGGGATATCGTCGTGCTCGCGTACAAGGGCCCGCAGTCGCATCGCTAGGTCGAAATGTCAGTCAAAGCTACAAAACACATGACGCTGCTTCTCTGAGCAGGAGAGATCTCTCCGACCGTTGATCCCTGAGTAGTTAGACGGTGTGAATGATGATCGACAAGCCAATGAGCAAGACCCTTGAGAAGAAGATGGCGCACGGCTCAGCCGCGACTCCACATGCCCGACTTCCGTGTCCCTTTTTTTGGTGCAGTGACGCGCGGCATGGAACCGAAGCTTCCTTCCTTCCCCTCTGCCCATCCCTCCTACCCATCTGTCTGTCAACGCCCTTCCTGTCCGGCATCATGGCAGCCCTACCCTACATATCCGTCCAGCCAAACTATGCAGACGTCTTCTCGGACGTCTCCTCGTCCACCATCGCAGGCGAAAAAGTGTGGCTCTCGTACTACTCCTCCAACGCTCCGTCCTCCAGCGTGCACGTGAAGCTGCCTCTCCTTCAGACCAAGGACGACGGCACCTCCTCCACCCAAGGCTCCGTCAGCATCGGCGAGCTTGAATCCTCCGGCGGTCCCCCCAACGGTCTCTCCATCTCCCGCGTCCCAGGTAGCTGGCTCGACCTCTCCCTCACCCAAACGTCCCCCGCAAACTCCGAAGATGGGCGATCAGCACGCTCCCTCCAACCGAACATCACCCTCGATCCCAACATCACCATCCGTTTCCCCAAGAAAACGCTCACGCATCTCCTCCCAACGCAACGCACGTCCAAGGTGAACGACAACTATACCAACCATCCGACGATCGAGGCGTTCGACCTCTCTCTTGGCACCGCAGTGGACGAAACGGATCTGTTTGTCGCCGGTGGATCCGAGGGCGCACTGTACACGTCCTACCTGTCCACATTCGATACGGACGCTGCGCGCGCGGAGGCACTCTCCTTGCTCACTCCAGAGGAACGAGACACCCTGGCGGGGGAAAGCGATACGAAATGGGAGCTGGAAGCACGCGTTCGTACGCACGTCAACGCCGCTCGTGCTCGGGTGACGAAGAAGACCGCCCTCAAGGGTCATGTGGGCGATGTGCGCTGCGTGAAATTCTTTCCGTCCAACCGTGTCGTCTTGTCTACGTCGTCCGATTTGACGGTGCGGGTGTGGGATGCGTTCACGGGTGACAACCCGCGTACGTTCAGGGGGCACAAACGGGCCGTATTGGCTGCGGGCATTGTCGGGCGCGGGAGAACGGTCCTGACTGGTGGAGCGGATGGGAGTGTGCGGTTGTGGGACGTGGGAGCGGACAAGCAGGCTCGGTTGATGGGTAGCGAGCGATTCTCGGCTGCCAACTGCCTCGCCCTCAAGCAGCAGGCGGAGGGGGTGGAGGGGGAGCAGGAGCACTTTGTGGTGGGTCTGGCCAGTGGGGGATGGCAAATGTTTGATCTGCGTACAGCAACGGCGAGCGTCGGTGGGGGGAAGTACGTGTTTCCGCCAGGGGAGGAGCCGGGTGCGTCCGAGGTGTGGACCCAGACGCCCACCGCGGGTGTCACTGCCATCGACGTGGCCGGTAACACCGTTGTCACTGGCACAACCAACGGCATCGTTAGCGTGTGGGATCTGCGCCACACTCCCTCCTCTTTCTCGGACAAGACCGCTCCGCCAACCGGCCTGGTGACGGCGTGGAGGCGCAACAACGCCGAGGTCAACCATCTTCGCCTCACCTCCACGCCAAACGGGCTGGACGTGCTAGTGGCCACGCAGGACGGACTTCCCTACCGCGCTAGCCTCGCACCGAACGAGGGATTATACGAGGGAGGCTGGACGGGTACCGCGCCAAAGGTGGTCAGCGAATACGCCGGATGGGATTGCGACCAGACCAGCTGGATCGGGCTCGATCGCAATGGTCGCACTGTCATTGCGGGTGCAGAGGGTGCCGTGCGACGCTACTGAAGCACATGAAATACACCTCCTTCGTCATCCTCGAGTCCTTGTGTGATACGACGAAGCTACGCAAGTGTAAAAAGACGGTGAACATTGCCAGTAGACGAGATACTACACGACGTCTCTACCCAAAAGTGATCTTCTTTGTCACCCGCCTGGTGCCGTCGACAATGGTGCTTCTGGACGGTGTCCTCATCAACCCCACCTGGTCTCCCTTTTGCTCACTGTATACGCTCGCAATACTCCCTTTGCGGGTAAAGATCCACCGATGGGCCGATGGGATCTTGGCCGCGCTAACGATGGTGCTTCTCGATGTGGTGCGTGAGAGCAGCCCCATACCGCTGGTCTCGTTCGGGGACGGGACGCTGGCGCTGCTTAACGGTGAGCCCATACCCAGGCCTGACGCGGACGGCGGTGGGTGGGCGCGTGAGAAGCTCAGCTTGCGCCCCAGGGAAGGCTGGCAACTCTCGACGCTTGCACTCGAAGTTGACCCCACCCCAGACGCGGACGAAGGCGGGGTGGCGCGGGAGAAGCTCAATTTGCGACCCAGACCGGAAGGCTGGCTGGTGGATCGGGTGCGCGTGGCGACTCCCGGGCGGGTGGTTGTGGTCGATGGCGGGTGGGGCTGAGTTGGTGCCATCGGGGCGCTAGGACGACGCATGTGCACGGCTTGGCGGCTCGTTGATTGCGATACTGGCGCGCTTGGACGAATAGCAGCGGGTGGTGACGATGGCGAGCGACACACCGCGACCAGCGGCAATTGCCCACCTGTCTTTGGCGGTGACGAGCCACGATGCACGGCAACAGGCGACCCGGACACCATCCTGACCGGTGTTGCTGGTTTACCTTCCGTCGTCGTCCGCCTCACCGCACTGCGCAAGGTCAACGAAAACTTCCTAAACAGCCCCGAACTTCCTTCTCCTGACATCTTCGGTGAAGTGGCACAAGGACTGCGCGTGGGAGGCGAGTAATGACCGGGAAAGTGTGGTGTGTGCACCTCGTCTAGCAGCTCGATTGGCTCGCGGCCCTCGAACGCGGATACGAACGTGGCGACTGACAGGGTGATTTCTCGGCCCCTCGACTGGCGAGCTGATGAGACGGTGGGAGGCTGGTGTTGCTCCCTTTGGCTGCGGATGGGGGTGGTGATGGGCGAGGGTGCGTTCCTCACAGTCGACGTCTTCGTTTCCCCACCTGCGACACGAGGCGATGGCACCCGTCTACTTTCAGTCGACGTGGATGCCACGGTCGGCATCCTGCCCCCGTCACTGCTCGGAGGGCTCGGTGGCAAACCCAAATACTCCCTCGGCGACTTCCGCACGCTCCTCAAACTCACTCTGCCCACCGCAGCAAATTCCTCCAGGCTCTCTCGGCAGTGGTCTGGCCTTGGTGGTCTCTTGGGTGCCTGCGTCTTGTGCCTCGACGTCCACGCTGGTGTTGAGGGCAGCGTGCCGATGCGGACCTCCTTCCCCTCCGCACCGTTCTTGACACGCACCAGGGTGGTGTCTAGCACACATGTCTGTCGTGCTACTTGCACCTCGGTCGACGCGCCAACGCGGGCGAAGAGCAGACTCTCCTCCCATCCTCCCCCCTTGACCCGCGCCAAGGTTTGGGATAGCACCCGCATGCGGTCCTCCGGTGGCGTACGAGGTTGGCTCGAATCGCATCCGCCAGAGAACGAGGAGACAGGGCTGTACGGAAATATGCTCTCCAGTCGACCCATTTCGTAGTCGGCCAGGATTCCCTCGCACAGCATGGAAAGGGGCGACTGCGGTGCCGATTGACGCCCGATGATGCATCGCGTGGTGTCGTGCTGATCCGTCGGGATTGTGATGGGGCAGGCTTCGATATGACCTCGGGGAGGAGGGGCTACGTGGATTGAGGAGGTGGTGAGCGCCAGTGGGAGAGGAAAGTGATCCCGGCTCAGACGGCGGGCGACGCATGTGGACGACATAGTGCAAAGGTTGACCTGGACGCACGGCTGGAACGGGGTCCTATTGCGTTCAACGAGAGGCAGACGAGGCCCTCTATATGTATTCTGAACACACACCGCTGTACACAGGTCCGAGGCTCAGCATCCAGCGCGCAAATCGACCGCTCGGCACGTTCAACCGTGCGTCTTCAGGCTCGTGCATCAAGGGCCTCATCGTCTGATCGCTCTGCATGCTGATGGACCCGTGGAGAACCAAGAGACGATCAAGGGTCGTGCGTGCGTCTCATCGGCCAAACGCACTTCCATAGCGACTGGTGAAGCGTGACAAAGGGGCGCGAGATCGCCTCAATATGAAGCTCGTCTGCGCCCCTTGGCGCAGCAGGAACAGGCGTCGGGCTCGTCCGGACATCATCGCCGAAAAGCATGGAGGAGAGCCGCGCTCCGGCCACTTTCGGGTCAGGAGGACCGACCAAGTTTCCATCAATGTCAAAGGATCTGGCGTCATCCGTCAACCATGGATGAATCGGATCACCACGGCTCGCAGCGTCAACAAACGTCTCGTAAGGCATCCGCGGTCCGTGCTCTTGACTCGCCACATCTGCTCGCACAGCCTACCACAACTTCATCACAGCCCGACGTCTTCACTTTGAGCCTAGAGGGTATGTTCTCGGCATTTCCATCAACGATCAATTCTCCGGAATCCTAAACACCGTGATCTCCTGCTGCTTGAAATACCGTCTGTTCTCCTCGTCGATGAGCACGAGATTGAGATAGTACCTCGTCGAAAACTTCTTGTTGACATCCCGGAAAGTGGGGGTGAGTTCGAAGCCGCCAAGGAAGAGGCGGATGGGGATGGTCTCCCCGCGAACAGGGGCGCCGTCCATGATCTCGAACTTGGTGATGGTTTCGCTCTCGTTGTACTGGTTCGGTGCTGCACCGGTAGTTTCGCGCCGGATGATGGATAGTTCCATGTGCTTGATCTTGATTCGGACGAGAAGGAAGTAGATCTTGCCCACGATCACGTCCTTCAGATGGTATCTGCAGTGCAAAAGAAAGGGTGGTGAGATGATGTCATGCGCGGAAAGGAAGGGGGAGAAAGGTGGGTGGGTGCTCACTTTGACTTGTTGTACTCAAACTCGATATGCAGGCAATCCTCAATGCCAACCTCCATCTTGATGGCATTGTTGGAATCTGGCGGCATGCGATACGAGTGCACCCAGATGTCGCGCTCCTTGACCACGTCCGTCAGCCGCCTCGATATCGTCACTCGAATGTAATACCTGTCGGTCATCGCAAGGGAACAGTCAGCATCACGCCGTGTCTGGAATGAAAGGGGAGCTACAACACACCTCAACTTGACGTTGATGCCATTGTAGCTCTCGTACTGCTTCTCGACGTTTTTGAACTCGAACTCGAAGTTCTGCGCTGCGCGCATCTCGCCCGGTGACGCGAGCTCTTGGACGAGCGAGAGAAACTCATAGTGGTTGCCGCGGTCGTAGAACATCTCTGTCCGTGTCGAAGCATTGAGCGCGGGAAAGAGTCAGTTGGACTTCCGAGTTGTAATAGGGGTCGTTGTCGGCGAGGAAGCACCTACCTATGCTGCCAACAAACTCGATCTTGATGCCTTCGTGCACGAGCTTCTTGCCGTCCCGCACACGAACTGATACCTGTGGGCGCGACCGAGCGAAATCTTCCAAATGTCAGCTTCGAAGAGCTGCCTGTCTTCACTTGAGCGAACGAGTACCTACCGAGCCCTTGACCGCCTCGCCATCAAAGTAGATGGGACACTTCTCCTTGCCCGCCTTGTCCATTTTGATCTCGACCTGCTTGCGCGCATCCTCGCCGTCGAGACGCACGTCGACGTCGACCGGCGACGAGAACGAGAAGAAAGATGCCATCTGTGTGTTGTTGGACCTGCTGCTCGGCTATGTTTGGTGGAATGCTGTGCCGTGCTGCGTAGGTGATTGCTGAATGGATGCGATGTGGTTGCGAAGATTCCTCCAGATTGCTAAACGGTCTGGAAGGCGCGTTCTGTGACGAGAGGGTGTGCACAGCAGTGTGATCGTTATGCAGAAGTATGCGCCGCTAGTTGGTTGATGAGATGCGTGAGACGGTGACGGTGATGACGGATGCCAGCCTCGATAGCGTCGAGAGTGGAGGCGGTGAGCAAGGTGTTGATCTGGTGGTGCACGCTGCGCCCTGTGCGTCGCTGTGTCTCACCCAAGAACGCGTTGGCTGAGGGGCTCAAATTTGGCGGGGCTCGCATCTCGGATCGTAGAAATTTCACAGCCCGATCCTGCAGCTTGCCAGCCTCGTCGAGCTCAAAGATGATATGGAGGAGGGCCTCCTTTGGCCTTAGCGGAGGGCGCTGTGATGGGGCAAACGTCACAGATACCACCAGGTCTAGCTATATCGACGGCGAGAGGCAGGCTCAACCATCTTAGAATCATCGCAAAAAGCAGCAGGTGCTCGGGCAGCTCAAGCTTGACGGCTTGCACGATACGCTGGTGGGATGCGGTCGAGCGCTCGATTGAGTTCGGTCCGCAAGATGTGATGATTAGTACAAGTACAGTATGATAGCAGAGGATGCTGTGACAATGTTCGACCGAAGGCTCCAGCTGGCAAGAGGTCGTCGAATGTGGTCGCCAGCTCGTTAGGCTGGAGGCTTCCCGCTTGAGCGATTTGCAACGCTCGCCAAGTCGGACCCCCTTCACTTTCCGATCTCGTGCTCGGCGAGCAGCATATTTGGAATGCCGCTTCGGATCTGGTAGATGTGTTGGCAATTGGGGCAGATCATTTGTCCTTCGACGACGTGGATCTGTGGGTCGCAAGCAGGCACAAAAGGCAACAAAGCTGGTCAGTCGAATCTGCTCACTTGCACAGCAATCTATCTGCGGTGTTGTCCGCATACTCACCTCGAGCAGCACGTGATGTAGCAACTTGATCAGCGCCTCGTCCTCGAGCGGTTGTGATGCGTCCGGTCCTTGGTCTGGCAACGAAGTGTCGCCCAGACTCCTTGCCGTCTTGACCAGCGCTGGCCAGTCGAGCTTCGGCAGGAAGCCCTTGATGAATGTGTCGTTCTGTTCCGCCTCGATCAGCTCGAGCTGCACGTCTTTGAGAAGGAGGGGGAAGTTGTTCGATGTCGTTTGACACGCTTTGGCGTGACACGCGAGCAGGTTATGTGTGAGCAGTCTCATTGTGAAGGATGTGCTGATGTGATGGCTCCTTGTTCAAGCAGGCTGTCGATAAAGATGAGTCCGACGAGAGGATGGTGTGTTGCGCTTGAAGAGGATTGGACGGTGTCAAAGGTCGAAGGAGGAGAGGGTGGAGTAAAGACCGTCAAAAGAAGGGTCCGTTCTTGCTCAAAATTTCCAGAGCTTCGCAACGGCAGCATCACGTGAAATTTCCATCCAGGCCCACTTTTTGCCTCGCTCTAACAACGCCAAATCCAGCGCCACCCTCCGTCCTCAACCCGATAGATCCGTAACGACGACCGACGACTTCATACTTCTCAAGACCCACCACTATGCTGTCCTCGCATCGTTGTCTTACACACACACAAGTTCATAAAGATCAAGATTGAAATCTCCGAGAGTGGACCGAGACTGAAGCCGAAGCCGTGTAGCATCATGGCTTGTCACGCCGCTCCAGCCGCGATTCCACGGCACACAGCCCGTGTTGAGGAACAAGGCTGAGACAGGTGGTGTCGATATCGACGCGGAAAGCAAGGCTGGACGGCACGATATGAGATGGAGCGTCTTCGAAGTGGGTGCAGCTTTTCATGTGACGTTGTACATCGACCGTATCTTCCTCTTGACAATACAAAGAGCGTCGCTCGAGGAGGGCCGGGCTGTGGGTCGGTCTATATAATCAGCTCTTCTTCTTGTCAACCTCGAACGTCATCTTTACTCTCCTGTTCCCGTCTCCTCTGTCTCTCCCTCTCTCCAACATTGACCGTCCTCGCCAACAATGTCGACCTTCGCCCCCCTCCTCCGACTCCTCACGCTCCTCTTCCTCGTCAACGTCACCCTGGCGTTCGACATCACCTTCCCCGCCCCGACCAACTACTGGGTCGCCTGTGGCTGGAACAACATGACCTGGAGATCTCAGTCCAGCGACCCTTCCATCGTGACGATCATGCTGACCAACACCAACAAGACGTTGCTCAACGACGATTTTGAGATTGGCAATGCGCTCGAGGGAGCTGACAATGCGGCGATGGTCTACGTCCCCTGCCTACCAGCAGCGGATGGGTACGCGTTGCTGTTTGTCAATGCCAGTGGATATGATCACAAGCGTAAGTTCTTACCCTTTGAGTGAAGATTTCCATGGAGAGAGAATAGCTGACACACTTGCAATGAACAGCGGAGAAAGTGATTTATACCTCCAACGAGTTCGGTATCAAACCCAAGGGGTCGACCCCAGACCCGGCATCGGGGCAATCAAGCATCCCCAACCGATATCAACCGTATCTGGAGACACCCGGCATCGTTCTGCCCCAAAAAGGTCCCAGCGAGGTCACCAACACTACAACAAACGCAAACAGCACCGACGGCGCACTCCCCAAACTCGACGGCTCCGCTGATACCTTCAAGGACTTCCATCCCACTCAGCACAATGCAGCCGCGAGCAGTATGACTGTAGTTGGGGATGTGCTGTTCGTCGTTGTGGTCGCTGCGTTCACCGCTCTCGTGGTCACTTCCTAGACCCCAATGGCTGTCGTGTCATAGCCACTGTTCGTCCACCACTCTTTGAATAATGAGAGATGCTGTGATGATACAATGAATGTGCGATCGAGTGACGACTCAAGCGACAAATTCAGTGACTGGACGAAGAGCTCGAGCTGGAGACCGAGCTAGAAACCGAACCGGTGGGAGTGATCGTGACGTTGATGGTGAACGACGCCGCTTCAGGCCTGTGAACGTGATTCTCCTCCGGTTCCGACCTCTTGGTCAAGTCCATCGAGTCCGATTCTGGCAGGCTCGCACCATACTTGGCCATCCTGTCGACGATCTCGTTCCCAGCGATCCCCGAGTGCGCCTTGACCTTCACCAGCTTCGGTGGCGGATACCTCGAGTTGATCTCCTGGTCGAGCTGCACGATCAGATCCTTGTTCGACACATTGTCACCCGTGGACGTCTTCCAGCCTTTTGACTTCCAGCCAGATATCCATTTTTCCACGCAGTCCATACTGTACTGGCTATCCGTCTGAATGAGCAGCTGACGACCGTCATTCGGGCACAGCTGGATGGCGCGGATGAGAGCCATGAGCTCGGCGCGATTATTCGTCTGCGGTTCGCCAGGTAGGCGACGCGATTCGTTGAGATGGTGCAGTTCGGGATCCTCGAAGAAGACGCCCCAGCCAGCGCGCGCGCCTTTCTTGCCGTTGCCGATGGAAGAGCCGTCGCAGTAGACGACCGTCTTGCGGCCGCTCGACGTGCCGGCGTTGACAAAGACCGGGTTGACAAACGGGTGCATGACGGGTCCCAGCTCCGTGGGAGGTCGAGCTGGGGACTGCTTGCCCTTCTTGCCTGCTTTGCTCGGAGCATTCTTCGCATATGGCTGGTAGCGATTGTCGGACATTGTCGACCGCGTTGCGCCAGAAGATGAGCCAGCACCGTATCCATCACCCTTGACGAAGCTTTTTGCGGAAGCTTCAGTGTCAAACTTCTTGTAGACCGCGCCCGCAAAGCCTTTCGTCTGCGCCTCGCACTCGGGCCAGGATCTGTAGACGCCCGGTGTCTTGCCCTTTTGAACGGCGTAGTAGCCGCCTTTGCTTGCTTTGCCCATGCCTGTTGGCTCGAAGTTGGGTGAGAGCGGGACGAAGAGGTGCGCGTAGTGGAGATGGCGGTCGTAAGGAAGGTGCGTCGATAGATGCCGCACGGCTATTTTAGAGGGGGCCGAAGCTAGCGGAACGGATCGCAGAAACGCGTGTCTGCGCAGCGCGTCGAGTGGTGGCAAGGTCGGACGTGTGCAATGCGCAGCTATGAGGTCCAAAGATGTCCGTGCACCAGCGCGGGCGAACAATGGGCCGAGGCGGCTCGAGCTGGTCATGCAGCTGAAGACTTCATTTGAGCGCGTCGAGAGTCGTCTACGAGTGCCCTTTGTCCATTGTGTGAGAGACAGCAGGGACAAAGCTTTTGCACTTGAAGCGAGGGCGAGAGGTCGTGCGGATGTATGCAGCGTGAAGATGAGATGATGGAGCACAGCGAGCCAAAGTCGACTCAGGGTCCAACAGACAGACAGACAGAGGTTTGCTGATTCGGCAACTTGATCGGACCGCGAAAATGTGCATACAACAACAAATGACTGCTTTCTTCTTGACGTGGGTCGCGCTTCGTTCCCAACCTCGATCAGCAACTCGCGGACCGCACCAAACAAGGAGCCTCGAAGGGACACCGAGAGCTGTCAACCGCAATGGAATGCTGCATAAAGACTCCATATGCGCTAGTCTTGACGTCCTCATTTGAGGAAGACTTCATCCTCACCGACGTCGTTTGATGCCTCGTCCGCAGAATCGTAGCCATCGGTGCGCGGGAGAGCGGCGGCTTCCTTTGCCATGCCCTGTACCGTATCGAAGCCCGGGACTCCATAAGTATACTTGAAGTATTCGAACTGAGGTCGAGGTCTTCGCGAGCATCTCTGGTCCTCGAGCTGCACGATGAGGTCCTGATTCTTGACGGGTTCGCCTTGCTTGGTCAACCAGCCATTCTTCCTCCACTCCTTGATCCACCTTTTGATCGACTTGACGCAGTAGTTGCTGGAAGATTGGATGAGGAGCTTGCGGCCGTCGTTGGGGCAGAGCTGGATGGCACGGATCATGGCAGTGAGCTCGGCACGATTGGCAGTCTGTACGAGACCGGAGAGACGGCACATCTCGTTAAGATGGGAGAGAGCAGGATCGAGGAAAGAGACGGCCCATCCGGCTTTGTAGCCAGCTTTGCGCCCGCCGATGGTGGCGCCGTGGACCCAGACGATGATGGTGTTGTCTTCGTCGCTCGTCGAAGACGAGACGGACCGAAGCGATCTCGAGGATGTGGATCGTCGCATTTTGTATGCTGTTGTTCGCAGTGCGAGGTTGTAGACTGGGGAAGAGAGAGGTGGCGGCTGTGAAATCGATCGCGTTGACCACAGAGAGACATGTCTGGAGGCAGACACAGAGGCGGGACAGCGAGGGAACGCCCTTTATAGCAGGCGCACCCTCAGTCTGCTTCAGCGAGGAGCAAGAGCTGAGCTGCGCCCGCAGAAGCTGATACAGGCATATCGCCGGCGTGTCCATACTGCGAGGCAGCTGCTAGCCACAGTGTGACGGCTACGCATCTTGGTTGAGGAGGAGCTCTGGCTCTGCTTCGCTGTGTGACTTCAGAGGGCAAGCGTTTTTCGGCAGGTCCGAGCGCCTGTGGCTTGCATCTCGTATCACGGCAAGCTGCACATCACTGTCAGATCCTTCCTCAGCCTGAACACATAAGGAGAAGATGCTGCGATTGCTGTTTACCACCTCGTAGGCACTGCTGTTGGACTTCTGACACTAAGCTTGATTGTGTGTTCGAGCAGGAGCAAAGATGCCGATAACAGGAAGGGCGCATATTGGCTGTTTGTGGCGCCGCAACAAATCAGTAATAGTCGGGACGTGGGAGGTTGGCGCCGTACTTGGCCATACGATCCGCTTTGTCGTTGCCAAAGGTGTTGGAGTGTCCTTTGACAGCTCGGAGCTCAGGTCTCACATCGCATCTGCTCATCCTGAAGTCAAGCAGCGCAATGAGATCCTGATTCTTGACAGGTTGACCGGCCGAAGTGTTCCATCCATACTCTTCCCAGTACGGGAGCCACTCATTCACGGCCCGTAGGACGTAAGAGCTGTCGGTGAAAATGATGAAGTTGCGACCATCGTCAGGGAAGCGTTCGACGGCCTCGATCATGGCAGTCAGCTCGGCCCGATTGTTGGTCTGAATGTCGCCAGTCAGGCGACCGGCCTTGTTGAGATGCTTGAGGTCGTAGTTGTCCCACCATACGGCCCAGCCTGCTCGCGCGTTAGCTGTGCCATTGCCAAGGCATGAGCCGTCGACGTAGCAAACGACTGTCTCGTCCGGATCGTAGGAGAACGACATCGCTACGATTCGTGTTGGCGTGAGCACAGCAGCAGTTGTCTGATAGCAATGGAGGTCGCTTCGCAGTGACTCCTGCTTGATGCTGAATCAGTCAAGGTTGATCACGCCGAGTTGATGGTGAGCAGCGGCGAGGCACCCTTTCAAGAATTCCCTGCCTCCGATTCGGCCCAGCACGGGGCACGGCGAGGACCGAGCAGCATGTGGGCGCAAGGCAAAATGAAGGACAATGCTGGGTTGCTACAATGCCTTCACAGCGAGTGCATGTCCTGCGGCAGATGCAAGTCTCATTGTCATCGGCCCATCGTCGGAGCACAAAGCGGACAAAGGGACCATCCCAACCTCTTGACCTGTGAACGCGAACAGGTCACCTGCTTGTCTCGATTTAAGCTTTTCTGGTTCTCACGCTGCTGACCAAAATTCAGGGTCCAGACCGACTTTGCTCTGTGCGGAGTCTTCCGACCGACAAAAAGGTGGAGCAAGCCACACCGATTTCGTGATTGACCATCTTCCTTTCGGATCACCCGCATCGCTTCTCTCACGCCATCTGCACGTCGCCCTTTCTTTCAGATCGGAGAGCAGCCGTCGAAGCTGAGTCGCAAGATGACTCTTGCTCCCACACTTAGTGCTCCCGCGGCGCCGCAGGGTGCGAGTTTGATCAATCTCCTCTCCGGCGAGGTGAAAGTCAAGTAAGTCGACCCTCCTCCGCGCATACAACCCACCTTCCCTCTTGTCACATTCTCACGCTTGCTCCTTTGTCTTTCACCACAGAGTCTCATCAGGCACCTCGAAAGATGGCAAGTCCATCCTCTCGGACTCGCCCGAAACTTGCTGGACATCCGACAACCTCCCACCCAACAGCGACCCTTCTTCCGCCCACTACCTGCTCTCCTTCAAATTGGCTCAGCCAATCTCGATAGCGGACCTGCACAGCCTCTCGCTCACCTTTGCAGGCGGCTTCAGCCCTATGTCCTTCAACATTCTGGCTTCGGAACAGGACGGCAAGACGTGGTCCCCTGTCGTCGCCGACCTCTTCCCCAAGGACACAAACGCAAAGCAATACTTCGACATCAGCGCGATAGCCCGAGAAGCGAAGCAAGCCAGCTGGTTGCGATTCGAGCTCAATGGCAGCACGGACGACTACGGTCGCGTCACCATCTATCAAGCCGAGATCTTTGGCGCCAGCAGCTCGGCATAACTCCCAACCTCTCGATACAGGAACAATCCCTGTCTCAACGATACCCACGACGATCCCGAGCATATAGACCCAGCATCTGTATTACCAGCCTCTACATAGCAACCAGCATCTAGAAGAAGCGCCAGAGCGAATCCGCCGACTGTGCAGCCTTGAACCTCCCGTATGCGCGGCACATGGGACTAAGAATGAACAGCCCTGCGATCCACGTGATCCAAAACGGAGCGCTGGCGCCCAACCCCTTGGTCCTCTCCCACGCGTTCGGCGGCGTATCCGGCAGGTCGTGCTCGAAGAAGTAGCGCGCCGGAATCGCCAGCAGGAAGTACAGGTACATGTGCGCCACGTAGAAGAACAGCGCCGATCCGCCAAAGTTCATCAACCCCGGGATGGCGGTTGCTACCGCGGGTGGGATGGCGCTGAACAGGGCGAGGAGCGCAAAGTTGACCGACATGGTCAGGAAGAAGAACGCCGGGCTCGGCGGGTACTGTTCGGTCGTCAAAGATGCCATTGTCAGTCTCGGGGGTCGTAGAACGAAAGATCTTTTCGAATGAGGAGAAACATACCTTGGTGATGTAGAAGAAGCTCTTGATCGAGACGAGGTACTGGTTCCTCTCGGGGTGTGCGAGCTGTTCCGGCATCCGCAGACACCCCTCTGAGAGGTTGCCAAAGTGTAGCACCCTCGTGCCGACGAACAGGGCTGCCAGCACGACGCCCACGCCCAGGTTCCATGCGACGACAGCTCGAGGCGTCCAGCGCTTGTACAGCATCACGCGCGCGTAGAGCATGCCAAAGATGCAGAACGAGATCCAGGCGAGCGGCGGGAACCCGGACATGACCCGCTTGTTCTGCACCGAGTAGAACCAGAAATCGAACCAGGGGCCGAAGCGCGATCCTGGGGGAGAGGGTGGCTGCTCAGCCATGGTGCTGACCGACGATGGGGCGAGCGCGAGGAGTTCGATTGGCGATTGGCTGAAGGAGGAGGGCTGAGCGGATGTGGCGGAGCAGTGTCCTCCACTCGGTGACAGCCAGACGTTCCAAAAGATGGTGATGTAGGTGAGCACGGCGAGGACAAAATTGTGCAGCCAGAACGAGAGAGTCTGAGCTCGAGCTGATGCTACCGGTGTCGCTGCTGTCGTGCCGTTGCCGTTGCTGTGACCACGCTGTTCTTCAGCAGCCGCACTTCCGCCATTCGCGAGCAGCGGCCTCCTCGCAGCATCATCGCTGCCCTTTCCAGCCTTCACAAGCATCCCATCGATCGCCCCTGCAACCGACCTCTCAGTCCCATCCACCACCAGACACAGCAGCCCCGTCAACAGATAGTCCACCGCCAACCCGATCAGCACAATGTTGATCAACCAAAAGTGTCTTCCCCACATGAGCGTCAGGCCCATCACCTCATTGACCGCCGTCAGCGCAAGCGCCCGGACCACAAAGTGCCTCGTCATCCTTCCCCGACCCCAGCCGAGCTTCGCCCTGGACCTGTGGAAGTAGACAGTCCCCATACCCATCAGGAAGAAGAACCCAGGCGCGCAAAGGTGCGTGACGGTGCGGCTGATGTAGGCGGCGTTGAAGTTCCAGCGCGTAAAGATGGTGCCTGCGGACTCGGACTGTTCGGGTGTGCCGTGGAGCCAGGCGCCCATGAAGAGGGCGGCGTGGTCGAGCGACATTAGCGGCAGGATGAGGCCGCGCAGCAGATCGGGCGCGAGGACGCGGGTCGAGGTGCTCGTCGGCTTGGTGGTCGGCGTCTCATGGGTGGGGATGGTGCCGTAGCCGTTGCTGGCGGTGGGAGGTGGCAGGGCGAAGTTGGTGACTTGCACAGCACCGGGCGCTGGTGTGGACGAGGTCGACATGCTCGCAACGACACCTGATTGAGAAGAAGCAGATGGTGGTACTCACGACACCAGCAGGGATCGACGCTCAGTCAGATTCGGTCGGACGACATCTCGGCTTTACAACTCGGCAACTTCTTCCCTCACCGGCTTTTACCAGTCGGCCAGCACAAGGGTCCACACAGCACAATTTTCCTGCAAACTGACGATCGCGAGGCGTCTGACGGAGATCTCGCTTCCCTTACCCTAAGCCATGTTCAGGCGCGGCTATCACCGCGCTTCCAAATCGGGCTCATCCGCATCCGCGGAGCTCAACACCCTTCAACCGTCAAACCGCATCTTCACTCACACACTGGCGCTTGACAATACGAATGACAATATATTCCCAAAGCCCATCTAACTCCAAACTCACTCGCCCGTACTGGACCACATGGCAGGCCAATTGACCGGCAGCCTAGGCACCTGAGTCGACTGGTCTGCACCCAACGAGGCAAAGAAATCATCGTGCTCCTGCACCGTCTGTTCATACTCCCTGAGTCCTTGGACGGCGTAGATATGCAGGCTCTCGCTGTAGCTCTCGACAGAGTCGGCATGGACGCCGGTGAGGCCAAGACCGAAGTGCTCTGCGGGCAGGTCGGGCATCGGCGGCACGGGTTCGGCGTCGAGGCCGGCGACGAGCTCGGATGCGTGTGCCGGCAGGATGGATGCGCGGCGTGAGAAGGCGCGCGAGATGCGAGGAGACGGTGGGGTGCGTCCTGGCGTAGGCAGCTGCGCATGCGTGTTCTGCAAATCGAACACGGTGTCTTTGGCAATGCCCGCGTCGTGCGTTGGAGAGAGAGGTGGTGCGATGTTCGATGTCGAACTTGACCCGTTGCTGACCCTTTGCGACGACGAAGGCGACGAGCTTGACCCATTGCTGGCCGTTTGCGATGTTGACGACGGACGACCCGACTGCTGCTGCTGTCGCTGCTGCTCCTTGATGTCGAACTCATACCCGCCACTGCTGCTCCTACCAGTCTTGCCAGCCCGCACACTCCCTGCCAGCGTCGAGACGTCCGACATAGCATCCGAGCTGACCGAATCGAACGACGTCCTTGGCGTTGTCCGCGAACTGCCGATCGTCTTAGTATCGTCGTCCGACTCGGTCGACCCCATCTTGCCATGCGTTGAGCTCAACGCCTGCGACTGTCTTGGCGAGTTCCCACCTGACCCCTTGCCATCCCCCTTGCCCGAGCCGCGGAACGCCTTGAGCCAGCTCTTGGTCTTGGAATGTCCACCCGGCTTCTTGCCCTCCGCCGCCTTGGCCTGAGGCGTAGTCACCGCCGGCGCGACCGCGGTCATGGGCATAATCTTCTCCGCCTTGACCCTTCCATCGGTGCTGCCCTCGACACTCGTCCCTTCCGACGAGGTGCGCTTAATGGTGCTGACAAACGTCGACGAGCCCGACCGGCCAGACTTGGTGCCGTCGTCCGACTTGGTGCCGTCCGAGCTCGACTCGATCTCGGGCGAAAGCATGTCGTGCCGCTTGCGCAGCGCTTCGAGACGCTGGTTGAACAGCTGGACAACATGGATGGCCGACTTGCCCGTAGGATCGTCTTTGGGCTTCGGGAAGTCGCCAATGCGCGCAAGACGGAACACTAGAAGATGCAGGTAGTAGGCGCGGATGGTGAACGACCACGAGAGGAAGAGCTTATGGAAGACGCCCGGTTTGAGCAGGATCTGCTCGCAAAAGTGAACGCGGTTCTCGGCGGTCGCTGTCAGCACGCCAAAGTTGGCGTAGCAGAAGGCGATGGTGCGCATGAGGGCTAGGGCGTGGTCGGCGTTCTCGAGGAGCATGCCGATGGTGGTGATGACGAAAGAGACGTCGATCAGACCCTCGTTGATGAGATCGTTCGACTCCATGTGGCTGAGCACTCCGTCGAGCCAGTCGAGCAGACAAAAGACGCCCTGAACGTCGTAGAGCGATGTGCGCTTGACCAGTGCCTTCACATGCAGACCGAGCATAGGCGCGAAGATCATGTTGGTGCCTGCAGGTGCCCGCACAATGTCGACCACGATGGCCGTGCATCGGCGGTTGGCTGCTTCGAGGATGCGAGGCTTGCCTGCGGTGCTTCCCGAAAGCACATTGGCCGTCTCGCCAGCCGGGTTGAAATTCTTCTGCGAGGAGAGTGTGGTGACCGAGAGGATGACACGGTGCACCAGAGCCAAGCACTTCTGGTGGACGCAGGTGGCGAGATGGGCGTAACCAGGCCCGCCAAAGAAGTACTTAGACACGCTCTCGAGCGACTTGGAACTTGCAAACAAGCCAGCCAGCTGTCGGTGGTAGCTGCGACAGAAGCTGAAGAAGAGCTCCGAGTCGTCCGACTGCCATCGACGCAGCCAATTGCCGGACATCTCGACCTCCACCTCGGGCTGGCATACCAAGTACCTGTCGTCGTCGGGACCTTGCGAGTCATTGACGTTGACAGACTCGCTGTCGAGCATCTTGAGGTACTCGCGCGAGTCCTTGAAGCAGAGCTGACGCAGCGACGGAGGGAAACGGTTGGCGAAGCGTGTAAAGTCCGTAGGCTTCCTCTTATGCCAGTTGAATTCTCGTGCCACTCGCTCGAGGGCAAAGCGGTTGACGGGCAGCGCTCGGAGCAGCTTGCTGGCGACACCGTTGACCCTGAAGAAGGCGACGGCCAACAGACGGCCCGAGAAGATGAGCGTGTTCTGGTAAACGCCCTTCTTGTTGAGCTCGCCGATGGCGTAGGACAGGATGTGGCCAAAGACGGACGAAAAGCGTGCTTCGTCCTCGGGATCGGTGCTGAGGATCGAGGCAGAGAAATTGCGGCTCTCGATGATGCAAGCGATGCTTTCCAGTAGCGCGCCGCGGTCGGCGGACGTCTGGACGTGCTGCAGCTCCAACAGCAGCGAACGGATCCAGTCGAAGAACAACGCTCTCCTTGCTTTTCCATGAACATAGAGCCCGTAACCAATGACATCGACCGTGGCCGTCTCTGCCTCGAGGGCCAGGAACGGCAAGAGGATGGCGCGCAAGAGGTTGCCGCGCTCCGCGGCCATGCCACTGGATGCCTTGTCGCGGAAGCGTCGGAGGGCGTTCTCGATTTCGTGCCATGCGCTGGCAGGAAGCATCTGTGCGTCACTCGGCTCGTCTTCGAGCGCATCGTTGCTCGAGACGCTGGAAGCGCGTCTCGACCAGCGGTCCTCGTTGCGTGTGGGCGCTCGCGAGTCGGAGAGATCGGTGCTGGCCTCGGAGAAGCGACTCTGCTGAAGTGGCGAGAAGGTGGCAAGCGACTCTGGTCCGCGTCTCCATCTTGCTGCGTCTGCCGTCTCGTCCGAAGCCTGCACAGTTCGCTCGCCGTTGATCACAGGGGACGCGGCTTTGAACGGGTTCGGGTTCGAGAAGTTGCTTTGGGTTGGCACGATCGGAGAAGTCGTCTTAGCCGCCGTTGCACCAGCTTGGAGAGCCGCTTCTTCACGAGGAGCGGGCTGCGCTTCGAGCTTGTGGGGCGGCGGCTGCAATGTCTTGAGCGATGGATCGCGCGACATGCCGGGTCTATCTACGTCGGTGATCTCGGTCGTGTCTACCTCTTGAGAAGCGTGCTGGACACCGTTGGATGGCGATACAAATTCGATCGACGGAGCTTCCGCCTTCGGAGTGGTGAGATCCTCTTCCGGGGGTGTGGAGAATTCCACAAAGCTTTTGTCGGACGGGGGCGTCCGTGGTGGTTGGATAGCTGGCGTTGCTTCTTTGACAGGGGTCGATGCAAAGGGCCGCTGTGCCTGTTGTCGAGCTTCTCTCAACGTCATCGTTTCTTGCTTGGGCGTCGTCTTGCTCTGAGCTTCCGAGCGATCGTCGTCATCGTCACGAAGAGCCAGATATGAGCCTGCAACTTGCCCGTGAGGACGCCTTGCAGGTGAGTCAGTCACGCCATCAACGAGCACGCCAGTAGCGGAAGCTCGGTCGGTCATCAGACGATTGTCGTCCGCAGTGCCCCTCGCTTCGTTCTGCGGCTTGGGCACGTCGGACGAGTCGACAGCATCTTGCGCTGGTGGTGTACGGGTGGACCTCGAAACGCGTCGGGGCAAGGGTGTTGATTGGGATATCAAGTTGCTTGCAGGGCCGTTGGTGCGTGCTGGCGTCCTTGCATTCATCAACTCGTCGTTGCGAGAGGGGAGGGTCGAGCCAGATGGTTGAGGCTCGAAGTCTTGCCTTGTCTGGATGGTTTCGTCGGAAGAAGCAAACAGGCTCGAACTTGGCAGGTTGAGGTCCAAGATCGGCGCTGACTTTTGCGAAGACGCGATTGACGATGGCATGATAGGACGAGGCATCGACTTTGCACGCTCAGCTTCGCGCTCGAGCATCGCGCGCTTATAGGTTTCGGCGAGTGTGAGGGGTGTCGATGTGATCGTTCCGTCATCTCCAAGGTCATGGACATCGCCTCGTGGCTGCGGTTCGGGTCGACGCGGGACGGCGTTGGACAACGAAGTGGCAGCTCCTGCGCCCTGGAACGCAGAAGGATCGAGGCTGGATGCGGTCCGGTCTGGAACTGTGACGGCGGTTGGTGGTTGCACGGGAGGATGTGAGCTCGTGGCCACTGGCTCCGTCCGTCTCCATGTGGCCGACGAGATCGCTGATACGGCGGATGGAAACTGCTCGCGCTCAGGTGTCGAGGGACCGGACGTGAACGGTGATGGGCGACCAGACGAGTATCGAGTGGGTACTGAGTCGGGAAAGTTTCGATCCTTGGGGGAAGGCATCATGCGCTGCGAAGAGAGGCGCTTCAAAGCAGCTTGTTGGACCTGCTCTGCCGGGTCGGCAATCGGTGTAGTCGACTCTTCAGATGGACGCATATTTGCTGCGCCTGAGGGTGGCGCCAAAGCACTCGTGGTAGGAGATCGGACCAAGCCCTGACTAGACGTGCGCTGTTGCACCTGGAGGCTGTGCATGTCGGATCGAGATCGATCAATACCCAGCCCGTTCCGTGGCTGATGAGGCTGCGGCTGAGCACCGACAGAGCCCGTCGGACTGTCGACGGACCACGTGCCGTCCTCGGTAGCAGACACCTTGCGTTGCTGAGATGCATTGGCAATCGACAGTCGTTGACGTGCGCCTGTTGCGCCGATGGGGACGAGAAAGTTGCGCGAGGAGGCGGACGAGGATGCCGAACCAAAAGAGCCGGTACTGCTGCTTGCAGAAAGACCTCGCGGCGTTTGTGCGAAAGAGGTGGAGCCGGAGGAGCCCCAGCTGGGAAGGGAGGGGCGAGAGCTGTAGTCGCTCGCATCACGGCCAGATGCGGCCGTAGCATTGGAGAATTGGAGTCCATCCGCACTGGAAGTGGAGCGGGTCAAGGAGGAGGAGGAGGAGGAAGTGGATTTGGAGAGCTTGAGGCGCTCACTTAATGGCGTGACGGCTTTTTGAGGTGTGCCGATGCCTAAAGATGCTGGAAGATGCGATGCCAAGGACGAAGAACGGGGAAGCGTAGCGCCATGATGACGATCGTTGTCGGAATCTCCGTTGGGAGCATTCTGCAGGCCGTTTGCGCTGTACGGCGAAGCTAGCGAGAGCGGCGTGCGCTGCATCTTGCAAACAACGAGGACCTTGGCCTCGAGTCAAGTGCCGCAGCTTGAGGATGCGGATGCGGCGCCGAAGCGCTTTGGCGGCTCAGCAAGAGCTCGAGATTAGAACAAGGCCGAAGCGTTAACACGTCGCATTTGGCAGAAGGAGGTTGCGTCGCGCGGTGGGCAGTGCTTTGCAATGCTCTGAAGTCGATGCGTAGGTATGCGCTAGGATGCTGTTTGCTTCAGATGGACGAAAGACTGTGACTGAGGCTGACTCGGCGTGGGAAAGCCGATGTGAGGTTTGGGCTTCGGCAGAGGACCAATCGAGGATGCCGAGAGGCAGCAGAGGCAGCGGATGATGGTCTGAAATGCTTTTCGATCCGATTTTAGACGCGATGCGAAACGCTTGATCCGTCTGTGGTTGCGAGGCGGTGCAATGACAGGTTGAAGCGGTAGGGGACTATCGAGGGAAGGCGCGGTCCGTGGTCGTCGCAGTTGAGGTGGTCGCCAGGAGATGGTGAATGAGACCAAAGGTAGGCGAAGCACAATGAAGCAAAGCCAATCACGCCTCGAAGCTGCGATCGCGCTGATGATGATGGTGATGATTGGACGAAGAGATGGAATGATCAAAAACCAAGCGTGTGCTTGCGGAAGCGAGGGACAGCTCGAGCGAGAAAGAGAGGAGGGAGAGAGACGCACTAATCAATCACGCACACACGCCAAGCGAAGGCACTCGACGGCGTTGCCGAAGCGGAAGCCAAAGGACCAACAAAATCAAGGCAGCAGCGACAGTCAAAAGGTCCTCGTGTCGCGATTCCGAGCGGAGGCAGCAGGGTCACGGACTGCATACGTACGTACCCTTGACGGAAAGTGAATGAGGCCAGGCGGCGGCCCTGGCTGAGCTCTCTCTGTGTCTATTGCCCTCTCGCGCATCCGCTCAGAGGTGGCTCTCTTTTCTAATTTGAGACAGGGCCTTGACCGAATAATTGGCAATTTAATTAAATCGCATTTGGATATCAGCTTGAGCTTCGGCTTGAGCTCCTTCATGGCAGAGCACTCCACGGGCACATACGCCACCGCTGTTCTCTCCTTTGTTAGCATCCACTATTGTCATCACCTGATTTGTGAGATTGGACGGAGATGGATCAATTGTGAGTGTGGCTTCGCGATAGAGCGAGTGCAGCCCCCCGGAACACAATGGAAGGTGCATGACTTGACCGTCTGAGTTTGGCGGTTGCTGCGTGTGAAATACAGTAGTGACCTCGACCTGAGGCCAAGGCCATGTCTCACTTAAGCACATTCGGAGTTCGCACAACGCTGAAAAGAGGCCACCAGCATCCATTGCATTCGCCTCGCCTCTGCAGCCATTGTACGTACTCGATACCGGTCATTGGCACGGTCACCTTCCGTCTCTGGCGAGCATCTTGCGTCGGATCATCCACGGAACGACCCATTTCGTCTTGGCTTGCTTTCGGAGCCGCGATACGCCGGGAAAAGCAAGGGCGGCCGACCCGACGAGCAGCTGAGCTAGCAAAGAGGGTCCAGATTGTCGGCAGAAGCCGTGCTTGCAGCGGACATGAACCGCAAACAAAAGTATGAGGTAAGGAATAGCCGAGTTTGAATCTGTACCCTTCTGTTTGCTAACCCGTCCAACTTCCGACGTGCAAAGGGTCCTCCGATCCTCACCTCGGCTCGCTTTTCTTCTTGTCTTCTCTGATTGGAGGACCATGTCCATCGTGGGAACGATGACAGTGATGGACAAGGCGAAGTGCGACCGTTCCGAAGAGCATCCGCCGCTGAGCAGTCAAGCGCGCTAGTGCAACAAGAAATTCCCATCCCTCGGTCCGTGATCCGTTTGCAGTCGAGCAGCGAGCACGATGAACAGCTTCTGCCAGCGCTGTATCGTCTGATCGCAACGAGCCTTGTGTCGCTCCACCTGTGGCTCGTGTCTCTGCCCTCTGTAATTTCTCAAGAGCAAGAACTGGAGTCGCTCCTTTGTCGGAGTGAATCGTGACCCGATGTTCCCAGAGAGAAAGGTGTCCAGCGCTGCGTAGCACAAGATGAACTGAGCGGAGTCGGGAAAAGTCACACAGCCGGCCTGGCTCTTCTTGGCTCGCCATCAGGCGTGCACTGGTACAGAGTGACTGTCTCAGCTAGGCTCTGTTTTGCAGCACGTTCCTTGCTGGGCGCCCCGACAGAAGCTGTGAATCCATGCAGACCGACGTTCTTCCTTCAAAGCGAAAAGCCTTCCGTCCCGTTTTGTGTGCTCGCCTCTTTGATCGATAGCGGTATAGAACCCGACCCTAGCGGCTTCTGCCGACGCGACTGCATGGAACGCGTCGAATCAGCGCAGCGGCAATCGGCTGCGATTCTAGGCTGCGGTAAGGCGACAGTGATCCACCTTACCGTGCCCGGGAGATCCATCCCGGTCTACAGATAGCAACAAGAGATCACGTCCATTGTTTCTCATTGTCGCTCGAGCCTCGCTTGTGCCTGTCGAGACCCTTCATGATCGTCACTATGATCGTCGCCCCACGCGCATCTCTCCGATCTCGCGGGCTGCTGAAGAGAGTCTCTCTTTCATGCGCAGGCAACCATCGACTGATGCATGCCGCACGCTGACGTTGGCGCTCTGTCGGCTGATCTTTTCGCGTGCGGGTATCGCGGATGCCATTTTGAGACGCTTCCGTCAGAAGGAAAGGATGTCTCTCTTTTCAAGACTTTCTCTCGGCCCGTCAAGTTGCTCGGCAGGTGAAACTAACAAAGGAAGCTTTTTCCCTGCAAGATGACAGGTCGGGTCTGCCGATCCGTCGATCTATATATTCGGCGATACGTGTTAAGCTGCAAACCTCTTGAGATGTGCCTTTGTCGGACCAAAGATCACATTACGCCGTTTGGTGTACACAACGTCTTTGTGCCGAGTCAAGTTCTCAGTTGTGGCGCTCAGCGGCCCTGAGGACCCTTGCTTGAAGACTGCCTCGTCAGACCTCACACCTTTTGCTTCCAAGTCTGGCTCGCCATCATGGGCGAGCCATGTTACAGGCCTGAGCGGAACAGATTTCCGGCCCATAATTCCGCGTCCTTTCCAACTCGCCCGCAACACCGCCGTGACTGCCGGAACCCGCCCTCCCACATGCTCACCTCGTCAAGCACAATGATATTGCGGGGTCAACTTCTCCATTAAGTTCTCAATTGAGTTGGTCAGACCACGCTTGCAGTACAATGATGCTTAATTCGAGGACTGGAAGGTTCTCGGTTTGGAGCCTGCTGAAGGAAGACTCCCAGGTTGGGTGGGGACCTGAAGCTCAGAGCGGGTGACCGCCGAGTGACCGCCGAGCTGAGTTTGTGGCTCGATATTTTGAAGACGTGGCGAAAGCTTAGCCAAGCCGAGCTGAGGCGGTGAAATTCGCGGAGCGAGCGAGCGAGTCGCGCTGCGCTGCGTGTTTGCCGCCCCCACGTTTGACTGAGCCCTCTGAGATTTTCAGCGAAAGTGTAAGACTGTGAGACCAGCGAGGAAGAACGCACGCTTTCAACAACTCGGACCCATCCTTCTTTGTGGATATCTTTCTCACGATCATCATCACACCATTTCACCTATCTCGCCGACCAGTGTTCGCTCTGTTCAAGCTTCACACTCGGTATCATTTCTGATTCCGCACATCAGGTCATCGCCTTGTCTCGCTAGGATACGACTCTCAACATGGCCTCGCAGCTCGACTTGATCGTTCTCGGTCTTGGCGGCTTGCTCGCTGTCCTTTACCTCTTCCGCGACAGCCTTTTTGGCGGCTCCAAGGATGTAGCCTCGAAGCTGGCGAACGGTTCTGCTCTCGCTGCTGCTACCGAGGAAGGCGGCTCCGACTTTGTCTCCAAGCTCAAGTCCCAAAAGAAGCGCATCGCCATCTTCTACGGCTCCCAGACGGGTACTGCCGAGGAGTACGCTACCAAGCTTGCCAAGGAGGCCAAGTCTCGTTTCGGCACCTCCTCGCTTGTACTGGACCCCGAGGAGTACGAGTTCGAGAAGCTTGATCAGATGCCCGAAGACTCGGTTGCTGTCTTCGTCATGGCCACCTACGGCGAGGGCGAGCCTACCGACAACGCCGTCGGTTTGATGGAGTTCCTCGAGAACGAGACACCCGAGTTCTCCAACGGCAGCGAGCGTCTCGAGAACCTCAACTACGTCATCTTTGGTCTCGGAAACCGAACCTACGAACACTTCAACGCCGTGGCCCGCAAGCTCGACACCCGTCTTCAGTCTCTCGGTGCCAAGCGCATCGGCGAACGAGGTGAGGGTGATGACGACAAGAGCATGGAGGAGGACTACCTGGCGTGGAAGGACTCCATGTTTGAGGCGCTCGCCTCTTCGCTTAACTTCGAAGAGGGCGGCGGAGGCGACGTGCCCGACTTCAAGGTCACTGAGCTCGCCGATCACCCCGAGGATAAGGTCTACCATGGAGAGCTTTCGGCTCGAGCGCTGCTCGGCACCAAGGGCATCCACGATGCCAAGAACCCATACAACGCCGTCATCCAGGAAGCTCGCGAGCTCTTCGTCGAGGGTACCGCCGACCGCACCTGCGTTCACGTCGAGTTTGACATCGAAGGATCTGGCATCTCGTACCAGCACGGTGACCATATCGCTGTGTGGGCGCACAATCCTGAACAGGAGGTCGACCGCGTGCTTGCCGTCTTTGGTCTCCTGGATAAGCGCCTCTCTGTGATCGATGTCGAGTCGCTTGACCCTACTCTCGCCAAGGTGCCCTTCCCCGTTCCCACCACCTACGAAGCCGTCTTCCGACACTACATCGATGTCACCAGCACCGCCTCCCGTCAGACGCTCAATAGCTTTGCCAAGTTTGCACCCACCCCCGAGATCCAGGCGAAGCTCGAGAAGGTTTGCGCCAACAAGGACACTTTCCAGGCTGAGATCGGCAGCCGCCTTCTCAAGACTGCCGAGGCCATGCAGTGGATCGCCGGTGACGACCTCCAGGCCGATGCCAGCTCCATCACGCCGTGGAACATCCCCTTCGACCGTGTAATCTCGGACCTACCGCGCGTTGGACCTCGTTTCTACTCCATCTCGTCGAGCCCTAAGATGCACCCCAAGTCGGTCCACATCACCGCAGTCGTGCTTCGATACAAGGCCAACGATTCGAGCCCTTGGGTGCACGGCCTCGCCACCAACTTCATCAGCAGCATCAAGATGGAAAAGAACGGCGAGAAGCCCTCTGGCTCGACCGATCCTCGCTTCGGCACTCCCAAGTACTCGCTCAACGGTCCCCGCGACGCCTACACCAAGGACGGCAAGTTCCGTGCTCCCATCCACATCCGACGATCCAACTTCCGCCTGCCCACCTCGCCCAAGATCCCTGTCATCATGGTCGGACCCGGTACTGGTGTCGCTCCCTTCCGCTCCTTTGTTCAGGACCGTGTTTGCAGCGCTGAGAAGGCGCTCGAGAAGTCCAACGGCAAGACACCCGAGGAGACGCTCAAGGATTGGGGCAACATCTGGCTCTTCTACGGTTGCCGCAAGACGGACGAGGACTTCCTCTACCGCGATGAGTGGCCGCAGTACGCACAGAAGCTCGGCGGCAAGTTCCTCATGGAGACCTCGGTCTCCCGCGAGAAGTTCAAGCCTGATGGCTCCAAGCTTTACGTTCAGGACCTCATCTGGGAGCGACGTAAGCAGATCGCAGAGGACATCCTCGAGCGCAAGGCCTACATCTACATTTGCGGTGAGGCAAAGGGTATGGCTCAGGATGTTGAGGCTATCTTCGGCAAGATTCTGGAGGAGGCCAAGGGATCTGCTGGGGAGGGCAAGAAGGAGATGAAGCTACTCAAGGAGCGTTCGAGGTTGTTGCTCGATGTTTGGTCTTAGTCTGGCGCTTCGTGAAGTGCGTAATAGAGTCGTTGTGCTAATGGTTTCGTCCGCTGTGTGTTTGACGGTAGCCGCTGGTGTGTGAGTGTGTGTGCTTGGCTGGCTCTGCTTACCGCAGTTGGCGGGTCCCGCTGAATTCTTTCCGCTGGCCCTGCGTGACGCTCCTGGTCTGCCTCAAACCACCCTCGCGCTTCTCACATGGCACACACACGCGGTGACAAAGCTATACTGTTCCATTCCATTCGAATCAATTACATAAAAGCCTCAGACGCCAAAGTACACAGCCGAGATAGCCCTGAGAATGCGATCGGTGTTTGACATGCGCGCTCTCGTCCCCAGCGCGATCTCGGCCTCGGACTGCGCCTCGATCTTGGTGCCGATGGCGGCGTAGACGGAGCAGGCGGCTTTGAGACCTGCGCGTGCGGGACGGTTGGGTATCTGACCCAGCGCGGGATAGGATTGGTCGTAGAGTCGCCGTGAGATTTGCAGCAGTCGAAGGGCGTACTTGCGCACCTCTGCCGGTTGCACAAGACCTTTGCTTTGGGTCTTGGAGGTGTTGAGATCGCCGTTCAACAGGGCTTCGTGCATGTCTGCGTCGTCTTTGTCGAACATGTCAGAGGGGAGGTAGCAGCGCCGCAACTCGACCGAGTCCGGCACAATGTCGCGAGCGATGTTGACGAGCTGCAGACTGACGCCCATTCTTCTTGCTTCGTAGAGCAACGTGTGCAGGTCGGCTGGCTGGGTGAGATCCAATGGCCTTGACTCCTGCTCCGTCGCTTTTGTCGTCTGCAGCGCTATCCTCCTATCGACCTGCAGGTCTAACGGCACCAACAGGCCACATCGGCCAAGAATGACACGCGTGCACATCTCGCCTACCACGCCAGCTACACACTGAGAGTACTCGACCAGATCATCCATGCTCCGCAACCGTGTCCGCTTGTCCGCGTCGGGATGCTCGAAGCGCAGATCCGTGCCGTATCCATCCAGCATTTCGTACCAGAGTCGTTTCGGGATATACCGCGCGAGCGGTGCTATTGATGCTGCGGCTGCACAGATGTCTTGCTTGATCTTGTCCGAGAGCGCAGCCGATGCGAGCATGAGACTGATTCGTTCGCTGACAGGGGCGTCCTCTGCTTGCTTGCGACCGAGCTTGGAGTCGGTGTAGATGCTGTCCACGATAGAGCGGATGATGTGTAGATTCCTTGTCTTGGCGTCCAGCCCTTCCGCTTCATCGTCTACTAGATCATCCGCAACCCTGCAGAAAGCGTAGAGGCAGCCGAGATCGGTGCGAAGGTCCCAGGGGAGGAGCAGGCTGGCGGCGTTGAAGGACTTGGAAGCGGCGCGCAGCACCTTGAGCGAGGCTGAAAGATCATGTGGCGCTACGCTCGCCGACGTGACAGCGGTCTGTGCCGCTTGATGGTCTGAGGAGACGAAGGCGGACCAAAGCTTGCTGTACGTGGCCAAGGACCCGAGTGGCAGGTAGCTGGGCGACAAAGGAGGGGCATCGATGGGTGCTGATTGCCTGCAGATGGCTACACAGCGGTCGAAAGTGAAGCAAGCGCTGACAAGGATGAGGTTGGTGACGAGGAAGAAGAGCATCTCTTCGAGCGGAAGATCCGGGATGGGAAAGATGTTGAGCGAGGTTGCTTCGTTGATGTGCCATGTCCCTCGACGCAGAGCGTAGACATCCGAGGCCCACAGATAGACAGTAGGGACGAGCACCGAGAAAGCAAAGGGTAGCAGTCCAGCTCGGATGCCCATGTTGCGAACAAAGTCGACCGATCCCCAGAGAAGAAGTGCAAGCGGTAACGAGGCCCACCAGGAGATCATGCCAAAGTAGTACGAATGCGTCTCGGGCACGGCGACCTTGAGGCCGAGCACGAAGCAGAGTAGGCAGGCGACGAGAGCCGGTGTAGCCAGCTTTTGTCGCGAAGACGAGGTGGGCGCGATGTAGAGGCTCGGCAGGGTCCATCGCGTGAGAAGAGTGCACCAGAGGGTTGAGATAAGGCTCTGGATGATGAAGAAGAAGTATTCCTCAATGGGCACGTAGCCGATGGTGAACCAGATGCAGTGGCGATGGTAGAACCATGCGCGGTTCATGACGATGAGATTGTCCCATGGCGTCGTCCAAACGAAGGCGATGATGGGAAGCAGGATGAGTTTGGCGCGATCGAGCTTGGTGAGGAACGGTCTTGCGATGAGGAAGAGCACGGCACAGAGCGGCAGCGTCCAGAGTAGATGAAAGTGGCGATAGCTGAGCGTGCAAGCGGGCCAGTCCTGATTGGGCTGGTAAAGTTTCGTCATGGCTAGGTCCGTGTTAGCCTTGCAAAATTAGGCTCAGGTCTGCGGAAGCCGGGGCCTTTTTGATGACAGCGCGGCACTCGGTGCGGGACCGTGTTGATGGACGAGGCAGGGGCGAGGCAGGGTCGAAATCGTTATGCGCAATGCATGGCGAAGGCAGCCAGCGCCATTGGAAGGCGCCTCGGTGTGGATGGTGCGAGGATTGTGGCTCGTTCTTACAAGCCGCCGGTCCGGACCTTCGAGGGCTCGACAGGGATGAATGTCGGCGTTATAAGCAGAACTCGGTGTCGCAAGGTCGTACTGATAGACGCACGTGCGAGCCAAGAGCTTCGAAGCTCTGTACAAGGCCGATGAGGAGGTTGAGGATGATGGACGTGACGCTGTGTGATGATGACGGGCGAGACGGGTTCACTTCGGCAGCTGACCGCCGTGCGTGAGAAAAAGGCAACGGCGGCTGACGGAAGAGGGTCCAAAAGCGGTCGAAAAGGGTCATCACGGTCATCACAGGCGATGTTTGATTTCCGCGAGGCAGGCAAAGCGCTTTTCGGTTAAGCCGATGACCGCTTCCACCGAGCTTTCCTTAATCTCCGGATCGGCTGGACCTACCTGCCGTGCTCAACTGCAACATGTTTATCAGTCTCATGTCGTAAGTGCAGCTGTGACTGACCGCACCTGTCTGTCATGTTTGTGACAAACACAGCTGTTCTGATTCACCCGGCAAAAGCTCTGTGTCGGCTCACATGGCTTCGACAAGAATTCCCCCTTCATGGTGGTTCAAGCTGTTTATATGTACTGCCTAATTGGCGTTAGACCGTGAGCGTTCATAGTGTAGCGGTTGATCACGTTGCTTTCCCACGCGGATTAAGCAGAGGCCGCGGGTTCGATCCCCGCTGGACGCAAGGCGTGTTTTTTTTGTCGATGAAGGCCATGTCTTTTGGTCTCAGAAACGACGATGATTAGGACTGGGGACGAGAGATGATGATCTTGGACAACCTCGTCCGACCTCGGAAGAACTTCAATGCCTAGGCACTCTGTACCGTCACACATCACACGTGGGACCGTCGAGTTGCATGACTGGCTAAGCTCTCAAGATGTGATAAAGAGGCATCACTTTCAGAAGCGTGAAAGCGAGGGGGCGTGGGAAATTGTGACAGCGCGTAGCTTGAAATTAACCTCAGCCAGGGTCCTTGCTCAGGTGTTGGTTGCGGTGGAGGCTCGGCTGTCGCGCTAAGCGGGTGCTCAAGCCAACAAGCCACATACGGCACTCCCGCTTGCCTTGGCGAACAGGAAAGTGACACACCAGACTGCCGGAACCATGCCGATAAGCTGAAATCTGACGGAAGCAACTCCGCTAAGTCTTCGTTTCTTCGCGACAACCATCACGCCTTCCGATGCAGGTCGCTCATCTCTTGATCACCCCTTAGTCATATCAACGCTCAGTTGATCTGGATCGAGTCACGCCCTTGCGGATAACAGCAGCGGTGGTCTGATCTTCTTTTGACGCTGCCCGAGCGCTCAGCAGACCACCAAGATGATCGACCATCTACTCGGTCGTCCGTCGACCAAGCTCAAACGGGTACAGATCTTCTCGGTCATCCTCTTCTGGCTCTGGTTTCTCGTCACTGGCAACCGCGATGGTCCCAGCCCGCTGATCCGCAAGATCAACGCAAAGCTCAAACGCTTCTCGCCATGGCAGATTGTCGTCTTCAGCTCCGTTGGTATCTACACCATTCGACACCTCGACTCGCTCCTCGGCTTCGGTGCACCAGAGCCGCTGGCGAGGATGTATTCGCGCAACTTCTACAGGACCACCTGGATGGTCACTGCCCTCGATGCTGGATTCGCCACGGCCATGAACATCAAGCCCAAGTGGTTGCGGGACATCATGAGCCTCGTGTTCTCCGCTTACTACATCGTCTATGCCAACGAGGCCGACGAGAAGCTCAGAAAGTACAGAGCCTTCTGCACCGTCGAGATGATGCGTACCACTTGGGAGAAGACCACCAACCCGTACGTGCGCTTCGTGACGTGGTTCCACCGACCATCGCTTCCCATCGCGCGGCCGCTTCTCATCCCGAGACCGCAGGTGGGAGCACATCATACTCGCCCGAGCAAAGCATGGCTCTTCTACGCAAAGAGCGAGCGTCAGCTGCGAATGGAGGAGGAGTTGGTGCTCGACTTTTGCGGAGGAGGATACATCTGCATGAATCCGCAACATCACGAGGAGAGGCTTCGACAGCTCGCAAAGCAGATGCAGAAGCCCGTGCTTGCTGTCGACTACTGCAAAGCACCCGAATACCCTTATCCGTTCGCACTCGAAGAGTGCTTCGACCTGTATCGCACCCTCAACGAGACAGCTGGCAAGGTGATTGGCATGTCAGGCTCGCCCAACTTCCGCATCATTCTCACTGGCGACAGTGCTGGCGGCAATCTGGCTACAGGCGTCGTTCTCAAGATCATCCAGTACCCACAGCCGCGCATACAGCTGGCATACTCGTCCCTCTCATCCCGTAGCAGCATTCAGCCACCTCAGACGCCGCCTCCGCTGCCCAAACCCATCGGCGTGGTGCTCAGCTATCCGAGTCTCAACTTTGGCTTCTCGAGCTGGATGAAGCCCGAGCATCTACGCCTCTTGCGTCAACAGAGCGAGGTCAATCTCGACAATCTGGCGCAGCACCAGTCCAACATCGCTGCTTCCTCCTCTTCCTCCTCGCTGCGCTCCTCGAGGCGCAGGTCGGCGGCTAACTTGGCAGGCACAAGCAGCGCTTCCGATCGCAAACGTGCCGAGGCGATCCGTGCTCGAAGCAAGGAGCGATCCAAAGACCCTCGCTCGTATCAGTCTCTCACACGAACCGCCGAGCTTCATCTCGACGAGCGTGCACGCTACGCAGAGGTCGAGCCTACCTCGGATGAGAACGATTTCTCTCCAACACCTGATTCGTCGTACGACCGCATCTGGGCTGAAGGGGCTCTAACGCCGTCCTGGGAGAAGGGTGGTCTACCCTGGGGTCAAGTAGCACAACAGGCCATGCTGGACGAGATTGCGGATCGAGAGGAAAAACGAGCCCAGGCTCGGTTCGAGAAGGAGCAGCTGGCGCTTCAGGAAGCAGCAGAGGCAGCGGATAGCAAAAACAAGGATCAGAAGCGAGCACCTTTCAACACACGCCTCACAGTCACCTCGATGGCCGGCTACTTTCAGGACCGGATCATCACGCAAGGCATGCTTCGAGCCATGGCTATTCTCTACATCGGACCGCGCCGTCAGCCGGATCTGGACCACGACTACTTCCTTTCGCCGGTGCTTGCACCTGCACATCTCCTCGCAGAATTCCCGCCGGTCTTGTTCATCTGCGGTGAAAAGGACCCGCTGTGCGACGACACCGTCATCATGGCTGGTCGTATCCGAGAAGCCAAGCTCGCCAAGCAGGCCGATCTCGCACGACGTCGAGCGATGGCATCTGCGCGATTTGGTGAGGGCCTACGCACGACGCCCATTGCTTCGTCGTCAGCGGCTCGAAGCAACCTGCCCATCGACCCGATCGAGCAGGAATCGCCCGAGGACTGGGTCCAGATGAGGATCATCGAAGGATGGAGTCATGGATTCTTGCAGATGTCGTCGTTGATGCCCGAAGCCAAGCAAGTGATCGGCTTCCTGGGGACGTGGATGTCGCTGGTATTCGAGGAGTTTAGGGACAAACTGGACGAGGAGAGGGAGAAGGCGGAGGCGCAGGCGAGGCAGAAGCTGGTGGAGGCCCGTGGGCGTGCTAGTCGACAGACGTCGCCGTTGATGCCGCAGAATGCCACGTTGGGTGATGCGCCAACCTCTGTTTCCGCGGGACACGCCAGTGGCATCCCAGTCGGCAGCAGTGATACCCACACAGTGACGGAGGACAAGGTGGATCAGACCGCTGCAGTGGCGCCACAAGCCGTGCAGGAAGACGCAGACGACGAGGGTCAAGACCACGAGGATGACGATGACGAAGAGGACGACGGCCCAATCATGGTGATTCCCAAAAAGCATCGTCCAGGCGCATCCCACGCGGCGAGCCCTCAAAAGATGGACGACGCCTCACCCAAACCCGCCACTCGGCCCTTGCCCCACTCGCAGATCGCCTCCTTGCGCGCAGACGACGCCGACACGCGCGCACATAGCGATGGCGAAACCACTCGTCCGCGCGCCAACCGTCTCGCTCCCCCGAGTCGAGCCGAGAGCGAGACGAACCTGCTCGCTGACGCCGCCGCTCGCTCGGGCTTCCCCGGTAGTGGTCCTACCGCACGCCGCGGCAGCAAGAACGGCCCCTCGCGCATCGACGAAAAGTACCGCAGCATGTTGGTTGAGGAGGCGAGCCTGCTGTCGAGGCGCAGGGACGATGTGCTGTTTGGGTTGGAGGGGAATAGTGCTGTCGTGGGCGGGGAGGACGATGATGATGTGGAGGAGGATAGGGGGACGAGGGGGAGTGGGACGGTGGACAGGAGTGCGACCGAGGGTGAGTCGAGTGGCGACACAGAGTTGAGGGTGGTCGGTTAGCGGGATTAGCCTCTCTCGGGATGCATTTGACTCTCAAATGTGCATGCACGGCTTCCTTCTCCACGCCCATTGTTCGACCGTGTCGAATGTGTGAAAGTGTGCCAAAGCATAGTGAGGACGCTTGCAAGCGGCATCAAGAGTCATTCTCAAGGAAGCACTGTGGACGGCCCTTGCGCACTCAACTCATTCACCGCCCACGGTCTGCCTCTAGCTGTTGATCTCCAGCTGTTTGCCTCTCACTGTCCGCCACAAAACCTTGAGCGATGCTCATGTCAGACTCTCCAACTTGCGTCCATTCCACTCACACGCTGCACACATCTCACTCGCTCGACAAAGCTGAAGGAGAAAGCTTCTGTTGCGTCTACCACCCCCGCTCGACAGAGAGCATCACTTGAAATCGCCCCAAATGTCCGCAAAGGCATCGTTCTCCTTGGGCTTACTGCTCGCAGCGGGAGCAGTGGCGTTGGAGGAGGTGCCCCAGACGTCCTGTGTGTCGAACAGTCCGCCCTGGCCTCCTGACGAGGTGGGGGCGGGGGTGGACCAGGGGTTGCCGCCTGCGCCGGCGAACCCTGCTGTCGGAGGTGCAGGCTTTGATGAGGTGGTGGAGGAGAGGTCGAGACTGCCGAAACCCGCGTTCAACCCGGCTACACCCTGATTGGATGCAGCGGCGGGGGCAGCAGCGAACGCGCCAAAGTCACCGAAACCATTCCCACCGGCCGTGCTCGGTGCAGGTGCGGGCGCAGCAGGCTTAGCCGCAAAGAGCGACATGATATCGTTCTTGCCCTTTGCGCCGGTTGTTGTCGGGCTAGTAGCGCTAGCGGAAGTGGGGGCAGGATCGTGCCAGTCGAGGTCGAAGATTCCGCCTCCTGCCGGGGCCGCTGGTTTGGCTGGTGCTGCTGGTACCGGAGCTGCCTTCACCGCCGCCGCCACGGGTGCTGGTGCAGGCGCAGCCGGTTCGTCATCGAACAAATCCACCTTTGGCGCAATCACCTTCTTCACTGCCACCGTCTCCACCGCCGCACTCGCCGCCGGAGCTGCAACACTCGCACCTTCACCCGCATCCAGCACGCTAGGATCGCTAGGAACAGGCCCATCCTTCGCCCACCGCCGCGACTCGTACTTGGACCGGATGAACGATTCGATCTTGTGATCGGCGGGTACGTGGCCCGCCTTGAGATGCGCCTCCCAGTACAGGTTGCATCGCCGATTGCCCCATACTTGCACGCTGTGCATCTGTTCGGGAGTCCAGATGTCGAGGTCGATGGATTTCACTGCGATGGTTCGATGGAGATGTGGTCGAGGATGAGGAGACGGGACCGAATTCGAGGTGATGCAGATGGTTGAAGCGAGCGCGGAATGTGGGTGAGATGGCAGGGACGAGCGCAACGTGTCGCAGTGAGAGGTGTGAAGCGAGTGTCAGAGCATGAGTATCAATTTGAGGAGGCAATCAAGAAGTCAGAGTCCATGCTCCACTCGGCGGTGTCCCAAGCAGGTAGATGAGTGTGTGAACATACCTTTACTAATGTGCGTCCCCATAGATCGATGAATGCCGGAGCAGCGAATGCACAGGAAGCATCCCAGATTCCAGCTCGCCCAGCGCGGATCGTTCTTCTTGCAGTCAACGCACACTTTGTTGTCCGGCGACTTGACGAGGGCGCGGAGGATCTTGGCATTCGCCTCGGTCTGCTGGCGCGATTGCGTTGGTCGGGACATCGCGGCGTCTGCTGTGGAGGAGAGTTGGTTGAGATAGTCGGATTCTCCTCGAGCCCAGGAGCGATAGGCAGTTCTTGCTTCGACTAGGCGGCGTGATAAGGGCGCGAAGTGGAAATCGGCGAGAAATGATGCGGTGAGATAGGGTGGGAGGTGATGTGGTGGTGTCGTGTTCGAAAGCTTCCAGCACCCGCGCACGCACCTCACTTTGTGCAAAAGCAACACACACACGGCCGACCAATTTGCGTCAGCTCAACGCATGCCGATCTCACACTCAAAAATCTTCTCTCACCCCGTGACCATCGTCCGTCCTCGTCCTCGTCGTCTTTCTCTCAACACGCTCGTGCATGCATCCCGGATGAAAGTAAGATGCAGGTATTAGATGGGTGCTCGACGCAAGGGAATAAAAGTACAATGCTGAAAGAAAGGGTGTATGCCAAAAGGCATGCTATCGAAACGCGGTGTATGCTACTGCTACGACGACGCCGTCGTCACGCCAAGTGGTTGGTATTCACCAGCGCCTCAATCAAGATCCGATCGCTCGAACATCCATTCTTGATGCTCTCCAGTAGACTGATCTCGGCGCTCGGCTTGGGTGAGGTTGCGCGTTGGTTCTGGTGGATCTGCTGCAACGAGCTGGAGAGAGCCTTCCAGTTGCGCTGCCTCTCGCGCAGCGCGTGCAGGCTGAGGCTGCCTTCTGGTGGGAAGGTCATCGACGTTGGCGTTCCGGCGCCTGATGACGAGGGGGACCGCGAAGTCGGCCGCGGGTCGGCGGGGGGAAGCTTGAAAGTCGCGCCATCGAGACCGCTGATGTCGGCAAACACTTCGAGCAGCGACAGATTGTGGCCGCGACTCATCGAGCCTGCTCGGCCGCGCAGGCGCGCTTCGGGTCCGGCGGGCGGTGTGAGGGGCGACAGTTGCGCTTCGCGGAGGTAGCGAACCGCGCTGCGGAGCGAGTATTGTACCTCGTTGAGGATCGAGAACCACTGCTGGGCCTTTTCTTCGAATGCTTTGGCGCCGTGTGTTGAGGAAGCACTGCTGCTGCCAGCTGCTGCGTCGGCACCATCGGCAGCGTCCGGAGGCGGAACGGGCAGCAGAGCGCGCATCGAGTCGGCCGCTTGCGACAGGAGGGCAGCCAGTCGCTCGTCCGCCTGCATTAGCTGCAGGATCTGCTGATCGGTCTGCTGGTTGCGCGTACGCTGCTTGGCCTCGCGGAGAACGGTGCGTGCATCCTGACGCTGCTCCTTGATCTGAGCGAACTTCTGCTCCATGATTGTGTTCTGCAGTTCGGCGGGCAGGACGTCCAGGCTCGTTTCAACCGGGCGGCGGGACGGGGATGAGCGGGAAGCCATCGGAGCTGGTGCAACGACGGGTGCGACGGCGGGTGCTGCCGACATGTTGTTCTTCGGATGAGCTGGGGATGCTGAGTGAGGTGCGGTGGTGCAGACGAGAGCAGGCTGGTCGTGTATGGGAAGCCTGGTGGGAGTGAGATGGATGTTCGAACGACGAGAAGGAGGATGAGCAGAAAGGTGCTGGCGATCCAAATGGCGTTTCGAGGATGGTGTTTGTTCAGTGATGATAGGGAGCGGAGACAAGGGGGAAAAGAGCGACGGGCGAGCTGGTTATATTGAAAGCGAGGCAAGGCAAAGTTGCGGCCTGGATCGAGTGACGCCTGAGAAAGAAGCTGCTTGTCAGGTGGGAGGCTGAGCGGGGCTGGTGTACCGGAGGAACGCTAGGTGGGCTGGCAAGACAATGGTACCCGATTGACAAGAGGGCGAGGGCGCGGCGGGTCAGGCGTCAGCGGTGGGCGTGCGTGAGTGACAGTGTGACAGGAGTGAGAAGGCAGGCAAGCCTTAATTAGCTCGCTTATCCGTGACAAAGAAAGATGTGCGCTTTGCTGCTGCTTGGGCTGCTGCTGGGGGGCTCGGCTGCGATCAGACCGAGGGCAGAGGAGCTGTGACAGGCCCAGGGCTGAGATGCAAAACAAGGCTCGACAATCGTAATGTCACCCGCTGCGTCGGCGCTTGAAAACAGAAACGTGGGAGCAGGAGAGAGGGCGAGAGAAGAAGAGCGAAAGGAGCGATGATGATGATGATGCTTCTGCGTCTCAAAACAGCAGCAGCAGCAGCAGCAGCAGCAGCAGCGTCGGAGCCAGCCGACCCACCGATCGAAACCGCCAGAAAAAGGGTGACTGATACAAACCAAATTTTAAATTGCGACGAAGAAGGACCATCTTTCGCCTGTTTGGCGGTACAAAAAGCAAATTTGCTTCACACAGATCGGCTCGTCTCTCCGAAGACTGGCCGAGCGTGCATATTCGCGATGGATTGTGCATATCACACGCCCAAAGAACTCGCCTCCTCTCGCTTTCCCACGCCATCGCATGAGCTGCCTTATGTCGTTCACAGCAGCAGACAGGGGTAGATGCCCGGACGATGCCGATAGACTCGATGAGGACAAGATTCTCAGGTGACTGCTGCAGCGAGAAGGGGTCGACAGTCCCCCTCCAACAGGATGACATGAACAAGCCAACCAGCCTTGGACGATGTGTGGACAGGGAGACGAGGAGCAGCGCATGAATCGCACCGAATCCACGCAGCCGAGCCAAAGCGAAGCGCACCCACACCATACCATCCCAAAGACGTCAGCTTTTGCTTGTCAGCGTCAATTACCACATCCCTCTCTCTCTGCGCCGAGCTCGGTCAATTGAACCCGAGCTGTCTATCACGGTGGTACTTGGACCTCCGCTGGCCACGGAAAAACGTGTGTGCACCGGTAAACTCGAAGGGCTAAGACACTGCCAAAGTCACCGTCGAGGACGAGGGCGAAGAGGCTGAAGATAAAAATACTCCACCGCGAGCCTCTACCTATGACCTCATCTTTCGGGCGTGAATGCAACTTGTTTTCGAATCGTCCCTCGTTCCTTCCTCTTTCCTCGCTACCAGAGCTGAGCATCTTTCATGCTGTCTTACATTTCGATCCCAGCTGATCATATATGCCCCCGCACGGCACGCACATGGCAGCCAAATGGCTATGCTCCATCCCAACACTCGCGTCAGACTGTGGATGGGAAGATCGCAGACAAGTCGAAACAGATTCGTTCCCAATCATCCCACCTCGGCTAGTCAGACCCGCAGCTCCCCATGGTCGATTCGATCGACACCATCACAAGCTTGCCGAGCCCTGACGACGCGGCGCCCGATTGGTCGATTGCTCCTTTGTCTAGACCTTCGAGGTCTGCCGAGCGACCCAAGCGTTGTCTGAAACTTTAAAGTGCTCGTTCCATGCAAGCTCGGTGCTTAGCCGAGGTTGCGTGTGATATGCGACCACGATCACGTTGAGCAGCGCCATTGTTTTCGGGTGACTCGATGCCGAAGCATGCGTGCGATAAGTAGCGGTTCAGGCCGCGGATGGGAGCCGATGCGAAAGGGCGAGCGAGAGTGAGAGAGGTGCAGCTTCGGACCATGGCTCGACGGGTGCGGTAAATTGCTAGTATGTTAGACCTACCGTCTGGTGCAAAAGCGAATCTGCAGATTCGTAGTTGCCCGATGTGGCAGATCTGCAAGACAAGGGTCCAACACTTTTGCTGGCCAAAGCTCCGCCGACGTGGCTTTCATCCCTTCCAACACCCAACCAACACCCTTGCCTCCCTCGCTGGTGTCGCGACGATGCACAGCACGCTTTCGCGTCTCAACGCCGTTTCGGCGTTGGCGACGACCATCGTCCTCATCCTCGTGGTGCTCATCGACTTCTCCCGCCTTGGCACGCACAAGCCCACCGGCCAGGTCGTCATCAACCAACTCCAGGTGGTGCGCGCCAAAGCCGCCTGGCACATGGACCGCAACATCCAGGACTTTGTCGAGGTCGAATTCGACATCGATGCCGACTTTGCGCCCTTGTTCGATTGGAACACCAAGCAGGTCTTTGTCAGCCTCGCTGCGACCTACGATAGCAAGCGACACACCAGGAACGAGGTCGTCATCTGGGACCGAATCCTGCGCAGCAAACAGGACGCCCATGTCGCGTTGAACAGCGCCAAGAACAAGTACGGCTTTCGTGAAGTCGGTCGTTCCTTCAAGTGAGTTCCCTCGCAAGACACGCACACTACATGCCTCCCGCTCGACAGATCACTGACTCCATTTGCTTTTGAATTAGCACAGAGACATCTCCAACACCACCTTCACGCTCAAATACAACATCATGCCCAAAGTGGGACTCCTACACTACGGCGATGAGTTCACCTCCCGCTCCATCCCCATCCCCGCCAAGCAGCTCCTCCCCAACGGAGAACAGCCCAAATTGCAAAGACTATACTACTAGACTGAGCAATTTCAATCTCATATCTGCATCACATCAAACGAAAAGAAGCACATAAAAGCATACATTGCCCATACACAATGTGATAAAGAAGAACGACGATGGTCTTCATCCGCTCTTGCCAAACACGTCGAAGACGCTCTTGCGCTTCTTGGCTGCCGCGGGTGTGGCCGTCTTGGCTCCTACGCCCTTGCCTGCACGCTTGGCTCCTGTTGACGCCTTCGCTGACGCCTTTCCTCTCTTGGGCGCCTCATCCTCCGACGAAGAAGAGGACGAAGAATCGCTCTCATCGTCGTCCTCCGACGCGGTCTCCGCCTGGGCTGGCTCGGGGGTCGCAGCTGCCGTCGTGAATGCTCCTGCAGCAGCACTGCTATCCGTGCTCCCATTCCCGTCGCCGTTCATCACCGGCTGGCTGGCGAAGAACGGCGTCTGACCCGAAGCGCTCAACGGCGTCGATCCACCCGTGCTCAACGGCGATCCCGGTTGCGAGAGGTTCTGGCGCAGACTCGCCGGTTTGAGCTCCGACAAACGCGTAAACGGCGTCGACTTGTTGCTGCCCGCACCGTTCTGTCGGGACGAGACCGGCGTGAGTCCTCGCAGGAACGGATTGTCCGGTGGCGGTAGACGCTTGGTCGTCTTGCTCGCGGGCGTCTTGACGTTGGCATTGTCGCCGCTGGGTTTTGCGCGCGAAGTGCTCTTCTTCGACGTGTCGGGCTCGGATTCCGTCTCGGAATCAGAGGAGCTCGTGTCGGTCCCCGAGGAGGCATCCTTGCGAGCGGCAGCGGCAGTGCGCGCCTTCTTGGCCACCGGCGAGCGAGGTGGCTTGCTTGAAGCGGGCTTGGCTTGCTTGCCTGTGCCTTTGCGACCGACCTTCGCAGCGGTTCCCCCGGCATCACTGTCCGCATCCGACTCGTCATCGCTGCTCTGCCCACCGTGCGAGGTGTCGGAACTGGTGATCGAAGCAGATCTCGATCTGGGACTCGAAGTGCTTGCAGCATCGGCGAGCTTCATCCGGCGTTTCCTTTCCTCCAGTTGCTGCGCCGCTGTGCTCGGCCGAGACGGTGTGTTGGATGGAAGCTCGTCGACGTCCATGTCATCACTTGCTCGCGGCACAGCCGACAAGAGGGGGCTCGTGGCCAGCTCCGCTTCGGATGACTCGGATGGCGCTCTGAGTCCGGTGCCGGGCGGCTGCGAAAATTGCGTTTGGCTTGGTTGCAGTGGTGAGGAGGGCGTCAGGGCGATGTTGGGCTCTGACATCGTTGAAGCAACCGCCTTCTTGGCCGCTTTGGCCTGCGCTGTTGCTGCTGCCTTTTTGCTTTGAGCTCGCGGTGCTTTTGCGGTGGGCTTGGCTGTTGATGCTGATGGCGGCTCTGCTGGGGCCGCAACGCCAGAAGGGGGTGGCAATTCGGGCTCTGGCGTCGCACGCGCAAGGATACTTTTCTTGGCGACGCTGGCTTTCGCGCTCGAAGCCTTCTTGCCGGTTGTCGGACTGGACGCCGGTGCGCTTTCGACGGCCGACTCTTGCGTGAATACAATGGGGTCCGCACTCTCGTTAACGGCCGCGGCAGCGTCTTTTACAGGCTGACCAGCAGCCGGTGGGAGTGAGATGTCCTGCGAGGGCTGGATTGAGTCTTGACTGATGGTGAAATCGAGAGCAGGCGCGTTGAACTGCAACGAAAGCCAATCCTGAAGCATCCGGACGGTCTCCTTGTCCTTTTTGTTCTTGTAGCTCTTCTTGCGAAGCATGGCGAGCAGCTCGAGAATCGCTTCTGAGCCGCCTTTCCAGATCGGACAGTCTTTACGACCGTGGGAGGGAGTAGCGCCACAGACAACGCACGCCTCTGAAGATTCGGAGGCTGCAGCTGCAGCGTCGGTCCCGTTTGCTTTTGAGCCTCGAGGCTTTGTTGCAGCGGTAGCGCGCTTTGAAGTTGCTGGAGTCGCGGCCACAGTCGATTCTAGGGAAGTCGCGTCAACTTGAGACGGAGCGGAACTGCTCGGTGCGACCTCTGCAGGTGCAGGCGCAGCAGCAGGAGCAGCGTCAATTGTGCCAGCTGCGTTCTCGTCGGGCTGTGCAGCGTTCGTGCTGTGCTCGTCATCGTTTGCCGTCATTTGTTGCGCTGATGCCTCTACTGAGCCTGGTTGCTCCGCGACCGGTGATGTTACGGTGTCTGCAATTGGTGCTGTCACCGCTGCACCGATCTCGGTGACGGGCTCAACGTCAGCTGCCGCCGCCCTTGCTGCTTTCGCAGTCTTTGGCTGGCGGCCGACCTTCTTGGGTGTCGCGACCACCGCAGCAGCAGCTTCCGGGCTTTCTGCGAGCTTCTCTGTCGATACCGGCTGCGCCTGAGAATTGGCGCCCGATGCTGGCGTCTCGGCGGCATCCACCGCACTGGCACCTTCAGCAGAGGCTAGCAACGCCGCCCTGGCCGCCAAGTCAGCCTTGGAGGGACGACCACGCTTTTTCTTGACCGGCAGGTCGGGGTTTGTCTGAGAAGTGTCGGAGGGTGTCTGCTGGGATGCTGCCGTCGTCGACGGGGCGCTGGCCTCTTCGGAGGCAGCCGCAGGCGCTACTGCCATCGACTCTGTTTCTGCGATCGCCTTCTTGGAAGCTCTTCCATGCGGCTTGGGGTTGGCTGCGGCTTTCGCTGCAGGTGTTTGCTCGAGAGACGACTCTTCTGGCTGTGAAGCTGCAGGCACCTCAACCGGCTGTGCGTTCACTGCAGGCACAGCTGACTCGATTTCTGTACTCGCTGCTGCGGTCACGCTACCGTTGGACGACTCTTGAGTCTGCGTGGGGGTTTGCTGTGCTGCAGAAGCGGGTGTGGCGCTCTGATCCGCGGCCAGAGTGGCAGCCTTCTTCGGTCGACCACGCTTCGGTGTCTCGAGAGGGGCTTGTTGAACAGAGGCAGCTTCCTCGATCGGTGCGAGCTTCTTTGCACGCCCTCGCTTCGGTGTGTCGGCACTGACGTCGTTGCGCACCGTTCCATTCTCGGTGGGCTGAACGGTCGTAGTTGCTGAACTCTTCCTAGGACGGCCGGGTTTCCGGGTCTCGATGGCAGCCTCTTTCTGCGGCACGGCTACGGTCTCGGCAGGTTGCGAAGCGGAGACTGTCATATCAGCATTCTGAGCTGGAGCGGACACTTCCGAGGTAGAAGACGCGGGGTCTGTTGAAACGCTCGCGGTGTCTGGGACATTGTCAGTTCCGGCAGCCGTAGTGGAAGCCAGCGATGTCTTCGGGCGCCCTCTCGGCTTCTTGTGAACAGGTGCAGACGGCGTCGAAGGACTGGTCGGGGCGGCCGTGGACTCCGAAGGTCGAGCAGCAGATGCGGAAGATGGCGGTGAATCGTTGGTGCGTTTGCGCTTGCTGGACGTCTTCTTGGCGACGGGCGTCAAAGGCTGCGGCGCAGAGCTGCCATTCACCTGCGAGGCCTCGAACTGATGGTCGTAGCCATTAGTGTATGCTTGGGTCCCCTCAACTTGAGTGGATGTGAGCTGAGTTGAGCCGGCTTTCGCTCGGCCCTTCTTTTGCGGTTTGGGAGGTGACGCCGCGTCGTTGGAGTGACCATTCGCTTGCGCAGGGACTGGTACTTGAGGAGGAGGCATGATGGCAGTGATTGGCTGCGTGGCCACCTTGGAGGCTGCGACGGGCGCACTTTGCGGTTCATTGGCTGCTGTGGCTCCGTCGGAGAGGATCTGCGGTGCGACTGCTGACGAGGCGAGGGCAGCCTTGCCGTTGGCGAATGCTGTTGGTAGATCCGATGCAGCAGAGGTGACATGGACGTGGAGCTTTGGCGCGAGGTGGGCATGCACTGCAAGGGCCCTCAAATCGTGCTCGTCGTCGAGTTCGCACACGATACCGTCGGGGTTGATGTAGCTCATCTCGATGGGCTGCGTGGGCGCGAATCTGAACTTGGATCGAGCCATGCTCTGGAGGCTTCGTAGATCTTGTGGGAAGCTGTCATCGTGTACACGCTCAAAGCCACGATCAGCAGGACCGCTGAAGAGGATGACAGAGGGTGAGGAAAGATGTGTCGGTCGGGGTGAATCTTGAGAGGACCGGTGACTGAAGGGCGAGAAGGCCCCGGCGTGTGGGCGAAAACCAGCTTTGTTGAGAGGAGTTGATGGAGGCAATTCATCGTCAAAGCTGGCGACGATGCTCGCAGTCGATGGTCGGCCGCGAGCTCGACGTTTTCTTGCCTTTGCCGACGCATCCAATGTCGCGCGAGGAGTGGCGTGTGCCGAGTGCTGGCTGAGAGAGTCCATCGCGAAAGTCGCTTCCGTGGCCGGGCGTGGGGTTAAGTGAGGAGTGAAGCGAATGAATGTATGCGGCTTCAAGCTATCAGATGGATCGAGAGCCACCGAGCCTGTCGAAGTTGGTGGTGGAGGACAAGGTCGAATGCTGTTGGTCGATTTGGGCGCAGATCGGTGGTCAACCTTGTTTCGACTGCTGCTGCGCCTTTTTGAAGACTGTCAAGATTGTGATGGACTCAGAGGTTGTTCAATGCTGCTGGGCTGAGTGAGACTCTGACATGCCGGAGAGGTCGAGTCTTATCGGTGGCAATGTTGACAAACGGTAGAGGATGAGGAGGATGTGATGGAGCAAATGAAACCACGGAAGCGCCGAGGATATCGAGAGCGTGGAGGTGCCGAAAGGTGGGTTGGTGGGCTTCGACCAAATTTCGACCTTCGACTTCTTCTCTTCGGTCACGTCTTTTTTGCACTGCTCGCCTACGGGTCTCCTCTTACGTTCTAACACTCTTACGCTGACATTGCCCTTGAGCATCAACGATGGCGACAAAGTCGACGTCACCCTGTATCAACTGACTCGGAGATTCATGCGAGACCCGGCACAGACTGACTCGACCTTGATGATGATGCGTATGCGATAACATTGCTAGAAATACAAGAGAGTCGATCTGGGATCCGAGCCCTCAGCAGAGAATGCCGTCACGGCCGGTGTTGCCACGCGTTCGGTCCGTGAGCAGCGAGCGAACGACAGGAGGCGGCGAGCAGGCAGCGGTCTTGGAGGCGGGGTAGGATGTCGATGCATTTGCAGCTGCTCCGTTGGTATGCGACGCAGTTCGAGACGATGCCGGATGCGATGACGCCGCTGGCTCGTCTAGGTCCATCTCGGCGCTGCTGCGCTTGACGCCTCGTGAAGAGTCTTGACGTGACAGCCCATTGGGGACTGACGTAGACTGCGGTGGCTCGTCGTCTCTGCGAGTGTTGCTTTCGAGGTGCGAGGGACGCTGATGAAGCGAGTCAGAAGGATGACGCTGATGCTGTCCAGCAGATTGCATGGCGCGTCCGTGTGCTTGTGGTCCCGCCGGGGTGCGGAAGCCTTGCGATGGAGAAGAGTCGTGCGAGTACGGAGCACGCAAAATCGACGGATCCGGATGCACAGCGTCGTTACCCAGCTTGAGCAGGCTGGCCACAATATAAGCTCGGTCGAGCGTCTCTCTGCGATACAGATCCACGCCAAAGCCACCGCCCAGATGAAGTCGGACGCTGTAGAAGTCGTACATGCCGTTGCGCTGCCTCAGACGCATGTTCTCCTGCACAAAGATCGTACCGGCAGCGGGTGCCATCAGACGAGCGGCCGGCGTGCTCATCACCACGTCCGCAGCAGCCGGTACCGATTGAGGAATCACGCCCACCGGGTCGATGAGCGATGTCCAAATCTCTTGCAATCGACTCGTCTCGGAGGGATGGACCAGCTCGAACAAGGATCGCTCGTTGAGTTCGCTCGGCTTGTACCCGAGCAGCGCGATGCACTCTTCCGAGCTGCGAGCGCACTGCAGATTGGTGGAGCAGATCATCGTGACCACGGCAGACACGATGCCATCAGAGGTCTCCGCCGCTGCATCGGCCGTTTGCACGTTAGATGAAGGATGCGATGCAGGGTGAGCGTACAGACCGTGCTGCTGCGGCTGCTGCGGCTGATGGTGATGTGGATGCTGCGGCTGCTCGTACGACAGCGAATGCGAATGATGTCGTCCGGTCATCGGATGCGTACGGTCGGGCACGTGGGTTGGATGCTGTGATTGATACGACCAAGGTGCGATCGGGTGACCGGCTCCATGGCTGCTCGAGACCTCCATCGGATGACGCAGATGGTCGGGTCGCGAGTAGGGATAGCTCGAAGCCGAGACCGAATTGGAAGCGCTGCGAGGATGCGCTCCCGGTCCGTGTGTCCTACCAGAGACCTGCATGACGGCGCTCGAGGAAAGCAGCGGCGGGGAGACCATGTCGTTGGTGCGCGTGGGCGATCGGAAGTAGCCCTGCTCAGAGCCAGGAGACTGGCGCGTATAGGGACCGGAGGCGGGCGAGCCAGAGTTGTCGCTTTTGCCTTCGAGCGTCTGCAAGGTGGGCACACCTGCCTGCGAGGAAGGTCGGTCCTTCAAGCGAGGTCGACCGCGCTTTTTGTGTTGCACATCGATGCAGGTGTCGCTCTTGCCCAGGTTGATGCAGCGTCGGCACGGTCTGCCCACGTCGCAGGCCAGATGTGCACGTTTGCAGTTGAGACAGGCAGAAGGCACATGCGCCTTTGCTTGCTTGCGACTGGCCTGGCTGCGTTCATCGGCGCCGGGAGAGGTGAGACCAGAGGGCGACGAGTCTACGAGAAGGGGCCTGTTCAAGTCGCGGAGCTGGCCAGACAGCGACAGCAGCTTTGGATCCTGGCCGACGGATCTCTGCTCGTTAGAGTATGCGTCTCTCGATGCATGCGAGGAAGCGATATGAGCTGCTTGGGTATGCTGGCCGGGCTGGTAGGCCAGTTCGCGACCATGCCAAGATGTCGAGGACGGCAGGCTTGCCGACAAGGAAGGCAGTTGGAAGGCGTTGCTGTTCGAGTTGGAGCTTGTGAGAGGCGGGAGAAGCCGGGAAAAGGAGGAAGAAGCGCCGGCGCCTTCCGAGACTCGATGCTCGAGGGGAGGTGGACGAGGCTCCTTCCAGAGTGATGGTGCTGCCTGGCGGTTGCGCTCGTTGTAGCTGCTGCTCGAGGTGTAAGATGCTGCGATAGGGTGATGATACGAGTGGAGCCGAGTGGGTGGTGGTGGCGGCAGAGGCCCGGATGAGGAAGAGGGGAGAAGAGGCGGCGAGAGCGGCTGGCGTCGCAAGCTGGACGAGTCGAATGGGCGAGAGAGGGATGAGCCCAGCGAGGGTAGCTTGGCTTGGCCGGAACCGCCACGTTGGTCAGACTCCGTCATTGCGGCGGTGTCGAAGGAGCGAAGCAGAGAGGAGATGGCGGGCGTGGGAATGCACCACGTCTGTCCACTGTCACGCAGTGTCTAGCAATCGTGTCGTAAGATCGGATATGGCGCGGCTTTGCTACGTGAATGCTGCTGCGCGGCTATGCGATCAGAAGATTGCCTCGAATACGCAGGATATGCTGGGCTGTGCTCTAACGAATCTTGATGAATCACCGCTGGAAGATCGCTTTCGGGGCGTCCGAAATGAGTTCGCCACGGATTGGCCGCCAAGATGAGGCTGCTGACGTGATGATACGGGGCTCAGCCGGCGCAAATGTGATGTAGTGCGGCTCGGTTCGGCACTGAAGAGGAGGTCGGCGATAGCAAGTCAGGTCGAATTTGCAGGCGAGCGAGCAACGGATTGAAGCAAGGATGTGCGCATGGGATGATGACGGTGATGAGGATGGTGATGGCGGACAGGGACAAGCTTGCTTGGGTGACGAACAAGGGCAAGGGCAAGGGCAAGGGCAAGGGCAAAGGCGTCGGAGGAGAGGCCCGAGGGAAAATGCGGAGAAGCGTGGTTCCTGAGCTGGGACGAGCAGCTGTGAGCCACGAGACACACCTTGATGGACATCAATGCTGCGGATGCGCAGAAAAGGGAAGGCGCAATGCAGCAGCAGCAGCAGCAGCAGCAGCAGGGACAGAGAGGTGGGCAATCTATGACAGAAAGGCTCAGCCGAGACAATGGGGCAAAGGAGAGTTCCGTAGCACGGTCCGAACAACCAGCTCGAGATGAACCGGTGACACGGAGAAATTAAAGTGCAGCTCCAAGCGACAGAGCTTGACCGGCGAAGGGAGAGCGAGCGAGAGAGCGAGCGGCCAAGAAAGGAAGGGTAACAGGGTCGAGCGGAGAAAGAGGTGCGCAGGCGAGGGCGAAGGCGTGGGCGTGGCATGGCAAGACTGTCCCTGGGCTTGGCCTGGATTCCTCGGATCAAGCGGGGTAGATGGCTTCAGAGATGGCGCAGGCTGCGCGGGCACTCGAAGGCAAAGCCAGGGCGAAGCATGAGAACGGAGAAATAGCCAAAAATTGTCCTCTTCCTCCGCGAATGCCATGCAAATCTCAGCCGAGCTCACAGCGAAGCGAGGCAAAACAAAAACGCGGGGAGAAACGCAAAAGCGCAGCAGTACACGAGTCGAGATCCAAAAGTGGGGTCCAGAGAGACGACACGCTGTTTCGCTTGCTCCCGGCCTAGCAGCTTGAAGCAAGCGCAGAGGCACTTGCCTCTTTCTTCGACTGTCAAGGTGCAAGGGACGCATTCGATCAGACTTACGCTCAGGTGCTGGAGTGCGGGCCGCGCAGAGCGGAGCAAGGGCATAAAGATGGCCGGCTGCCGACGAAATTGGAATACCCTGGCGGAGAGGCTGTTGTGCCTGTGCCTGCTTGCTCGGCCACGAGGGGCAGCTCTCGACTCTCAAAAAGGGGGGGGCGCAGGGGGTGGCTGGGGAGGCGCGGTCAACTGAACTTTCCGCTCCCTGCTCTTGCTCTCTTGCTTGAAGGTCGGTCGGCCCTCGTCGTTCCGTCCGCGTGAGCAGTCTGTCTGTCGTCGGCTTTGGATCACGGCTCAACTTCGGCTGCATTCCAGCTCACGCCTCTCGAAAAAAAGTCTCCGCCCCGCGTCGCTGCTTTCCCCCGCGAAAACAAGGTGAGCGAGAGCAATTCGACCGAAAACTCTCCTTTCCAGATTTAGGTGTGAGGGAGAAGGAGAACAGCCCGACGTCTAGCAAGCAGGCTCTGTGATTCGAGCCGGTCTATCTAGCAGCGGCATGGGACTTGTCCTTTTCGACGATCTTTGCACGGCAAGCCTGCCAGTTCAGCACCAGCTTTTTGTTTTCAGTGCAGACCGGCCTGTCTAAGAAGCAAGCAAAACGGCGATTCCCCCGCAGCGAGCCAAGGTTGACCGGCCTGCCGTCGCGTCCCGGGTTACCCACTCTTTCTGCCGCTCCCTCCGCGTCGGTCAAAAAGGCACCGATGGCAGTCCGTCCCAGCATACACCACATGCTGTCGTCGCTGAGGGATCCGGACTGCGGGAGAGGGTCCGTTGACGAAGTGCCTCGCTCAATCGGCCATCTCGGTCTCGTCCGGAGCAAAGGCGCGCCGCTGTTAGATCGCCAGGTGTTGACCCCGAATGCCGAGCTCTCAGCAGGGTCCAAAGGCGTAACCCAGCTCAGGTGAAGATGAGATGGTCGGTTCATTTTTGACAGAATCAGAAGCGGCAAGAAAAGCCCGAACAAAAAGGGGTCGCAAAAATCGAGTTGCAGCTACGGGCGTGGATCGCCGATCTGCAGCGGTGACGAGCCTTCTTGGAGGTTGGGTGGGTTCATCCCTTGACGCTGAGCAGCGAGATTCCTACAATCGATCCATCCACCCAGTCAGGCATGGAAGCAGTTGACGGGGGGAACAGCGTGGTCTAAGAGCGACAGCAAGCAGCAGGCAGCGTATACGACACCAGCCCATCACAGGGCGGCACTCTGCTAAGAAAAGATCGAGGTGAAATAGAGCGGCTGTGGCCCGATGGACCCTCCTTCTCCATGTCTGAGCGCGCGGCACAGCTCTCGCCCGCGCCTTGACAAGCCAGGCTTGAAAGCGCCGTTAGGCCAAGCGGACAGGAAGCGAGCTCGCCTAAGAATAAACGACCTTTTCGCTTTCCTCTGCCCACTCAAGAGGTTGCGTGCGTGCTGCCCCTGGCTGAGCGGATGGATCGACAAGAAGATGGATCGCCCTTGGCTTCGCTGATCCTCCCACCGTGCTCGCTCGTCTGGCCCTCATGCAGCCCTTCCATGCGCCTTTTTTCCCCGAACAGGGTCTTTCTGGCCTGTCAAGTCGGATTTTTAGCCGCCCTGCCGTCCACGCCGAGCTTTCTTGGTCGCCGCCACACTATGTGCATCCAGCAATGCTTGCCGACATCGAACCGACTCGTCCTTCAGCGCATTTGTCGTGGGGAGTGGATGAGGCCCATATCGAGCTCGCGACTCGATTCGATCCATGGCGTGTCTCGCTGCCTACGATTGGCGGCTGTGGCTGAAAGCAGCACCTCTCGTGACCTTCACTGCTGCACCAATTCTAAAATATAGATCGGCGCGGCAATGACAGTACCCAGTAGACGCCTACTGACCGAGATCAAATGGGGAGGCAACGTCGTCTGATCGACTGGTAAAGGCCGCAGTGAGCAAGAAGCAAGTTTGCATTTGTCTGTGCGTGTGACAAAGAACGGAGGAGTGACGATTGCCACTGCAAAGTGTGCCGAGACAGAGAGGCAAGCTTAGAAGCGAGGGCGAAAGAGCCGAATTGGATTTGATTTCCTCGACACACGGTCCAGCTCGAGTGAGGCGTTTGCTTTTTGGCTGGGCTGTCTGCCTTTGCTTGGCTTTGCCGCCCGTTCGCTCGCTCGCTCGCTTGGCTGCCTGTCTTGGCTCTGAGTTCAGTCACACTTTCTTTAGAGCTGATCCGCATGGCACCCTTTCGGCATACTTCTCCTCACTGTCACCCTCCGCAGCAGCAGCAGCGCCCACGGCTCGCTTCTTCGATCATCTCCTCCATCTCGCCACCAACACCTAGATACCATCAGCCGGCTTCTCCCCCGTCCATCTCCTCACCGGCTGAACCAATATACACTCTTTCCATCGCAGCCTCGTTGCCGCCCAACTAGGTGCGCCTCCAACTCCCTCCTGGCGTCGACGTTTGCGCATCATCAAGTCCCTCTGCAGCCATCCTTTCCCGTCGCAGTGGTTTCCCACATCCTTGCGCCTCTAGATCGCTTTATCCGGACGCCGCTCGCCCGCCCGACTTCATATCCCGCTTCAACGGTCGGCTACGAGCAAGCATCGGCCCCGTCCATTCATCGCTTTCCCGCGCGGTGCATCGGCAACCTCGGCACTCGCAGCTCATTCTACCTGGACGCCTTCATAGCTGCAGCCGGTGCCAGAAACCGTCAGCAACCCGCCATCAGCCGCTGATTCGCCTATCGAGATAGATCTGGCCCCGACTTCATCTTTCTTCGCACGCTGCCGTCAGCTCAAGCCGTTGTTTGCTTGGCTTACTGTTGCGGCTTGCTTCATCTTGACACTGCCGTTCCCACACTCACCTTCATCGCCACCACCTCTCGGTTGCTACACGACCTCTTCCTTGGCACATTCACCCCATTCGCGCCTGGCGGCAGCAAACGAGCACACCCTCACTCGTGTTCTTCTTCTTCACCTCCCCGCCCAGCTCACCAGCTCAACCCTTCATAAACGGTGCTCATAGATGGCCTGCTGTTTCCGACCCTCTTTCTCAACAGCTCGCCGCATCGGCACACTCCCAACGCGCCTTACCTCCTAGACCATAGACGAGTCAGCAAGGTGCATTCAACGACATAGACACGACCTGGATCGGACCCGACTCGGCTCTGGCGTCGTGCTGGCCCCAACTCTACTCCGCTGCACTGCGCTGAGATCGTATCAGTCAAGGCCCCGCAACAGGCTGCGGAGCGCGCCGCCAACAGCACGGCATGTTCCAGCCTACATGGTCCCAAGAGGCCTCGGCATCCCACCAGCCAAACCCTCCAGAACAGGACGCCATCTTCGCTTCTCAAAGCATGCACTTCTCTCAACAGATGCAGCACGACGGCCAGCAGATCGCACATGACCCTGCATCAGGGCAGAACCCCATGTTCCAAGGCTCGTCGATACCAGACTCGAATGCAGCGGCATCTTTCGGCGCTCCGTCGTATTCCTATCCAGTAGAGCAACCGCAGCAGTCCCAACATCACCATCTCCACCATATGCACGACCCGCAGCAGCATGATCACAGCTTTGGTGCTCAGATTCCGCCAAACACGTCTCTAGGCCATCCTCACGGAATGCAATCCGAGAGCTCGCTGTATTTCGACGGCTCGTCCACGGGCCTCAACAGCTCTGGCTTCGATCCAAGTGGCGGTCAGCAGCCCTCGCAACTCCCGAATGACAACTTCCACGCGCAGCAGAACGGTCCGCATGGCTCACGCCCACACACAGGCTCGGAACAAGGCTGGTCGGATCAAGTCGCGGCTTCGAGCGATGCGCATCAGCATGGCCTGGGCGCAGCACCTCCATCAGGTCTGCAAAGGCCATCTCGCCCTGCAGCACTCAAGATCGACATAGGGCCTCTAACGCCGAGCGTTCTGACCCCAAGCGTGCTGCACGATACGACCGCATCCACGGGCGCAGAGCCAGGCAGCGCAGTCACTCCGCATGCTTTCCAAACTCGCTTTGCTCCCCCGTCGATGTACGGAGGGAACCACCTACAGCAGCAGCACCAGCAGCAGCACTCCAATACCGTCGACCAGCTCGCCATGAACGACACCAGCATGCCTTCCAGCTCCGGCCTCATGCCAGCATTTGGCGCCGAGTTAAGCTACAAGGACGATGCTTCGATCTCGAATACGGATAGTCGACAGCGGAAAGGCCCAGAGCATGTCACAAACAGCCCTCAAATTACCCAAAGTGAGGGATATGTTGGCGTACCTGGACTCGCGGACAAATTCGGTCCGTCCACCAGCCACCTGGGTGTGTCTGCATCTCCAAGCTCGCCGCTGATCGGCGGCGCTCATCACAGCCCCAGCTCGACCCTATCAGGCGCTTTCTCGTCGCGGCCCGGTAGTCGTCCCGCCAGTCGCGGACTCAAGTCGGTCGCCAGCTTCACTTCGTCGGCTGGAACAGGCACAGCTTCCGGGAGCGATGCCATGTCCAGCCGCCAACGCTCAGGTTCGGGCAGTGTCTATGCTGGTCGTCCCATCTCGGCGCTGACCAGGACCACCAGCATGCAGAACAACTTTGCCTCCTATCCGAATGACCCTTCGCACCAGGGACTGCCGCAAAGTCGCAGCGTCCAGAACCTCGGCCAGATGCACAGTCCAGCCTTGTCGGGGCCCCTGGCGAGTCCTGGTCATCCCGCTTTCCACGGAACGGAGCCGTGGAGCCCCGTCCAATCGCAAATGACGCCGCCGTCTAGCTTCCGCGCTCCGTACACAGGTCCAGGCTTTCAGACACCCCAGATGCAACCATTCAGTCCGACGCTCACCTCGCCAGCGCAGTCGCAATACTCGCCGCAATCGCACATGGGCCCACACGCCGGGGGCATGCCGCCCTTCTTCTCGCCTCCCATTGACACGACGCATCGATTCGCGTCCTCGAGCGGAGGCCAGGATGGCTTCGAGATGGCAGCCTTCAACGAACAGCATCTCTCGTCTGCGCTAGCCAACAGCGCATCGATCAGTTCTGGTCCACCGACAGCTGGCCATCAGCGCGAGGGCCATAGCACACCAACAATTCTGGAAGAAGAAGAGAATCCGTTGCACACCCGTGCTACGGTCCTGAGACAGGCGCCGAACGACCCTCGCTTTGACCCTGCATTTTCTTCGCACCACCCGCATCATCCGCTTGCATACGAGCATCAGCATCAGCATCCATTCCAGAGTCCACATCAGCATCCACATCCGCATCCGCACCAGCATCATCACCCGCAACTGCAGCAGTCTCCACAGCAATACGCGGCGGGTTCGATCCCCCACGTTCTACAGCGTTCTCGCTCCGACCAGATCCCGGGCTCCCCTATGGACGCACCGCCGAGCTTACGCACCCAGATGGCGTATCCGCCTAGCATGCGCCCGAGCCTGTACCAACAGGTGTCGATGAGCGAGATGAACCAGATTCGCCAGATCCACGGCTTGGGCGTCTCGGAGAGCAGCCTGGGCGATTGCTCGGCTTTCATCGAAGACTATGTCCGGCAGTACATCTCGACCCCCAGTCGACTTGGTCTTGGAGAGAGGAATGTGCTGATCATGACGACGAGGGTGGCACAGAAGAGTTACGGTGCCGAGAAGCGCTTCTTGTGCCCGCCACCTCTTGTCATCTTGGTGGGAAGCAGCTGGTGGAACGCATGCCCGGCTTCGGCGCGTCCGTCTCCCTTCTCGCCTTCCGGTCCGCCCGATCCTGACCAGCCGGCACCGACGGTGCTCTCGCCGCCACGCGTCACCATCAATATCAGCGGTGAGCCAGGCATCCAGGATGGGGCGCTCGAGTGGGCATCCAGCAGCGGTCGTCTCATCGACGTCGGCAATCCATCGTCCGAGATGGCCATCTCGGGCCGTTGCATCGGCAAGCAGCTCTACATCTCGGACGTGGACGAAAAGAGACGTCACGTCGAGGCACTCGTCGCGATCTCCGTTCCGGGTCCTTCTCCCATGGATCGTCGTCTGCTCGGCACGTTCCCCAGCCGGCCCATCAAAGTCATCAGCAAGCCAAGCAAGAAGCGACAGTCTTCCCGCAATACAGAGCTCTGCGTCAACCACGGCACCGTCATTTCGCTCTTCCATCGATTGCGATCGCAGACCGTATCGACGCGCTACCTGTGCGTCTCAGGGGCACCGTCGTGGCTCAAGGGCTCGGACAACCAGCCCTTCCTCAACATGAATCCACGGGACCAGAAGAGCTCCGAGCCACCGAGCTGCTTTGTGGCCAAGATGTCGAGCTGGGACCCTTTTATCGTCTATCTGGTGGATCCCAAGAGGCGCGCCGATGCTACGCCGTCCGAGCCGCTACAACCCCCCGTCAAAGGCTATCCACCACCGCCTCCGAACGCCCTTCCTACGGCTGGGCTGACGAGCTCGCAAATGACGATCCACTACAATCAGCCCATCGTCCTTCAGTGTCTCAACACGGCGGTCGTGAGCCCGGTGATGGTGGTGCGAAAGGTGGAAAAGGGCACATCAGTACTCGGAGGCGCTCCAGCAGGCTCTACCGATTCGATTGCTCGCGAAGCGTTTGGCGATCCTGTGTCGCAGCTGCACAAGATTGCGCTCGAGGTGCTCGAGGATCCCCGACCGACGGGCGAGCAGCCTGGCGAATCCGCGTCGCCTGGCAATAGCGGACCCTTCCTGGCCTGCCTCAACGAATCCGTGGGCATGCATAGACCCAGCGAGCCGAGGAAGTGGGTGACCGGCAGCAGCAGCCTCAGCATGCCCTCAACGCCGACGACGCCGATGACATCGATGAGCCTGGCCATGGAGGGCGCAGGGGTCGGATCGAGTGATCACCTGCCCATGAGCCCGACCGCTGCGGCTGCGCATGCAGCGGCGCAGACTCGCTATTCTCTCGCCGCTGCCCGAGGAGGGCCGATGATGTCGCCGTCGGCCTCTTCCTCTTCGCACGACGTGTCTGCGATGGAGCCGCCGCCCTCTTCGGACGGTGGCAAAGCCAAGCGTCCACGCCGCGTCTCGTCCTCGATCGTGGTGCAGAAGGAACGTGCCGCTGCTGCAGCCGCTGCCAGCAAGAATCGTCGACGTGGCCAGTCGCTTTCGATCAGCACCATGCAGCATCAAGGTCTTTCTGATGTCGAGATCCTCCGTCGAACAGGCTCGTACGCCAACTCGGTAGGATCAGACTCTTCCGCAGCGGGCAGCAGCAGCATCTCACCAGGCGCAATGTGGTCGGTCGATGTGGCCGATTCCGACATCTGGACGGTGGTGGGCACCGATATTGCGCGCCACTCGTTCTACGTACCGCCTCAGATCGTCGGTGGAGCCCAGCCGCAGACCAACATCACCGACAGCAACATTGCGCATCTGATCACGGTCCCTGCCCCCGCGCAGCCTATCACGCCGATTCCCATCATCACCAACGTGGTGCCGCCCCCGCAGGACGGCCGATCGCCCATGCCAGCGCCCTCGAGCGATCAAAGCCCCGGGCTGGTCACGATCTTGGGCGACAACTTCCATCCGAACCTGTTCATCTTCTTCGGCGACTGGAAGAGCACGCACGTCGAGGTCAGAAGCCGCCAGACGATCATCTGCGCGGCTCCTCCGCCGTTGGACCAGGGACTGCCACGAGGACAGGTGCCGGTTCTGGTCGTGAGGCACGACGGTGTCATCTTCCCGACCGACTTTCAGTACCACTGCTGATGCAGCGTGAGCCTCCTGGTCCACTTTGCTGGACAGCTTTGAGCGTCTCGGAGCGTCTCGTACATTAGTTCAGCTTCATGTCAAGGGTCTGCATGCAAAAGAAGTCTTGCAGTGCGAATCTACAGAAGTACCTTCTCGATAGCACGTCACAGAAGAGCGATGTTGTGCAAGTTGAAGTGGTTGAGCCGGCCGAAAGGGAGATAGCCGCGCTGATGTGGAAATTGTGAGCTCGGATCGCAAGGGTCCGTTGCCGACGGCAGAAGCTCAAAGTGTGAATACATCGCACTCTTCTTCCTGTCCGCATCACCCCCACTCGATACGGATCCAAGACAGTCACTCGTCTTCAGGCCTTGAGCAAGAGCATCAAATAAGCTCTCGATCTGCGTTGCCGCTGTAGATCGCCAACGCCGCCGTACGTCAAGAGCGAGAGGAGCGAACGCTTCCACCCACTGCGCACGTACCACCTCCACGCCACCGTTTTCAAACATGACGACCGCCGGCGCAACGAGGAAGCTCAAGATCCTCATGGCCCATGGCTACACGAGCAACAGTTTCCAATTCTTCAAGCGCTCCGGTGCGATCCGCAAAGCGTGTCGGGACGTGGCCGACTTTACCTTCATCAACGGGCCGTTGATCGTTCAACCGATCACGTCCGCTGGAGACCTCGACGCACCCGATGTCGAAGACGGCAAGCTGGTCGACGAGAGCACGCCGATTGAAGAGCAGCCTCGGGCGTGGTGGAGGGCCGACGACGACGGCAATTATTTGGATTGGGACAAGTCGGTCGACTACATCAACGATGTTCTTAAGAAAGAAGGTCCGTTTGATGGCATCGTTGGCTTCTCCCAAGGCGGGTGCCTGACGGGCATCCTAGCGAGCGCATTCGAAGACTCTAGCCGCATGCCTGGGCTCAAACTGCCCAAGGATCAGGGACCGTTCAGGTTCGCAGTCGCCGTCTCTGGCTTCCGCAGCCGCGACCAGCTGCATCAGAAGCTGTTCGAGAAGCCCATCGAGACACCTATGCTGCATGTGCTCGGTCGCGCTGATCAGATCGTGGATCTCGAACGATCCCAGACGCTCGTTGATGTTTGCAAGAACTCGAGGGTTGAGCAGCACGACGGAGGACATTCGTTGCCTTCTCAGTAAGTGGTCTGACGTGGCAGCCAGAGTGTTGACCTACTGAGGTGGATCAATTGACGTTTACTGACCCGATCGACTGACGCTTTGTGCATCGCGTCCTCACAACAGAGCTCCGTGGCGCAACTTCTTCCGCGACTTCTTCACGACCTTCGCCTCGGACCCATACACGCCCAACTCGGAATGGAAGACGATCCCTGGTCCATCCGATCGACCACGCGGGAACGACACGCCGGCCGGATCCGGCACAGTGACGCCGACGCCCGAAGCCACCGAGGCGGCGACCACTGCCGCCGCCGCTACGACAGGTGAGCGTGACATCGATCCCTCGAACCCCTCGCGAAGTGTTCCTAAAAAGAAAGCCAATTCGCCGTTTCTGGTGCATCAGAAGTGGAAGGCGGAGCAGGAGCTGCGAAGAAGGAAGGCGGCGGAAGAGGCCGGCTCTAGCAGCACCGGCAACAAGGGCAGCAAAGGAGCAGAGGAGTTTGAGGAGCAAACGACGGATCTGACAGGAGGATTGCGGGTGATGGTGAAGCTGTTCCGCTTTTTGATGATGGCGACGGCGTTGGTGATGGCATCTGGGTTCTTTGTTGCCGGCGATCCGCTCTGGGGTTATCGTGGGAAGTATACGAAGCTGCGAACGTACCTGCCTGTAAGTGACGATCGATCCGACACCTTACCGCCCACTACACACGCTGATCCAATCATACCATCCCACGAATGCTCCGTTTCACCTCGCCTTCTCGCGAAACAGTACCGCGAACGCATCTTCTCGCTCCCGGAGCTGGCCATGTACAACGGTCGCGACCCGAAAAAGCCAATCTACGTGGCAATCCTGGGCGACGTGTACGACGTCACCGAGGGACGACGCATCTACGGGCCCGGAGGCTTCTACTCGTTCTTCAGCGGTAAAGACGCCAGTCGCGCCTACGTGACGGGTTGCTTCAAGACGCACCTCACGCACGACGTGCGCGACTTTGACGCCAAGCAGATGAGCGATCTCGTCACCTGGAGGGATTTCTACGACAAGCACGAAAAGTACTTCAAGGTGGGACGGGTGGTGCTACCGCCCATCGATGCTAGTGTGCCCCTGCCGGAGCCATGCGAGGATCCTTCGGCGCCAAAAAGCTGATCGAGGTGTGCCAATCGATGTCATTTCTCATCCGAATGGCTCAGGGGCGAAGAGGTGTGAAAGGTGGTGGACTCCCCCGATGTCCGAGAAGCTGAGATTGTGTACCCGCGCGCTCCCATGGTGACCGGTGATGTTGGGCTGGACGATTGTGTCTCCGACGTGCCAAGCACGATCGACATTGGTCACGACGGCGGGACGAATCGGTGGCATGAAGCGGAGCGTGAGGACAAGGTCGTTGCGCTGAGCATCGTGGCCCGTAGGGCAGCTCGGCTCCCCAGCGACGAGGTAGGACTTTGAATCGCTACTGTACCCCTGCTGAGCTGGAGGAAGGTACCACGGTTGGATCGAATCTTCTCTCCTCCTCCTTTTGCACACGAAGGACCCACGCATTCGGCACTCGAAACTCCGCGCGAGGCACGCTGGGGTGGTGTGCGGATGCATTCGTCATGACGGTCTCAGATTGGCGCCCCTCAGGGATGGGAAAGAAAAGGATGACAGGTCTCAGCTGGCAAGAAAAGGTGCGGGCTGGATCGAGCTCGGTCATCCAAGGGCTAGCAAGCATCTTGCATGACTCGGCTAAGGATCAGGACGGGAAGCCGCGGATTGGCAGCGGGGCGGTGTTTCGACACGTGTAAAGCACTTTAGGAGCCAGCCACCATCGCCCCCCTCCGTGGTCCACGGGCTCGCGGCTTCGCGTTATGTGTCTGTGTGTGTTTGCAACGGGAAGCCCCCATTTCCAACACCGCTCACAATTTCTGGGATCAGAAATAATCCATCTTGCTCGACATCATGCCAAGCCAGGGTCGAAGATTTGTCTCAGGAACTCGGACTTGTCGTGAGACATACTTATCAAGAAGCGACGTTGGGATGATATGGTAGAAGTCTAAAACAAGGTAGTACAGTGGACCATTTGGACCATTGGATGGATACGAGATGAGATTTCTTTTTGTTTGCACTTGACACAAGCATCTCGGCTTGCTAAGCGAGCTTCGCATCGAACTTGCGGTTCCATATTGTTATCACAGGCTCGAATGTCTGGAACATGTATGACGATCTACTGTAGTTGGTGTTGACGGCGGCAGTGCAAGACAGGCTTTTGAGTATTAAGGAGTCAGGGATCGAGCACCACTTTAAGTTGTCCACACAACGCGTTCCTGAATCTCGTCGCTGTCTCAATCCATGGATGACGGTGGCCTCAGGGCACGCGAACAGGTCTCTGGTATCGAGGGTCGAACTTGAAGCAGCGACACATGGCTGCACTGACAGCGCTGCACTTGAAATCCACGGTCGATCTTCTGAGTTTCAAGCTGGCGCCGGTATGCCTTCCCGTGCCAGTTTCCTCGATTGCGCGGCACATTCACTTGAATTGATCAGCCCAGCTTTCGACCCGAGAGTGCGCCATCGGCTGCTGCTTGTTTGGTGATCGCTCTGAGCCTAAACACTCGCGGCATCGCCAGACATGATTCGCCTGCGTCTGCTTTGATGATCATTGTGGGGGATACGACCACCAACAACCGAGACGAGCTCGACTCGAGCCGAGCGGATAAGCTTTTCATTTCTTTTCTCAAGCCAGAAAGCGGGAACAGCACCTGCATCGGCACTGTTTGATAGCAAATCTGTCACGCCTCTTTTTCGACTTTCTCTGCTCTGGTGCCGCCCTTTTTTGCAGCTCGGATAAAGTTCGATTTTCTTATGCATTTCGACTGCTCGTGACGCAGAGCGGAGTCGAGAACATGTGTCGTCGCTGTCCCATTGTTCCGCTCTCCTTGATCCCCGAATGCAATCTCAGACGGTAGAGGGGTGCATCGCCGACTCTCGTAGACGACGCTGCTGCTGCTGCTGCTGCTCCTCCAGCACCGCTTCCCGCTGTTGCGCTGTGCTGGGCAAACTCCGACCGAGTCCCCAAGCCAAACCACTGAAAGCGCAGAATCACCTGGCACTGCGTCTCTTGCTTCTCGCCGTCTCTCGGTCTGCACTCGCTGATTCCATCCATCAGCCGCAGAGCAATCGCCACGAGGCAGATCGCAAAGGCGGAGTCTCGGTCAATCCACTCAGCACAATGGATGCCATGCCGGCCCCATCATCGACGCTATTGTATCCATATCCGCGCCCGCCTCCCCCTCGCTTCCACCTGGCTGGTCGATAAAAACCATGACAACAATAGCCAACACTGACAAGCTCGTTCAGACCCCGGATCCCTGCCGGAGGAAACTCGGCCAGATATCGCCAGATCTTCTAGCGTGCCTCTTCCAATGCTTGTTTGATACAAGCTCTTTCTTAGACAATCTTAGGATGCATTCTGCCAATTAAATTGGCTTTAGACCGCTTTGCTCCCCGCAACCGAGATCATCGAACCGGTCGGCTGATCTCCCGGGTCCATTCGCTGTGAAACATCTCATGATACCTCTCTCTTGCTCCGCTCGTCTAGTCATGCCCGAGTCCCGCTGTTTCCATCACGACTTGGCCTGATCTTGTATCTCGCCTCGAAGCATGCGAGCCCCTCCCACATGTCAGTTGGAGCTCCGCTTGGCCTTCTCACGCATTGATGCAGCACACCACTTCGGATCTCGCAACCAACGCCACGCCTCGACCCGTCCCTCTTGCGCGTCAAGCCTGTGTAGCGACGAGCTTGACAGCACCTAATCGCTATTCTGCACAGCTGCTACTTGAGCCGGGCTTGGCTTCCCGAAACGCTGGCTCTTTTGATAGTCCGCAACTGGCAGCATGCTCCTTCTCTCGCTGCATAGGGAGCAGCGACAGCAGCGGCACCAGTTGCAAAAGTCGTGTCTCGCTTCCGCTCGTTTCGCTTCTGCTCTTTGTTTGTACTACTGTAGGCATTTTGCTAACGTGGCATCCACCTCTTCGGATGCAGTCTCAGCTGCTGTCAGCCTCGTGTCTCTTCATGCGGCGTCATCAAGCACCCTCTCTCCCCCCACGCCGTTTTGAACCGAGGCACAGCATCCCGTCCCAGATTTCAGTCCCGACGGACGCCCTGGTTGCTTCCTGAGAAGGGGCCCGACGATCTTTTCTGCGCAACCTCTTGACCCGGTTCTCATCTAAACCCCCCTTCGGTCTCTTTCCCCATTGTCCCTGCTTTTCCGTCGCTCCTTGCTCGATCCGATTGCCCTCTTCCGAGTCTCCGCTTCATTGTCGCTTGAACGCCACTTCCTGCGTTGTGGCTGAGCCCTTCCTTCCGGTTCCTCATCTGCTTTGAACCAATATAACTCCCCGTCCGCATCCATCCCCGCTCGGCTCTCTGCATCGAATCGCCCTGCCCCCTCGCCTCCTCGCCTCCCGGCTGCCTTCTCCTCGGGCAACCTCTTTCGAGATCATCCTCTGCGACCGTACAACATTCGACTGCACCAACATCTCAACCAAAGGTGCCCCTGCTGCTGCTCAATCTCGGTCTCAAAGCGAAATCCGTCGGTGCCAGCTCGCCTGTCCAACGAGTGAATTGTGCGCCGCCCCCGTATTGTGCTCGAACGCCGCGTCTAACTCCCATCCTTCGAGCTCAAGAGCGAACCTTTCCGGGTTCCTTAGGACCAGCAAACCACAACAGCCACCTGCACGCGAACAGTCCATCTTCTTCCGGGGGTTGCCTTGAGCTGAGCCCCATCACGGTCCACGTCACGTCCTCACTCCTTGCCTCTGCAAAGTCACATCCTTGCCGCCCTCCTTTCTTCACCAATTCCCTCCGCCGTCTCTTGCTCGTCTGATCAGCATCGCACATGCTCTTTCTTCCGGAGCTACTACCATCCAGACGATGAACACGGGCTTTACGGAGCGCAGTCCACCATCTCAAGCCAGCTTCATTCAGCTCAGCAATAGCAGCGACAAGGACCCACACGCCGCCGACGTTTCCGATCCCACCAGACAACATCAGCAATCTTTTCAGCAGCAGCATTCTAGAACACTATCGCAGTCGCAGACATACCATCCGCAGCTATCCGCACCCACTACGCTACACCCTCCAGCAGCTGGAGCAGTTCCATCGTCGCCGTCCATGTATCAAGTACAACACCAGCCGAGGGCACCGGCCTACCCGTCGAGTCACCACTACCTGCCGCCATCGCAGCAAGCACCATCGCTGCAGGCACCACAAGCTTTTCACGCTAGCCACCATCTTCACCCGCAAGCGCAGCAACAGGCATACGTGGACGGTCAACAGCAATTGCAACGTGGCGCCAACCAGGGCTTGAGCGTGCCTCGCAGCATCAATACCTCCGCCTGGTCATCGACTTCGAATGCACCGCCATCGGTGCAGCTTCATATCACGCCGACCAGCAACAACGCTGGAGTTTCTTCCGCGCCGCTCTCGTCGTCCTCGTCGGGGTCATTGATGTCGTACTGGGAGCAAGGCGCGGTGAGCGATGGCGAGCCCGGCATGATGGCATCCTCCTCAGCCATGCCAGAAATGATGCACAGCCGGTTCGCTTCGAGTGCGGCATCGCTGCCCGCCATGTCGCCGACGGGAGCCCACCCGTCGTCCTCCTCTTACGTGAGCGGCAGTGCCAACTCGCACAGCTACCTGGGCACCGCTTCGGAGTCACACCACCACTACCGTCCTCCCACCGCGCTGTCGATCAACTCGGGCATGTCGACGCAACACTACGCTCCCACGAGCAGCGGCCTCCCCTACCCGGTCTCGAACCCGCTCCCCTCGCCCGGCTTCATGTACAGCCCTTCCTCCGCCTCCTCGTCGGTTCCAGGATATGACGCCTACCCATCTTCCTCCTCGGGTTTCCCTACGCAGCACTCGCAGTACGTGTCCTACCTTCCGCCCGCGATGGGCGCCGACTCGCGCGGTTTCTATCCGCTCAACCCGTTCGAGATCAAACACCGCCGACGCACCACCAAGACGCAGTTCCGCGTGCTCGAGTCGACCTTTCGCGAGATTCCCAAGCCCAACGCGGCGCTGCGCAAGCAGATCAGTGCGCAGCTGGATATGCCTGTGCGCGCGGTGCAGATCTGGTTCCAGAACCGAAGGGCTAAAGCGAAGGCTGTGGAGAAGAAGCGTCCTGCGCAAGGGCAAGGGGAGGAGAGGCAGAGAGGTCAGGAGAGATACGAGGAAGCACGGGGGACGGGTCGATCGATGGACCTGCCCCCACTGCGTATTCCGAACGATGCAGTAAGCAGGCAGGAGAGCTACGCCTCGGGGTCCTCGAATGTCACCCTCCCCTCCCTCGCCGGCTCTGGATCCGCGACGCTGCGCGAAAGAAGAGCCATGGCAGGCGCCTCGGTCACCAACCCGGCTTACGCGGAGTATGCGGACCGCACCAGCGCGCTCGAGGAAAGCACCCTCAGCGCTGGCATGCCCGATCGAAATCGTGCAGCATACCAACGTGATCCGCGCGGTTTCGACGAACGATATCGATCCTCCTCATAGATGTATCACTAGCCACGCTAAACACTCTTTTGAGCAACGCACACGTCTGAGCTGAGCTCGAAGTAGGCACCGTACCATATCGTGCACCATACACATTTTAAAGATGCACACGTCTGAGCCGGCGTAGGACGAATAGTCTACGCAAGAGATCCATGGCGACAAGGCCGATTTTCGACTGTGAAGCGCACATTTTCTTTCACCCGACGGACACGACCTTTGAGGATCAGGCCGAACTTGAGCCGGTGCACAACGATGGCGCTCATTGCTCACCACACACCCACCCACCCTTACTTACAAACGTCCAATTCGTCGCTTCGAACCACCACTTCATTTCGACTTCGGCAACGCACAAGTGTCGGCCGAGCTCGTCGAGCTCACCTCCAACAGCATGCCGAACACGAGCAGATGCAGCGCGATCGCATAAGCCATGAAGAACACCCGCATGCGTCGATGACTCATGACGACGCGTGTCAGCACGTGCAATGCCTTCTCCAACGGGTTCAGCTGCGACAGTGCACGACTGCGTTCCTGGCCTCTGAACGCAGCGAACGGGTTCATAGCCTCCTCGTACCGCGCACGGTACTTATCACCCTCCCCGACGGATCGCGCCGCCACGCCCATGGGAATCACTGCCTCCCGAGAAGTGGTAGGACCGTACGACTGCAAGTACCGCACCTTCTCGTACAACCCCAGGTTGTCCGTTTGCAGCGTCTTGATCTCCCCGCGCAACTCGGAGATCGTCGAGGATTGACGACGAAGTTCTTCCTCGAGTTCGGCGTTGCGTGCGCGGAAGCGGTCGCGTTGCGAGGTGACGATGGGGAGGATGCCTTCGTTGCTGTCCGCCGAGGGGGTCGAGGGGGAGGCGCGAGGTGCGGCGGACGGTGTGATGGTGCGTGGTTGCGAAGCTTGCGCCTCGAGAGACTCCATCTCTCGGAGGGCTTCCTCGGCGCTCATAGCTGCGACGCCTTTGGTTGGTCGACGATCGCGTCCGACAGAGGCAAGGTCCACTTCGAGCTTCTCGTTGAGCGATTTGAGGTGCGAGTGGTCTTGCCGGAGTTGTGCTAGGTCGGCGTTGAGCTGCGTGAGCGAGGTGGACAGCTCGGCGTTGGCGACACGCATGGTAGCGAGTCGGTCCTCGAGCCGCTTGTTCTTCTCCAGTAGCCGGCCTTCCAGACTATCCGCTGCTCGCCGGACAAAGCTCTGATCGCCATCCCCATTGATCGCATCCCCCTCCTCCTCATCCTCCACGTTGAAATGCACCGCCTTGACAATGTCCAGCTCGCGCTTGATCTCGTCGTAGTCCCCGCGCTGCTGCAGCTTGAGCCGAAGCGCATCGAGCTCGGCCTGCTTCTCGGCGTGTGCCTTGGACTTGTCCTCCCTCGCTGTCGTGATCTGCTTCGCCAACTCCTCGCTCTGCTTCTTCTGGTGCTCGAGCATGGACTGCATCTGCGCGAGCTTGCGGTCCTTCTCGCTCGCCTCGATCTCGAGCTTGCGCAGGCTCTCGGACTCCTGGCGGCCGCTCTTGACGCCTTCGATCTCGACGCGCAGCTGCTCGTTGCGGCGTTCGACGTTCTCCACCCTCGCCTGTGCGCGCTCTAGATCCCGAGAAAGCATCTCGACTTCGGCAAAGTTGCCATTGCCGCTGCTCGCATCCTCACCCGGCCCCTTCTCGAGCAGCCTCGCCGTGGCGCTCTCGTCTCTGGACTTGAGCAGCTGCAACTGCTCCTGCGCCACATGGAGCGACTTTGTCAGATCGGCCTCGCGCGATTTGAGATTGCGTATCCTCTCGTCCCATTTGGCGGATAGCTCCGACTCCAACGCTGAGCTACGCTGTTGCAACCTCGAGTCGAAATCTTGCTCTAGAGACACGAGTTTTTGCTGCAGCGTGGCGTTCTCGCTCTCCCTTGCCTTGCTCGCTTCCGCCTCACTTGAGGTTTTCGTCAGGTCCTCCTTCAACCGCGCATTCTCCTTCCGCAACGTCTCGAGGTCGTTCAGACTCGCCGCCTGCTCGAGTACAATCTCGAGCAGTGGGTACGGATCCGGTGCCTCGCCGATCGCGCCCTGGAGCTGAAGGAATGCGTTCTCAGCGACCTTGCTTCGCTTGGTGAGCACGTCGATCTCCGCCTGGTACGACTTGAGTAGCGGCTTGAAGGATTCGAGCTTTCCGGCATCGGGCTGCTTCTTGAACTCGCGAGTCTGGTCAGCGAGCAGCTTGCGCGATGCTACGGCGGACTTTTGGGATGAGAGAAGAGTGGGCGCGACGGTGTTGAGTGTCGCTTGGAGGGAAGGGAGGTTGAGGGTGCGCCAGGTGGTGAGAGCCGCGGAGAAGTCGATGGGGGGTCGAGAGGGGCCGGCGCCGGCGCCATCGCTGGAGATGGTGTATGGCGCCGCGGATGGTGGCGGTGCTGCGGCCATGGTTCAGCGGTGTGCGGTGTAGGCCATAGTGACTGTTGGTGTTGAAGAAAGAACGAGGAGAGCGAGGACCCTTGCTGGAAGTGGTTCAGACGTCTCGCACGGACAGGCGTCGGATTTTTCGATGGAGCCTTGTTACACCGCTGCTTGGATGACTGAGTGATTTCATCGTGCTTCGGCCTTCTTAGGCTCAAACGCCCAAAAGTCAAAATCTGATTCGACGAGGAAATTTTCTTCTTGCAGGCGTCCGTGCTTTCGCTCAGATGAGAAAGAGTTGACTCGACCTCGCGACGAGCAAAGCCAAAAAGACAGCAGCACAGCGCAGCGTAGTTGGCACACGTCGAGTCGAGCAATTTCCTTATCTTTTGAAAGCGCTCGAATCACCTTTCTCTCCTCTCCTCATCATCATCGTCCCACTCTCTTGTCAAGCACCTAGCTTCTCTCGTAGCTTACCTCGCACATCTTCAAGGCATATCATCTTTGCCTCCATCGTATCCACCAACCCAAACACATCCTCCCGCCCCTTCACAGGGCTGTATAGCGCATGTTCGTTCAGCAGACCCGAGACGACTACATCAGTGATTCCGTCTACAAGTCCTCTCACAACTGAGAGGCCTGCCTGCAATCGCTTTTTCTTTTAACGTCTTATCCTACAACAATGCTTGCTCCTATTCGCAACATCCTGCTTCAGCGTGGCGCTGTCCGCGTCGGCGCCGTCCGCTCGCTCGCCACGCACGCTGCCAACCAAGGTCCCATCACCTACACCGAAGCCCCGGCCTCCAAGCCCGCCACGCTCCACCTCAAGTCGGGCCACTCGTTCACCGGTCGCTCCTTTGGTGCTCCTCGCAGCGTCTTTGGCGAGACGGTCTTCACCACGTCGATCACGTCGTACACCGAATCGCTCACCGACCCCTCGTACCAGGGTCAGATCCTCACCTTCACCCAGCCCCTGATGGGCAACTACGGTGTGCCCGACAACGGTTCCGGTCAGAGCCCCATCGAACACCCTGCCGATGTCGACGTTGGCGCCTTCCTCGAGTCGAACAAAGTTCAGGCTGCCGGTGTGGTTGTCTCCAACCTCGCCGAGCGCTTCTCGCACTACCTCGCGAAGGAATCGCTCGCCACGTGGTGTGCGCGACACAACGTACCTGGCATCTTTGGTGTCGACACCCGCGCCATCACCTCGCTTCTGCGTGACCAGGGCTCGACGCTCGGCGCGATCCTCGTCGGTGATGGACACGACAAGTCGCCCGACGTGGGGCAGTACATCGACCCCATGGCCGAGAACCTCATCGCCAAGGTCTCAACCAAGGAGCCGTACGTGCTGCATCCCGTCGGTGGCGCCAAGGCTGCCCGCGCCCACGTCGCGCTCATGGACTTTGGCTGCAAGGCCAACATTCTCCGCTCTCTCCTGCGCCGCGGTGCTTCCGTAACCGTCCTTCCTTGGGATTACGACTTCAACGCTGTGCGCAACGGTTTTGACGGTCTGTTCCTCTCCAACGGCCCCGGATCGCCCTACTCGATCCAACCGGCGCTCGACATGGCCCAGCGCGCCATCGCCGAGTGGGACCGCCCCATCTTCGGCATCTGCATGGGCAACCAGGTCATCGGCATCGCCGCCGGCGTCGAGGCCTACCGCATGAAGTTCGGCAACCGAGGTCACAACCAGCCCGTCGTCGCCCTCAAGAGCGCCGGCAACTTTGTCAAGCGCGGTCGCGTCTACATTACCAGTCAGAACCACGGTTACGCCTTGACGCCGGATGAGGACAAGTGGCCCGAGGGATGGCAGCCCTGGTTCGTCAACGCGAACGATTCGAGTGTCGAGGGCATCATTAGGACGCAGTTGAGCGAGCAAAGGGCTATGGTGTGGGGTGTTCAGTTCCATCCCGAGCACGCAGGTGGGCCGGAGGATACCAATGGCATCTTTGAGGACTTTGTCGAGGAGGTGGTGAGGATCAAGGGTCAGCAGGGTCGCAGCGAGGCAGGGACGGGTTTGCCCGAGGGGACAAAGGTCAAAGAGGGCGCGCCGAAGTTCCCTGCCAGCGAGTTTGGCATCGTTGGTCAGAGCCCTGCTCATCTTTGAGAGATCGCTGCACCAGTCCGAACACTCTTGTGCTTTGTCAGGATGAAATAGAATTGTCGCCCGTCTCTCGCAAAGTGGTCAAGTCAGGATTGTGTGCCGAGTGGCGCGAGGAACGCCGAAACGGCTTCGGCGAGCGCGGCGGTCGCCTCGTCGCTCGAAGCTTGGTGGTTGGCGCCCTGGAGGATCTTGGCCTCGAACCCGCCGGTGGGTCCGAGCAGGCGCGTCCAGCGCTCCAGGAGCCGGTCTGCATTGCCTTCGGGCAGGGAGTCGCTGTTGGTCGCGCAAGCAAGCAGAGATCTGATCAGCCATCGGTCTTTCTAAGTAGCTGTGGATGGGGGCGGTTACTTACTCCTGATCGCCGATGAGCGCGAGGATCTTTGCTGTCAATGCTGCAGCTTGAAGATTTGCTACGGCCCTTCCGAATCCCCTTGCGCCCTCGTCCTTGGCTGTGATGTCCTCATCGCTGAGGTCGAGGCTGAAGAAGTCGTCGTCGCCTCCCTTGGCGCGTAGCGACCAGAGGCGGTAGGCTGTCATCGCAGGATCTTGCATCGCAGCGGCGTTGCCCTCGCCCGCATCGCCCGGCTGGGTGGGCAACACAACCTCTTGGCGCGGTAGCAGCTTCGACCCTTGACCCGATCGAACTAGATTCGTGGCATGCTCGAGCTCGGCCTCCATCTTGTCCCATTCAGCCGCAGAGACGACGTCTCGCTGCGATTCGTACCATTCGCGATCGGATACGGGCGCTTGCAGAATCGCCCCATCCACACGCGTCGCCTCGCCGCGTGCGCGCTCAGCGCCAAGCAGGTACGCAATGGCATCCTGACACCCCGTCGAATGACCCATCAGCACCATCTTGCCACTCTTCCCCTGCTGGCGCAGGTGCGCGACACAGCTCGCCATCTCCTGCGCATCCCCTTCGAGCGTGCACTGCCCATAGCCGCCCATGTTGGACGACAGCTGCGGGAGAACGAGCGAGAAGCCGTGCTCCCCAGCGACGCGCGAAAGCGCAGGTAGATAGGGCAGGGTACCCATTGTGTCCCTCAGGCCGGGGACGAAGACCAGTGAATGGGGGAGAGAAGCGTTCGTGTCAAAGTAGGGTAAGGCGATGGGCGTGCGGCGGTACAGCTGGAGGGTGCCGCTGATGGGCGCCGGAAAGGGTTTGGAAGACATCGTGGGATCGAGCTCTATGCGCGTGATCGCGGAGCTGGTGATCGACGTGAGCAACGTCAAGGTGAGCGATACCAAGGGAGCGATGTCAAGATGAGAGCGAGGGCGAGGGCCAAAGGTGCAAGAAGTGCTTCACAAGGCTTTCAATCCGGGGAGGTCAGGGTCCAGCTGAGCCGTGCGCGGGCGTTCTAACACCTTGAAGCAAAAAAAATTGTATTCAGACCTTCGCAGCGCAAACAGCATCAACGATGACATGCGTTCATGAGTTTCACAGCGAACCAAACCAGCGAACCAGATATACATGCAGATTGAATTCCATGAGTCGATGCAACGATGAACATGCAGAGCGAGAGCGACGAGACAAGGCAAAAGAAAGTGGTCTATGCTGTGTGCAGATAGGGACAGTCTATGGTATGCCAGTGAAAGTATGCGAAAAAAGGAAGGTTCAGGGCTAAGGTCGGGGATCAACTCCTCGCCTCGTAGTAGACCGTCTGGCCAGACACATTCGAGACTGCCGAGTTGGCGTGGGACGGGACTGGTCGCGACAGATGCTGTGGTGTTGCTGCAGGGTGCTCGACTGGGTGGCCGGTGACGTTGGCCGACGATGTGGTCGGAGCAGCGGTGTGGTTGACGGGCGTCTCTCGCGACAAGGAGCTCTGTCGTACTGGCATGGGCCCGTCGGGCTTCAAATGCGAGGCAGCACCCATCTGCTCGGACGATGCACTGTCCGAGCCTGTCGAGCTGGGCGTGCTAACAGCCTCGGATTGAGCATGGTACGTCGTGCCTGGAGTAGCCTCGCCAGCTCCAACGGCGCCAAATGCATAGGACGGCTTCTCGTTCATCTCTGCGTCACCGACCCTCGTTGCGTTCCACTGCCTCCTCCTGATGAACGGCGAGATGAGATCCCACACCGTTAGGAAGAACAGGAAGATGATCGGAATGCCCGTCACCACAATCAGTGCGAAACCCAGCACCACGCGTGGAATCGTCTCGATGTCCGCAAGCGGCGTCAAAGCGATACAGATGCCCCACGAGATGACGCGGAAGACCATGAGGAAGATCATGACAAAGTCGCTCGTCTTGTCGCGACCGGGACGGCAGATGCAGAGCGCGAGGAAGAAGAGCAGGTCCGTCGCAGCGAGTCCGATCGATTGTCGCAGGCCGTGACCGTATCCCTGGGCGAAGCTGATGAAACAGGCGCGGATGAAGTAGACGAGCAAAAAGACGAGGCCGAACCAGAAGAAGCGTGGACGGAAAGGATGCGCGATGGCGCCCCACCTGGTCGCTGTGCGTCCGGCGTTTGCGGGAGGCGTGTCACCGTAGAAGAGCTCTTCCTTGCCGACTCTGCGAGAAGCGACAAAGACGGGCGCATAGATGAGTGCGATGCCGGCAAGGTAGACCACCAGGATGACGGCGGCGAGCAAGTCGGGCACCCACGAATCGCCACGAAGCCACTGCCAAAAGGCGAAAACTAGATAGACCTGGAAAGTGGCCATGAGGAAGCGACCAAAGAGTGGGCGGGAGAACGTGCCGAAGAACGACCGGCCCGCCAAACGCGACGACCAGGCAGCCACTCGACCATGTCGGCGTCGTGTGGCCAGGTGAAGAACCGCAGCGAACAGGTAGACGATGATGCAGATGGCAAGGAGAGCGGCGAAGAGCATAGCCAAGCTGACGAGGACCGTGAGGAACGCGCTGGAAGGCGAAATGTTGTTGAGCTCAGCAAAGTAGCCCAGTCCGTTGGGTGATGGCGTGCTGGAAGAGATGACCGGAAGGTAATCGGAGCCGACGTTCTGATCGATCTGGCCGCCGGGGCCGGTATTAGGAGCGTAGATTTGACGCTTGCCCAGATTGGTCATGTGGAACCTAATGGGCTCGGCCAATCGACTGTAGGCGGCAGCGGCTCCGCTCGCGTTGGCCTGCTGAGCAACTCCATTCAGGCCTTGAGCGCCTTGAGGGAGGCTGAGGAAAGAGAAGGGTCGCGTCGAAGTGAAAGCTGAAGAGGCACCCGACGCGACGCCCGCGGTGGTGAAGGGGTTGAATCGCTTGCCACTCTCAGCTGTGAGGAGGGCGCCAAAGATGCCGTCCTGAGTGCCTCCGGTCTTTTCGCGTGTCGAGAGGATGGATCTCTGCACGGCGGGGATGTCGATGAGACCGACGGACCATGCAAAGTTGCGGGCAAACTCGAGGAAGACCTGCGGATAGTTCAGAGACAGCAGTGCAGACATTGGAATATGCTGAATGGTGGTGAAGACATCGACGACGCGCCATTGTGCTGCGCCGAGGCTGGCGGCGAGCGACGTGTGAAGGAGCGAGCTGATGACAGCGAGCAGGAACACGCCAAGCACGGCATACTTGGCAGCAGGCTGGTATGTGGTCTTGCCGTTGGAGAGCGTAGCCTGAACGCAGCCGACGACGAAGTTGTTGGAGGTATCAGTGAGCTCGACGGTTGCGACCGCCTCGAGATTGGGGACGTTGAATGCAATGGCGGGGATCTTTTGGACGAATTGCTCGGGTACGGCAAAGACGCCGGCGCCTGCGAACTGATATGTGGGCAACGGGCAGAGCGCTGGAATGGTGTCGCAGAGGTCGATGGTGAGAGAAAAGAGGCCGAGCCCGTATGCGTTGACGTTGATGGAGACAGAGACTCGGAGGTCGTCGGCGACCGAGGAGGCTGAAATGTCGAATTCGAGCGTGCGGTTCTCTTGGTAGAATTTGAGGTCGAGGGCGGATATCAAGATGGCCTCGGGTGGACTACAGTAGACTGCAGACGATGTGTAGAGCTGCTTTTCGCCTCCAATGCCGCTACGAGCAGCCGTGGTGGAGGGCAAGCTGGCTAGGAGGATGGCGAGAAGAGCCGGAAGCACAGACATCGGGGAGAGCCAGGACGGCTCCCCTCTGCTCGATCGCCAACGCATCGTTGTGGTTCAACGCAGGGCCCGCCTGCTTGCTAGATGGGATGAGGGATTGTCGTCTGGATGTTGGTGTGTGGTGCTGAACGCAGATCGGACAGTGAGACGAGCGATGGATGCAGGCGACGGTTGTCAGCGAGCTGAAAGAGTCACGCGCGAGTCAGTCAGACTGCTGTGATGCTCGCGACTTGACTAGAGGGCGGAACCTGCTACCTATCCGGAAGTCGAGCCGTGTTACCAGCTGTGAAGCGCGGTTGTTCCGATGAAGGATTCCAGGGGTCGTGATCGAGAAAGCGGCGAGACCGAATGCGATTCCGAAATCCGAAGTTAGCGAGGCAACCATGAGTCCTCTAGGACGTGATAATGATGGTGGTGGTGGTGGTAGGCGATGCAGCGAGCCACGAGAGATGGTGTAGCGGACAAAGGGGAGGAGGAGCAAGCTTTGCGTCAGCAGCCGAGATGCTTTCTGCCGCACACTTCTTCCAAAATTTGCTGTCACTCTGCGAGCAAGCGTCACCTTCTTGCAGCTTGCACAAAAAGGGAGCTGCGTTCCGAACAAAGTAAGCAAGCGGAGCAAGACAAGTGAACACACGAAGAAGGGTCTAATGATGACAGAGACAGCGACCATCAGCCGCCCAATCTCCAAGCTTCTTGGCCATCGGACTTTGAAACAAAAATTTAGCGTCACGGCCCGCGGATAACGATCTCGTTCATTTCTTCTCGTTCTTCTTCTCGGACCTCTTTGCTCGACTGACTCGAGCCACGATCATTCTGCTCGGCCCTTGAGTGCGACCGTCTCGGCGTCGCCGACGAAGAGGATGCGGCAATAACACATCCCCTGGCCAGCCTGAGTGGAAAAGTGTCATCTTTAAGAGAGAGACGAGGGTCCGGCACACTGCCGAGAATTCTCGAAACGCTGTCTTAAGCGCGCAACAGCACCGTGCAGCTGTGCACCTTCATTGCGCCTCTTGCCGTCAGCTGAACGTGAAGCAAACTGTCGAACATCAAGATCAAGTCGGAAGGCGCGTGCGAGCCAGATTTAAGATCATCGACCAGTGATCACAACAATGGCGAAGGTCTGTCTATGACTTCACCATCATTATCGCAATTGATCCGACTTGACAAGAGTGAAATTTGCCGCGACCGCATGGTCCGATGATGCAACCCTGCCGCTCGCGTGCAATTTTGATTGATTTACTAAGTGTAAGATCTCGATGGACTGCAGTTTTCTCGAAAATCACTGACCTCAACGACACGCACGGGAGATTTCGAACAAGCCAGGACCGACATCTCACCACCAAGCGAGCGATCCGCACTGACATCAGATCGCTCCTTCGCTTCTTCCGACTTGGTCTTTGATATCACCTCAACCACATCAGCACCACCCTCCGCTGCCACCTTCGGGCACTGACTCAGCAACCATGGCTTTCCGAGCTTCTCGCACCCTGTTGAACGACGCCAAGAACTACGCTTCGTCGCACAGCTTCACCTACGTTGAGGGCAAGACCCCCTTCTGGCGCAAGTTCCGTCAGATCTTCTCTGCCAACCCCGAGATCTCTTCCGGTATCCCTTCGATCGAGTCGAACCGATGGCCACAACCTGCTTCCCGCCCTGAGCGCTCTCACACGCCTCCAAGCGCCGCTTCCGACCCGGCTGGCAACCTCTACCACACCCGAGACTTCCGTCGCAAATACCCCAAGCTCGAGATGATCACCCAGAAGGACCTCACCACGCTCCTCCTCTCCTCGCCCAATGAGGACGGCACCCGAAGCCTGCAAGCCCCCGAGGACGCTTCCAACACCACCGCCCTCACCCGCCCTGCTGATCTTGAATCGCCCACCGCCTTCACGGACGTGCTTGCCCAGGTTCACAAGTCGTCGGATGCCTCGTCGGCAGGCTTCTACTCGGCCTCCAACCTGCCACCACGCCCTCCTTTCAAGCAGCCTCACCACATCCTCAAGCTGCAGAAGGGTGCCGTGCCCCACGACCCTCACGCCTACTACCCTGCCGAGAACTACGCTTAGAAACGCTGGCCCCGTGATCGTATCTTGCGCGCACAGTTCAATACAAACATGATCAAATCGTTATCGCATCGTGCGGGCCGGTCAAGTCGCCCCAGGGTGGCTCTCACCTGCGGCTCATTTCAGCGAGGCGACGACCAGCGATTGAGCTTCCACCACACACCCAATGAGACGAGTTGAGTTTGCCTTTCGGCAGCGTTGCAGGTGACCCACCGAGCTTAATCGCAAGATTTGGCCGGTTCACAACTGGCTGAGCCTGGTTATCGTGCCGAACCGACTCTAAATTGATATGACTGCAATGGCAGTCAGACTGCCAAGCAACTGCGCTTGGACTGTACGCATGAAGGCTTGTCTCCTTCGCTTTCCGTCGGATGTGATACGACGACTGCTCCTTGTGGTCAGACTCTTGCCGTGCCAAGACGAAAGATGATGGATCACGTTCGACTCGGACATGAGTTTACCTGTCTGTCCGAGCTGCCTTACTGAGACGGCGCGACCCGACTGAGCCTGCACCATGACACGCCGCTTTTTCCCACGCTTTTCTCGCCCAAGGTCGTCAGATGCTACAGAGCGGCAGTGCCCACTTGCTGCTCTTCCCACTTCATTTCAGTGACCTTCGGCGCAGTGAGCGAGCGAAGGGATGAGTGGGACGAGGCTGAGCATTCCCGACCCAGCAGAATCGAAGCAAGGAGACGCTAGAACAAAGGAACGCAGCGCAGCAACCTGCCGCGCGCTTGGGCCCCTTTTTGCACCTGTCACCGCACTCTTTCTCTCTCTTCCCTCTTCTCTTCCCTCTTCTCTTGCTCAGCTTCCTCACGCCTATATGATCCAGTAGCCTCCACCTTGCTCGCCCTTCTTTACGAGGTCGAAGCTTCCGACGCGAGGCCGAACGCCGCACCATCATCAACAGGCAGACCGCCCCATCACCGCAGCTCTGTGGTCCAGCACTCGTGGCGACGCACCTTCAAGCCATCCTCGTCGCAGTGCCGGCTTTCCCCATCGACGCCGGGCCTCTTGCATCCCTCGCTGTCGCCCACCCTAGCGCAGTACATCAACTCCTCACATCAGTAGCGACTGCGTTCCCGCTTCATCACAATCAGTACGTTCTCTTCTCAGGACTTGACAAAGCCCTGCACTCCGAATCACCGCAGCGATGGCGACGCCGGGCCAGGAGAGCCGTTTCTGGCTCTCGCTCACCCACAGCGGTCAGCGAATTAGGGAGGAGCTGAACGAGGAGCTGCCCGACACCAGCATCCCGCTATCAAAGTGCGTTATTGGAGGATTTGAGGGCGACGCTTTCAACCTCATCGTCAGCAAGGACGCCTATCCGAACGGCGTCCATATCTACACGCGCAAAAAGGCCAATCGCACGGATCGCTTCCTCGAGGGCATCAGGGACGATGTCTGGAACTTTTACAAAGACGATCCGACCTTGGCTGGGCGACTCGATCCGTGCTGGAGGTTTCACTTGCAGGAGTGGGAGTTTGGCAAGACAGACCTCGTCTGGATCTTGGTTGTGGGACTCACGGACACCGGCGCCTACGACGGACGCGGCCACACCAAGGGGTTCCTTGTTCGATCGCAGCCACGCAACTGGCAAGTTGCCAATAGCGACGCCTACCTCCACGAAGTTCTGGCGTCGCTCAAGATCGACTCGACGGATGAACGGCAGGATTCTGGTCTTGATGTTGAGCCTGCATCGGCACCTCGACAAAGCTCAGTCCCAGGTCAGGACGTGCCTTCTCTTTCGGTCACTGCGCCATCCGTGTCCACAGCTCCATCACCGATAACGTCTGCGCCGCCTGGCATCACCCAAAGCAGCGCTACCACTTCTTTCGATCCACTCGCAGCAGCTCGCCGCGCCCCCGCCTTCACGGCTCCTCGTCACGACTCCAGCCCCTCGTCAGCGGCTTCGGCTCTCACGAGTACCGTCAAATCCTCAACGCCCCGTCGCAGCATCTCTGCTGCTTCCTTGGCTCGCGGTGTCAAGCGAAATCAACATGGTGGACAGCGAACATCTCCTACCGTTGGATCGATGGGCAGTACCGGTAGAGAGCGTGCAGGTCCGCTCCCATCGACACAGCCTCAAGAGCGCGTCTCCTCGATAGGTCAGGAGGAGCATAGTGGCACTGGTACCCGTTCCGTTCGCAGAGTAGTCAACCCTCAGCGTCGACAGCAGGATCAAATCGTGCAGCCTCTGCCTCGAGTCCAGTCGTCAGAGCAACCCAAGGGCAATGATCGTGGAGAGGTTCCTTCCCCTCGCAGAGCGCCTCCGGAGCGACGCCAGGCAACCAGCCCTGCCGGGCAGTCCTCGCCTCGTCCACCTACCGCTCCACCACAAGATCAACCATCCGCTCCCGCTCCAATCTCAGACCGACGTCGCGAAAAGAGTCGCGCCATCGACCCTCCGCCTCGCCCCGTTCCGAGCAAGGCCCAAGCGCGTCGTGTTCCCATTATCGAGATCATTGACGACTCCGACAGCTCTCTCGATGCTGCCGCCTACTTCCCCTTCAGCAACTCGGAGGATTCGGACGATGACGTGCCGCTCGATGCTGCGTACAAGTGCGCACAGGACGTGGCCATGGACCGAGCTTTTGCCGAGTCTTTCGAGCAGAGCCTACTCCTGCGCCGGTCCCCGCGGTTGAGGCAAAAGTCGCGTAGTCGATCCCGGTCGCTCGAAGCGCCGGCGGCATACGATTTCGTGCTGCGCCGTTACGAGCCAAACGCCCGAGCTGAGGTGCTGGATGCCTTCCACAGGATCAAGACGAAGACGTACTTGGCAAATCCGCAGCTCTCGCTCGACCTCAGGGTCGGAAGGCCTCGGCCCCGGTCAAACAACAATGCAACCCCCGCAGCCGCTTCCTCTCCGGCTTCCTCTCCCGCCAGCACCGACGAGAGCCAGAAACTGGACCTGAGGATTGACGTCGAAGACGCCATCATCCCGGACTGGATCAAGAAGGTGGTGGGCGGCGGCAGCCCAGTCGGGCCACTTACCGTGCTCCCTCTTGAGCATCGACCGGACCCAGGCGAGCCGGAGGAGGTGGCGCAGCCACCTCGTAAGAAGAAGGACCGACCGCCGCCCGGGCTGCTCTTCGACATCTCGTTCAAGGACAAGCGCATGCAGGAGCGCTGGACGAGGTGCCTTGCCTGGCGAAGCTCCAAAGAGACCGATGCGGAGAAAGAGCGACAGAGGCTCGAGAAGGAGCACCTCCGCTACCTTCATCGATGAGCGTCGACGAGAGCAGAGGGGCGAAAGTCAGCATAGGCGACAAATTGCTATCACCTCCACTGGATCTTCATATCAATGTCATCATCGCTGTGGTTCTCACCTCCTCGTCGTGATCGTGTCTGTGAGTTGTCAGTTGGTCGACAGTCAATGGCGAAGGGAACAAGTACATTGAGCAGGTATCGTACACGAGAGACAAAGTAACGAGGATCGAGGTGACCGAGGGCGCATCGAGCAACCTCATCGCGGCCCATACCCAGAGCTCTTGACGTTGGCATACTGGCCGCCGAGACCGGCGCTGCCCGAGGTGGCGCGTGTAGGGATGCCTGATGGGCGCGAGATGCCAGTGCCCGTAGCTGAAGCCGAACGCCCACGCGTCGAAGCGGGTGCGCCTCTTGTCGATGCTGTGCCGCAAGCTGCGTCCGTTGTGGTGGCGGCTCGAGAGCTGACGGCGCGGCCGCGAGTGGCAGCAGTAGACGCACCTCGAGCCGCACCCCTCGCTGTACCTCTCGTTCCTGTCGACACAACGCGACCTCTTCCACGCCCGCCTCCCGCCGCGGCGCGCCTCGCATCATCCTGTCTCCTCCTCTCGTCCTCCTCTGCCCGCATCGCTGCTTCCTCAGCTGCGCGCTGAGCCTCCTCCTCCCTCGCCGCCGCCTCTGCCTGCAATCGCTGCGTCTCCCTCTCTGCCAGTGCGACACTGAGCGCATGCGCGGACGCATCCTCGCTCGTGCCCTTCCAGTCCTGATCCTGCAGTAGCTGCTGCGTCTTCTCCGTCTGTCTGAGCAGTCCGATATAAATATTGAGCAAGTCGTCGGTCTCCTGAACGCGTCGGGCAAAGGCATTGATCTGGCCCGCGCTGCCGCGGAGCATGCGCTCGAAGGCTTCGAAGACGTCATTCATGCGGCGCAGCTCGGTGAGCTGGCGTGCGGTCTGTTCTTGCGACTCCTTGGATTCGGTGGGTGTGGGACCGCCGATGGACTGACGAGCGGAGGAGCGGGTGCCGAGGAGAGCCTCGCGGATGTACTCATCGTCGACGTCGATGGCGGACGAGTCGAGGGCGGTGGGGGCGAGTGCAGAGGCATCGGACAGGCCGGCGATGGTGAGGTCGTCATCGTCGTCTTCGTCCGGCTCGGAGGTGGCAGTCTTTTTGGGGACGAGGTTGGTCGGCACGCCGGGCTTGGCGAAGAGCGAGAAGCGTGGTCGACCAGCGCCTGAAGCGGTGGGTGCGCGCCGCGAAATGGGCGGCTTGTTCTCGTCGTTCACATCGAGACCGGCGAGCAGGCGCATGTTCGACATGCCTTTGGTAGAAGTGGTCGAGTCGAGCACCGCAGCGGATCCCCAAGATGGGCGTGACTTCATGGGCTTCTTGATGCCCGAGACGGTGGTTGCTGATGCATTGGCGGATGCGCCGGATCGAAGAGGACCGTTGACGGGAGAGTCGGAGATGTTGAGATCGCGCAAGGAGCCTTGCACGAGTGCTGGCGAAAGGTTCTCGTCGAGCAGCCAGGACGAGTCGGCTGCATCTGGGTTGGATGGCTTTGGTGTGTGAGGCAGTGCCGGCATGATGGGCGACAAGGTCGAGCGACAGAGCTGGTGACGGTAATGATGGTGGAGAAGATCGTCGCTGACCCTGACTCTGTTGTCCGCGTGTTACCTTTGCTCGCCAAAAAAGTGTTGTTCTGCGCAACCAACAGGAAGAGCAGCGCGCGCGCCCCGATGCAACCAACCCACTTGACTGATGAAGTGACCAACTGAGTCTACGCGGCGCGCGTCTCCCTTGACTGCTCTTGGGCAATCAACACTCACTCAAGCGCACATTTGACGCGTCGGCATGTCTCGGGCGAAAGCACAAATCCCTCCAGTCATCAGTGTATGAAGTCTAACATCTATTGAAATTCGGCACAGCTTCCCGCATCCCGGCCCTGTGGAGGCGGCATGACCTCAAAAGTGTCACTTTCCTTCGCCTTCGAGCCACCCACCACCATCCTCGTCCAAGAGCAGCCGACCGACGATCTGACAACTCACCAGCATGACAGAATCATAGCCTCACGACCATGATCGACTATCTCTTCATATTGGCCATCAAGCTGGCGCTCTACCTCTCAGCTCGAGCCGCCCTCCCCTTCCTCTTCGGACAAGCTCGCCATGCCTCCTTAGACGTCAGCACCAAGCCCGCGTCCACCCTACCCACCCCGGCCACTGCACAAGCCTCGACAAACTCACATCCGCTGCACTCAGACTCGATACACGATGACGACGACACGGACGACGGCCTCAGCGCTACCGACACCTCACCCTTCCTAGCCGGCAAAAGAGGATCAGCCCGTCCCTCCTGGACGCAGTTTCGCGCCTCGCTGCTCGCTCCTGTGCGCATTCGCAACACTTCCGGCGCTCTTGATCTCGCCAGCGTATCTGCGCTTCTCTTCTCGTTCGCATTCGAGGAGTCTGCATCGCTTTACGTCGCGGTCCTGCTCGAAACAGCCGGTTTCTCGGCAGGCAACGGCACGGCATTACGCAAGTCGTGGCGCTTCTCTCTAGCTGCAGTGCAGGCGCTAGCCATCGTGTTCATCCCGCTCGCTGTGTGTCTCCTGTTCACGTATCGCAGCAACTCATCCACGCCTCTGCCGCGCCGCATCGCCTACCTGCTCATCCCGTTCCTCCCGTGGCTCGTGTTGTTCTTCAAGGTGCCGCTCCCAGCTGCGCTGTCGGACGCTCGTAGCGGCGCAGGTATCTTCGACGGCCTCATGGCGAGAACGGCTGTCATTGGGGTCACCTTCATCGCTGTCCTATCCGGCTCCGCAGCGCTACAAGCAGCCTGGGAGGCATTCGAGCAATTCAAGGGCAAGTCACAACGGTCTCCCTCCGCATCAGACATCGTTCTCGCGCAAGAATCCTTCCAAAAGACGTGCGCCGATCTTGCCTCGACCAAAGCCAACCTCGCACGACTCGAAAATGAAACGCCCGAGACTGACGCCCGGTGGAGCGTCAGCAGTCTCTGGGGTGGCTCCAGCCGCAGTCGGGAGATCAAGTCGCTCAAGTCGGAAATCTTCGGTCTGTCCTCAATCGCCGCTGCGATGCGCGACGACCTCGACCGCATGACGGCGCTCCAGCACAAGGCGCAGCTCGAGTCCACGCCCATCGGCAAAGTGTGGATCCTCATCGGATGGATCTGGGCGGTCTACTGCGCGTTCCGCATCGCTCTGTCGCTGCTCAACCTGCTCATCCTTGGTTACCGCGACACCGCGCCGCCAGACTTTATCTCGTTGTTGGTCGCAGAGATGATCCGCATCTTTGATGTGGATTTGGACGTGGATGCGTGGACGAAGCAGGTGTCGCTGTTGTTTGTGGGAATACTGATCTGGGGGAGGATAGGGAGTGTATTGAGTTATCTCGGGTCGGCCTTCCGGGCAGCAGGGACGGGCGTATCCAGCTCGTTCCTCGTGCTGTTCCTGGCAGAGATCATGACGGTGTATCTGCTAGCTACGCTCATCCAGCTGCGCTCGTCGTTACCCGCATCGGTGGCCAACCCGACGCCGGTGCTGACACCAGACCAGATGCGGCGGGACACGGTCGGTGACACCACGACGCCGCCGCTCATCGCAACCCTGCCCAGCTTCCAGGTCGTCTTCGGCAGTCTCTTCGATTCAGCCTTCCTGCTCGCAGCGGCAGTCACGGCGGGATGGAAGTATCTGGTCTACATGCAGAGACCGTCTTCGGGTGACGGTGGCGCTTTGTTTGGTGCCAGCATGCGATGAGTTGGAGAGCAATAGACAATTCTTCATCAGTCCCTGCATCCATTGTGCCGGTGAAAAAACGGTGACTTGATTACGGTCGTGGGTATCAATGAATGGTGGTAACATGCGATGGTGAGGCTAGAGCCACAAAACAGGCTGGGGCCGAAATCCTCAGTTTCCAGAGTTGCTCGCAGGGCTACTTTTCCTGCTCGTGCTCCAATGTGGTGGGCAATGCCGTCGGTGTGGCAAGCGGGCTGCGCTGCGGCTCTCCCTCTCCCTGCTGCGCATCGGGCGACGTGGCGCCCAACAGGCTGATCCGCCTGAACGCGCGCTTCCATCCCTGGTCCTGGCTGCTCGTCGGTGCCGGGGATCGAACGGCCCTCTCGTCCTCCTCTCCAGTCGTCTCGTGCGGCAGCGGCGGCAGAGCACCTCCATACGCCTCCAACGGCGAGCGGCCCGACTCGGACGGCGGTCCACTCGGCAGATAGTAGCTCTCATCTCCCGCAATCGACGTCTCAAACATCGAGCTCTCCGCAACACTGCTCGCGCCGCTGCGACTGTCGGGGCTGCTGCGCAGGGAGGAAGGGAACGGGTATTCGGCGGCGACATCGAGTGTCTGCTGGTGTCGTTCGGCGCGTTGCTGGCGTGCGCGCGAGGCGATGCCGGGTCCACCGCTGAGCTTGGTCAGGCTCGATCCGCTGCCTGCCGACAGCTGGAGTGCGCGGGTTCGCTCGGCGTCGCGTAACGCTGCAGGTGTTGATGAGATAGCGCGCTCCAGACCAGAGTCCGCGGATCGAACAGGTGTGCTCGACGCTTGCGATTGGAAGTCTGATCCCGTCGGACTGAGCGTACTGGCGCTTGCACCGCCTACCACGCGGGAGAAGAAGGCTGCGAAGCCTCCGGTACCAGCAGCAGGCGAGAGGCTGGGAGGACGGTTGGAAGGCGGACTGGTAGGACTCTGCACGAGCTGATGCTTAGGAGGCTGGATGCCACGCGTGAGCAGCTCTTGGCGAATGCGCTCGCGCTCGGCGACGTCGTGCTCGTCTTCGATTTCTTCGCTGGTGCGCACCTTGCGAGCTGAGTTGTCGCGGGCGGGGATCAGCAGGTTGTCCGGCTGCAGGGCCAGAGGTCGCAGGTTGGCGTTGGCTTCGGGCGCTTTGTCCGTGCTACTGCTGCCACCGCCGAGGAAGGGCAGGTTGCGCCAGTCGATCGACGATGTTCTTTTGCTCTTCTTGGGCGCTGTTGTTGGTGGAGGCCCACTGGATGCTGCGCCGAAGCCGAAGAGGCTGCTGCCGAAACTGGTCGCACTGCCGTTCGAAGCGTTCGAAGTGTTGCTGGCGTTCGAGACGTTGCGCGAGCCAGGGTCGTCTTCGATATTGCTCGCTGCTTTCTTGGGAGTGGGACCAAGGGAGAGATTGGCGCGGGAAGACTTGTGGCGTGGACCTCGAGCGGTTCCTCGGCTTTCGATGGCGAGAACGTGTTCGTAGCCCTCGCGCGAGATGATGCGGTCGATGATCTTGGAGATGTAGAGCGTGAGCGCTTGGTTGGCTTCGCGCAGCTCTCGGACCTCTTGCTGCAATTCTTCAACGCTGTCAGATACAGTGCCGATGCGATGGTTCGAGCGCTTCTCTCGGGTCGCTATGTCCTCGACGCTGACGGGCGCTGTTGTGCCGGAAGTCCCCTCGAGCTCAGAGGCCAAGTTGGTGGTTGATACGACAGTGATGGAGTCGGCACGCCTTCGACGAGAGCTCGTTGCTTGCTTGGGTGGTGCTTTGGGCGTGTCAGGTACATCATCGAGGTCCTCCTCGTCCTCCTCGGGGATGGTGCCGGACGGTACGGATGTGCCACCAGTGCGATCGTCGTCGTCATCTTCATCCACATCGATGCTCAGCGAGTCAGACTCGGTGGTGTACTCGTCGTCGTAGGGATCATCGAGGCCGTCGCGAGCGCGGAGGCGGCCGCCCAGCGAGGCTCGTCGGATGCCACGAAGCATGGCACTCTCGTTGAGCAGGGCGCCGCTGAAAGTCTTTTCCTGCAGAATGTCCATGAAGGTCTCGTTCTGGTCGCGCAAGGTGACATTTTCGGCCCGAACGTCTCTGAGCTCGGCTTGCAAGGTAAACATGGTTTCGGAGAGCGAGGAGTGAGACTTTTGAAGGGTGGCGAGCTCTTCGGTCAGAGCAACTACATCTCTTTCCTCGGCGAAGGAGACGGTGTTTGTGGTTGCCTCGATGCGAGCTCGCTGCGATGTAGCGGTCGCTTCGCCATCGCCATTCGAGTTCTGCTGATCAGCGTCCGCGACATCCTCTGGTGCGATGCTGTCCGATGTGGCCGTCGAATCGGAGGCAAGGTCGCGTGGTGCATTTAGAGGCGAGTCAACGTCGGGCATACCTGCACTGGCCTTGATCGAAGCCAAACGATTGGTGACGCGCTCGTGCTCACGAAGCAGCTCGTTGTGACCGGAAAGAAGCTTGTCGTAGGCGGTGGCTTGAGTAGCCTTTTGCGACTTAAGAAGCGCTTCGGTATCCTGGTAGTACTGACGCTCCTTGTCCATGGTGGCTGTTTGATCGAGGTAGCGCTTCTCGGCATCGCTGCGACTCCTCTCGCTGTCGGAAAGCTGCTTGCGAAGACGTTCGATGATCTGCATGGTAGAGTAGACTTCGCCCTCCATTCGCTCCTGGTCGGCCATGATTTCGTCGATTCGCTCTTCTCTCTGCTTCACGAGCGTCTGTAGTGACTGGGTCTGTGCTTCGGCTTGAGCAAGTTCCTGCGTCAAAGAGGCGGTCGAGTCGTGAAGGGTCTCGTTCTGGAGCACCTGTTGGTCGAGCCTTGCCTCGATCTCGTCCATCTGCACCTTTGCTCGACCTAGTGCGACGACGAGATCATCGCGGTCGAGCCCTTCCAGTGCCTTTTCGATCTCTTCTTTGGGAATGTCGGGTGTCATCGCATCATTGGAGCGCATGCTGCGTACTGAGCTGCTAGATACGACCCTCTGCACCGCCATGGGTACAGGCGATGCGGTGCCTCTTGCCTCGAGGTCGGCGCGCTCGCCATCGGGGCTTCTGGCTGTTGCTTCAGAGTCGTGCGAGTTACCGAGGTTGTCGTCATCTGCATGTTGACTTGATTCGTCGGCGTCGTTGATCTCGAGACTTTTCGATCCAATCAAAGGCGACTTGGCCGCCTTGCTGCCACGGCTTCTTGGTGGAAGAGGTCGAGAAGCACCGAGCTTGGACGAGAGATTGTGGTGCGATTCGGTCTCGGGCAAGAGCTGACGCGGCTCGTTGTCAGTCATGACCGGTGACAGCACAGCATGTGCGATCCAAATGAGAGCGAGACGATCCGCGGTCGATGAGCGGAATGTTGCAGACGATGGAGGTAGCCTTGCGATCACAAGGCCGTGCGAGTCGAGGGAGAGTAGGACCCTGGCAGCCTTTCTCACACGCAGGTTCACGTTCAGCCGCACAGTCAAAGCTCAGTTGTGTGTGTTGCTCTGTTGCTCTTTCTTGGCTTGCCGTTGCTCTTTCTTGTCTCGCTGTTGCGTGAAATGCTTTGTGCCCGATTCGATTACGATCTGTCCCGCAAGCTCCGAGCTTAACATGTGCCAATTAATGTTTTGCTCAGGCAGTTTGCCCCTGAAACGCACAGACAAAATCGAAACCGAAAAAAGAAAGCTTACATGCACGATAACGTGCTTCAGCCTGCAGCGGCGTCTCATTCCTTTTCTTTTCGAGCCTCGAGCTCTCACGTTGCACAGCTGAGTCGCTTCTGCCTCGTCGTGACGCATTCTTGCTGATCAGAGCCTAGGCGACGGTTCACAATCCTTCCAATTTCTTGGCTCGGTGGGGACCATCTTCTTTCCTCTCCGACCTTCACCTCCCTCCTTCCATACATCCACGTCAAGGTCTCGTGGTCACGCTCTTTTCGATATGGTCACATCAATCGCTCCTTCAATGGGGCAAGCAAGGATGAGCCCGGCTCGAAACGGCATCTCGGCTAGCTCAATGCAGTACCGTGCTCAGCCTTTCATCAAGCTCGCCATCGTAGCGCTGACAGCTTTGGTCCACCTCATCGTCCCAGTCATCTCGGCGCCATTCTCCTTCACATCGAATCACGCTCTCTCCGCTTCGAACTCATCCGAGGCCGCACGTCACAACCACGAAGAGGACGACCCCGTCAGCGACAACCCGCTCAAGCTCACCTTCGACATTCTCACTATCGCCGCTCTCGTCGTCCTCGGCGGTATCTTTGCTGGACTCACCCTCGGTCTCATGGGTCTCGACATGGTCAACCTGCAGGTGCTCGCTCATTCTGGCTCCGACAAGGAACGAAAGCATGCCACCAAGGTGCTCCGACTGCTCGAAAAGGGTCGTCACTGGGTCCTCGTCGTCTTGCTGCTCGGCAACGTCATCGTCAACGAGACTCTGCCCGTCTTCCTCTCCGACTTTGGCGGTGGCATCGCTGCCGTCCTCACCTCGACCCTGCTCATCGTCATCTTTGGCGAAATCGTCCCTCAGAGCATCTGCGCCCGCTACGGTCTCGCCATTGGCGCCTTTTGCGCCCCCATGGTTCACCTCACCATGCTCCTCCTCGCTCCCATCGCCTGGCCCACCGCCAAATTCCTCGACTGGTGCTTGGGCGAAGAGCACGGCACCACCTACCGCAAGGCCGAGCTCAAGACCTTTGTCTCGCTCCATCAACAGATCGGCACCGAGCATCTTCACGAAGACGAGGTCACCATCATCCGCGCCGTGCTCGAGCTCAACGACAAGACCGTTCGCGACGTCATGACGCCCATCGAAGACGTTTTCATCATGTCCAGCGACACCATTCTCGACGAAGAGGGAGTCGCCAAGCTCGTCCGATCCGGCTACTCGCGTGTCCCCATTCATGAGCCTGGCAAGAAGGACGCCATTGTCGGTATGCTCCTGGTCAAGAACCTCATTCAGTACGACCCCGAAGACGCGCAGGCCGTCTCCAGCTTCCACCTCACTCCACTGCCCGAAGCCAGCTGCGACCTCACCCTCCTCGACTGCCTCAACTACTTCCAGCAAGGTCGCAGCCACATGATCCTCGTTTCGACTCACCCTGGCGAATCGCAAGGTGCGCTTGGCGTCGTCACGCTCGAAGATGTCATCGAGGAGATGATTGGAGAGGAGATCGTTGACGAGACCGACATCTACGTCGACGTGCACAACAAGATCAAGGTCGTCCGAAACCCCAGGGCCAACAGCAATGCCGGCCAGAACTGGCAACCACTCATCCGCGGCATCATCGAGCGCCGACGAAAGCTCGGCGGTCCTATGAAGGCGCCCCTACGCAGCACCTACGGCACCATGGGCATGATGGGCAACGACGGCAGCGCCAAGAACAGCACCAGCAAGTACGGTCTCCCTTCCAACAACGTTCGCGCCGTCGACAAGGTTGCCATCAAGCGGCCCGGCTCGCCCTCGTCTCTCAACACTCCCTCTCGCAAAGCATCCGGCTCGTACGAGCCCAGCACGCCCATGCGTCGCGAGAGCTCCTCGTCGATGGCCACTTCGACTGACGGCACGAACTATCAAGACTTGCATCGCGCCGCCGTCTTGGGTCAGGCGACTGGCAGCGCGCAGAACTCGTACACGGAGGAGCCTTTCATCGTCGAAGTGGGCAGCCCGGACAACACGACTCGCATCGTCAGGATATCCGACATCCAAGAGTTCCCAGGCGCCGAAGCGAAAGCGAAGAGAGATGAAGAGCGGCAACGACTGGAACAGCAGCAGGACAAGCTCAACGGGTCGCAACGCGACGACACTGAGGACGACGGAGAGAGACGACCTCTGCTGGACAAGGCGAAGAAGGTGTTGGGAGCAGACAAGTAGTCTCGTCCAACTTCGGCGGCTCGCAGTACTCGTGTCGCTCATGCATAACTTATTATCAATGGACTTTTGATCAGCAATCCAATTGAGATCACTTATATTCGGCCGCCGACTCAACTCAATGAATTACACAGCATTTGCCCCGGGCTGTCGACTTGAGCAGACCAGGCACACGGGGTCTCCTGTCGACGAATACTGATGGAGTCTAGTTGCAAGGCTCCCACAGACTCGACTTCTGTTTGGACGTCCTCGAAAGCTCATGTCATCGAGCCCAACCGCGATCCGGGAAGCAATCCCTTTACCGCTGCAAGCAAAGGAGTGAGCGTCAACCCCGTCACCCACACTAAGCGTTGATAGAATCGATCAGGAAGAGCCTCGTTGACAAAGGCTCGCTGGCGGCCCTTTTCGTATGATGTGTTATACATGAGCAGCGTGTCTGGGAGAAGCTGGGTTTATCGCGGTCTTGCAATCATAGAAGCATGAGACCGGCGGCATCTGAGCGACTGGCATCAGAGTCCGAAGAGATTCTAGAAGGCAGGTGAGGTACGCTGTCGAGCGTGGAGCTGCAGTCGCGAAAAAGAAGCGTACCCTCGACAGTGTTGATTTCTTGGGCGAGTCACGCATCGACGACAAGGCAAGGCACTGAAAACGTGGAATGGCGGACGACATGATCGACTAGCTTTGAGTTGAAAGTCAAATCGGCTCGCTCAACGGTGCGTCAAACCGAACCCGGCTCCTTACATTTGACCGGACGTACGTATAATAGAAGCAGATCTCCGCGATGGGTTGGAAGAGAAGCAACATCACGTGCGAGGCGAGGTCGAAAGGTTAAGCAGAGCACTCGGCATCTGCTTTCTGTTCTTTGATCATTCGCACAACGGACGACTTGCAAGGTCGCCATTGACCTTTCGCCTTCTTGTATTGCCCTTTTCTTGAACACGCATTTCGCTTCGATTTTCGCTGCTAAGCACCATTGTCGATCTATATACAGACTCGAACCCACATCTTGAGATCCGGAGCGAAACAACTTGATGTGCAAAAATGCGAGGCGGTCCAGATGAGACTTTTGCGATTGACGGCGAGGAGTGAGACCTGCATGATCCGATTCGGACATGCGGGGTGGGAGACTACCAACTTTCTGCATGGCGTCGCGAGTTCTCATGCTAGACTTCTCACACAAACGCCACAACAATCCAAGAACTTTGGCGTTTGCCATAGTTGAATTGAAACCGATTGCCGCCGAGGTGCTATTTTGCGCCAGGTCTGAACCGTGTGCATTAATCAAGCAACTCCGCGATCTGCTGATTCGAAGTGAGCCTTCGGTTTGAATCTCAAAGCACCGCGCATCGATAAATTCAAAAAGCGGCTGTTCTTTCACTGCCGCCAGCAAAAGCTTGCATAGAACTCGTCGATGTGGCTTTCAAGCTACGGCATTCGTTCTCGTCGTTCGGCTCGCACTGATCTAGCAGCTGCGTGCCAACGAATTGTTTTGCAAAATGCCGTCGTCGAAGGTAAACGCCGCTGTCTCAGTGCGCCTGCCGGTCAATTTCACTTTCTCGCTCGCAATTTTTGCTCCGCAATTCTGCCGAACACTTTCGACTCTCCGCCTCGTCAATGGGCTTTTCGCCATTATAAACGATCTCTTTGCCTCCCTTTTGAGACCAAGCTCGGCGATCGCTCACCCAGCATGACGAGGGACATCGACGCTTCTGCCTGCCTGTGTCTGAGGATTTGGAATCGCTCTAATGCGATGTCACACCTATATACAGTTCTTAAGAGCGAGCAAGCGAATAATTATGTGCTTTGCGAATCCTTGATGCTCGCTGCGAGCTGAATTGCTTGCTCAACAGAGACCTTCGCCATTCTGTGCCGGCAACGACCTTTCCCATTGAGATCGACCATGGTCTGGAAGAAAGTTACTTAGATACGATGCGATTTTCATGTTGAAGGAATGCATCGATCCGTTTCCATTTTTCGAACCAGAAGAGTGACGAGCGATTGCGCTGCTTCGCGCTGCAATCTCGCTCTGTTCTCTTCAGCGGGTCTGGCGAGAAGCCAACTTTCAAAAAAATTATCACGCAGCTGGCGAAAATGAAGAAGGCGGAGCGAGACGGCAATTTTTCTCGAGTGAGTGGGCGCTGGACTTTTCTGAATTTTGAATCGACTGGCGGACGGTTGAGCGAGAGGCCAGACGAGAGTTTCGAAAATGAATCGTGGGGTCTGCTGGCGGATCAGCCTAGCACGCCGCCGCAATTTTGGAAATTTGAACCCGCCCGCCAACCAGCCAGCGAAAAATGAAAAATGCCGTGACCCGCCCAGTCAGTCGCCTAGCCAGAAAAAGGTGAAATTCGAAAATTCGAACATTCACGCAGTGGACCAAATGGTTCGCTGGCCGACTGGCTCTTTTGAAAATCGAAAATTCTCGCTCAGTGGCCAATGCGCTCGCGATTTCGAAATCTGATTTTCCAAGTCCAATTTCGGGCGCCTGCCAAACGGCGTGAGCACCCCACTTTTGATTAGGAACCTATTTTCTGACCCCCTTTTTGACCCGGT